AGATGTCTCGCTCATTCTGCTGTTGCTTCCTTGTCCTACTTCTGCTGTTGTCTCCCTCGTCCTCCTCCTCCTGTCTGTCTCGCTCTCCTCCTCCTGCTGATGCTGTCTTCCTCCCGCTGCTGTCTCCCTCGTCCTCCAGTTGATACTGTCGTCTTCTTCGTCTTCCTCCTACTGATGCTGTCGTCTCCCTTGTCGTCGTCTTCCTCCTGCTGCAGCTGCTGCTGTCTCCAGAGTCCAGGCATCTCTACCTATGTGGCTTGACCTGTCAGATCGTATAGTAGTCTGGTGTTTGTGTACCCCCCCCCCCTCCATCCCCTACCAGTGTCGTCCTAATGTCTGGGCCCCGGGCCCAGGGCCCAGGGGCCCAACAATTCTAGAGGGCCCCATGCTGCCATAATGATCATAGGAGACCTTTTGGCAGAGTGGATCATTATTCAACCTCCTGCTGGAAAGGCCTGGGATTCAAATCCCATTTTAAATTATATTTGTAATATTTACCTGAATTTACCCGAGGGCCACTAGTATTCATTACCTCTATGAGGACAGGAAGACGGAGGCTTGTCAAATTTCCCTCCACTTGCCCTGATGATCTTTTCCAGCTGTATTTTAAAACCAAGCTGAGTTTTGGCGTTTACGGCTTAGGCGGCTAGGCGGTTCCACGGGTATAGTTCCACTTTTTCACCTCTATGGGTAAAAAAGCATCTCCTGTTTTCTGTCCTACGTTGTAGTTTGTTGAGCTTGAACCCATTGCTCCTCGTTCGTGTTACATCTGACCTTTTGAATAATATATGCATAATTATGTGACGATGAAGGAAAGAAGCCGGCCTCGGGTGTAAGAGGGCTGTGACGATCTCTGTCTGGAACCCGTAGGTGTTGGGCTCGGACGTCCACCTCCTGGGGCTCGTGCGGCCCAGGCTCTGCTTCGGGAGGCTGGGGTCATTCTTACCCTTGCTGGGGTGGTTCTTCTCCGGCCCCGACCACGGCGGTCTCCGGGTCTTGAATCCCTGTGCCTTCGTTTACCTACTTAGACGTTAACTCCGGAACTGGAGCCCCTATTTCAGGTCGTTCAACCACGTTCTGACAGTTCCTACGACGGCGCTGGAACCAATCATATTGACGTTTGCCTTTCCATTGGAGAGGGGGACTTTCGGCGCCGTGGAGAGGGGGACCTGCTGCTTGGGGGTGACAGCTTCTCCTCCATATCAACCTACCTGGGCTTTGCATCCTGGAGAGGCCACTCCAGACCGACAACCAGACCGCAACTCAAGTCTCCTATGACTGATGGATGCCTTCTACTACTGGTCCTGCACTTTAGCGGACGGGCGGGCCCCATCATCTAGGTACAGGCCTCCAATACCCATCATCTGGCCAGGGGTCTCCAGTGCCCATCATCTTGGTAGGAACCCCAGGGCATTGCTTTGCCCATGACCAACAATGCTGTTAAGAGGGCCCTGTTGCTAGGGTTACGTTTTCTATGTAAGAGTGTCCGGGGGCGCGAGTTTATGAACAAGTCAGACGTGGTCTCATGTTTGGTTGACTGGAGATATTTTGCCAATATTTTAACTGCTTCGTATTTTATATGTAGTGAGAGATCTTCCTAATATATGCTCTGTGTTGCAAGACACCTTGAAGGTGTGACGTTTTCTGGAAAAGAGCAGTACCATCCTGGCAGGTGTTTCGCCAATCTTAAATTAATAAAAAAAAAGAGAAAACAAATTCAAATAAAACTGCTGTGGTCCTTTTACGATGTGTCAATTGCAGGCAAAAAAACAAGAGAATACAAACTTTAAACATTTAATATAACAAAAAACTACTTTAATTTTACACAAATGATAAGTAACAATTAATGAAAACAAAACCTCTTATCCACTTGGCTTAAACATAATCAAAAGAGAAAAATACACGGGTGAATTTATGTTAATAACAAAAGTGAATGTAATACTTTATATAAGATGCTATGTGCGTCTACCGTCACCCATAGGAGAGGATAGATGCGGAAGCAATGAGCACTAGAAGCGTAATCTACTGTGCTGTTGTTGTTTAAGTTTCACCTACTGGGAACAAAAAGTTCCAAGTAGCACGGGCTATGGTGAACCCGTAGTAGACTTACCTGGCACAGGAGCGGGGCAAGTAGCACGGGCTATAGTGAGCCCGTAGTGGACTTACCTGCTGGACGCTGGCAAGTCCTTTTATATTTGGGCGGTGACGTCAGACTGGCGCGAATTCTGGAGTTGTAGACGAGGAACCAACAGGAAAACGATCGCCCTGATGGTAGTTTGCTGGTGGCGGGCGAGACTGCAGGTGCGAGACTTTCGTGGAAGGTGGGGTGGAGGGGCCAGGGGAAGGTATGTCTAGACAATACGTTTTGGCACATATTGTTGTTTCTTGATGTTAGAGCATGCTGATATGGATGTGGTAAGGAATAGGCAGAATCTACTGCTATGCAGGAGATAACTGTAACAAGGGTGATAAGTTCCTGTTTGAAATTTATTCTGGCACTGTGTTGCCTAATGCAGGGAAGGAAATAATGTCCAATTGTCTCTGGAGCATGGCAGTCGATGCAGTCTAACCACGTCTAACAGCCTGGTTGATCAGTCCAGCAACCAGGAGGCCTGGTCGACGACCGGGCCGCGGGGACGCTAAGCCCCGGAAGCACCTCAAGGTAACCTCAAGGTAAGCAGCTAATTATCCCAGGTGCACACTTTCTGGTAGCTGCCTGCTGACTGTGAGGAGGACGGCACCACCAAGCACTACTCTCCCACACAACCCACTAGGAGGTCTGTAATCATAATGTTAAGAACCACTGGCCCAGGAGGACCTTACACGTGATACCTTTGTTCACCTTGCAGTAAATAGGTAACAATAGGTTGCCCAACTCTTGAGAGTTAGGCAACTGTTGTGGGTTACTTTTTGTGAAAGGTCAGTAGTTGGCCTGGGGACACCCAGATAAACCTAACAATTTTCCTGTCCCCAACAATGGGAAAAACCAACATTGAATGTAATGAAACACATCTTTCTTGCTGAGATTGCTCCGTACTAAAAGGTCACATCAGTAGCGATTTTTTTTTTTTAATTATCAGGGAAAAGGCACCAAGCCCTTATGATTTTATAGCCCTGGGAAAGGGTCAGGATAAGGATTTGGGATGGGACGGGGAAAAGGACTGAATCGGTAGCAAAAGTTATTTGGCCAAATGAGAACCAAAGCCAGAACCTGGCACCCTCACAGAGATACAAAGAATGAGTGACAATTTGCCATCCCACTAAGCAACCCGTCCTCAAGACACGCTCATTAAAGCTTCTGCTCATCCCCATGACACATTCATCAATTTTAAGTGTTAAAAATAGGTTTGTTCTCATTTATATACAGTATTAATATTATAAAATAAAGATCTATGTATAGTTAGGGGTAAGTTAGGTTAGATATTTAGGTTTTGTTGGCGATTATCTGGAGTACATGCCCCATGCTTCGCGAATGATTTGGCCTGGGTTCGTATCCTGGGGAAGGATTGACTAGGTGCCAGTCCTTAACTGTACGCCTCTGTTCATCCAGCAGTGAATTGGTACCTGGCTGTTAAGTGATTTGGTGGGTCATATTTCAGGGAAAATTTGGATTAATGACCTGCCTGAAATGCTATGGGTGTGAGTGGCTATACAAGAATGTAAGAACTCCTGTAGTTACACATAATAATAAAACAATACATGGGTGCAACATTTATAGTGTTGCAGGCAATGAGTCACAATAACGTGGCTGAAGTATGTTGACCAATCTACACACTAGAAAATGAAGGGATGACGACGTTTTGGTCCGTCCTGGACCATTCTCCGGGTCCAACATTCTTTAGTGTTGCAATTCAAACAGAAGTCATCAGCGAGGCACTATTCAAAAAATGTCACCAGTTCTGTGCAAACGGTTTTTCATTCATAAACAGGGCATTTGGCAGCCAGATTAATGAGCATTTGGCCTTTATTGATGAGGCAGGGCTGCACTGAGAAAGCATTCAGAAAGTTAGCAGAGCTTTACAGACAAATGGAATTGCGATAAATGAAGCCTCGAAAACTGCCAAACAATTCAAACGGTTCACACTGAATATGGGATCCACTCAAACAAACTAGATAAAAATCCATTAATTACGATTGCCCCCAGCAGCTGACTCCCCTGGTCAGTTCTAGAGGTGATGAATCTCTAGAACTGACCAGAGGAGTCAGGCCAGGCTTCCTAAAGCTAAACACAGAATGAGAATAGGACTTACCAAAGAGGAGGAATGTGGGAGGTACTAGGGAGAATAGACACCAGACTGGGAGACATGGCCCAATAGTGTGTTGACATTTACGGGAGGAAACCGGTGTGAAAAATTCAAAATTATCCAAATTATATACATTTATTTGGCTAAATATTAAAATAAATGCCTGCTTAGAAAGAATAATTCTTATTTATCTTTATGAAATTCAATTTTTTGTTGAAAATGGTCTATGAAACTTTAAAAATTACCCAAGGCCTAGCTGCTGTTTATACGATATAGGTTTGCAGCTCCTTCTGATGCCTGATTTTTTTTTGTGCACACTTGTCATCAATTTTGTTTAGTTGCAGAACCACATTACACAACATAGATTCCAAGTTGAATATTGTTTTGTTCACTACTCTTGCTTCTCTGCCCTTCATTTTTAATTGAATAGATTCAAGTTAAGATGGCCATTCTGTAATGCATACACAATGGAAAAGGAAAAAAAAATGTAGAAAAGACAGTTCCAATTCTTGAAGCATTTGAGATCAGTGTCAGAGAAGATATAGAAAGTTTGTCCAAAGTAGATTGGCAAATGGACAAATTCCTGCATATCATACTTTTCTTAAGGCTAAGCAGTGCGGGATGCTGCAGATATATATTTATATAATGCCAGTGACTAATGATTAGTCAGTGAATGAGTAAAACAAAGAAAATTTACCTTTCATTTTATCTTGCATTTTCAGTCAATGTTGGATAAAAATTAAATAAAAAAGCAAAGAACACACAAGTCCAATTAATTTACTTAATAATTATACATGATTTGAACTCCCTGTTATTGGTCCATAATTGATACAGAATACATGACAATTTTATGCTCACTATTCGTAACATCACTTACTCTTATAATGTACAGAAAGATACAGTACTGTGATTACATAAAAGGAAAAAAGTGAATTTGAGGAAGTCGATAATAGTTTACATAAAGATTCAATACATCTCAATAAAATTTGTAAAAATCAACTTTAAGATATATACAATATCACAATTCAGAAATAAAATCATCTTTTATAATTAGTAACTTATTAATATAAAAATATCTATAAAAATGCATAAAAGTATGGCCTTTGTGAACTGGTAAGCAGAAGCATGGTGTCTTGTTATGCAACACTAAACCACAACTAATACTTAACAATAATGCCTCGGCGCGAGACACACGATAAAATGAATACTTTTACATGAACACATCTAGCAACACCTACTCTTGTTGACACTTTAATCAAGTACACTTCACACCAAAACAACTCTACAGATAAATCATCAATGCCAATACAGTATTTTTTATAATATATATATATATATACAGTATATAATATAATATATATATATATATATATATATATATATATATATATATATATATATATATATATATATATGTTTGATCTATTGACAGGCAAAATTGTTGCATTTCAGCCAGAATAAGTTTAATAGGATAAATGTACTTACAAGCTGCTTATTTTCCTATACAATACACACATAGTAATATATGCAAACATCAGTTTGACTGTGGTTCAGTCTTCAGTATCATCATAATCATCTTTCACATTCAAGACACCTTTAACATTAATGTAGTACAGATTCAAAAATTGGAAAAATTGTTCACCAGACACTATCAGGCATTTGCATCAAGTGATTGCATACTCAACACCACCAGGCTACAGTTTCAAAGCTTGCCTCAAAATACTCCATCAATCGAGATGGTTTTCTGGCCTTGGGCCAAGAACTAAAATTGTTATCAATCACGACGAAACTCCAACTTTGATTTACGGTTTAGTCTTCTACTAATGTACCAAAGCATAATTGCTCTTATGAGAGCTGTATAATGTGGTAAGACTCCAAAGATTATTATTAATCATTTAGGAGTGCATTATATAATGTCATTAAATTCACACAAAATACCACATGTCAAATATCTTAAAACAAAAAATACAAATATCTAGCGATTAACGTGTAGTGATTCAAAGTAGTGTCCCCGTTTACAATTATTAAAGATTATACCCAAAATCCTGAATCTATGTAATAAAACATCAGTGATTGTTAGCAATGAAAAGTGTAGGCAAGTGACTATAGATCTGAACAAGCAGCAGCCAACACAATTGTCTCTTCTACACCTGTATTTATCTTCAACTATGAAAATTCCTCCAACAGATTCAACAGGCATAGTCCGAACACAGTGCAAGACAACAACTTGTGGAAGCAAATGAAATGGGAGGTTATTAAAAAGACTTAGGGATGTAAAGAGTAGTCGTTTATACCAATACAAATGGAATTTAGGACTTATTCTGAATATAATGAGACTATTTCAAGTGTGACTTGGGATTGATCTTATTTTTTTAATAGACTTAGTTTTAGTGCTTCAGCTCTAAGCCAAGTGGTTTTTCAGTGCTAGGAATAATTCTATGCTATCTCAGGACACCAATGAAAGTCGGAGACCAGGAGACAATAATACAGATACAGAACTGTCAAAATTAGTTAACAACTGTATGAAACAAATTTGGATGGATTAAAAGAAAATATAACTAACATATGATGAGTATGCAGCCGGCTGAATATAAGAGTAGTGATTGCCAAAATATTATATGAACAAGATGGCCGAATAGAGAAAAAAGTGAGCAGATAAAGAGTCAAGATTTATCAAAATAATATAAAACAACAATGTATCAAGCTATCAAATGATACTGTACTGATACCAAACAGTGTGAAAGTAGGCAAGTGATAGCCAATATTGTGGCAAATTCCCATATCTTAGTGAACAGCTGGTGAAAAACATTAATGCTCTCATTACCTATTTTGCATTAGCTTCTTTGAAAATATCTCGGTATAAAGAAGCTTCTTGAAGGCCAGAATATAAATGTGTGTTGCTTATTATAATAACAAAACACATTTTTGTTATACCTAACCACTAAGATAAAAAATATCTTTAGCTTGAGAGACAGAAAAGTATAACCTAAACGGCGACAACAGATTGAAACACAATACCTAGACAGTATTTGCAAGACATTAGCATATATTGCACAACAATGTAATAAAACAATATCAATATTTTAATTATGAACATATCTAATTCTTTTTTATATATCAAACTCAAAGTAATATTACTTTAATACTCATAATTATAACTGGTAGCCTATTAATAAAAATATGCTTAGGTCAAATCCACCATGAACACTATATCAGATAAATTCCTTTCTTCCTCTGTCATCTTCCAGTACCACCAGCAGGGCTTAGTCATATTCATATTTCTAAACAGTACCAATCCTAGCTCTTAACTCAAACAATACTCCACTTGAGTCATTTAATCAGCAATGCAGCACCCCACTCTAGCTTTTCATCGAAACAATATACACTGTACCACTCAAGCTCGTTACGAAACAATATTCCATGCTTGCCCGTTATCACAGCAACACTCCCCTTTACCCACTTTAAACACATTTCCTAACTTGTTCTAGTAAAATAACTTAACCATAGCCTCATCATAATCACTTATTCTGCCATATAAATGAATGGTTTTGATATCATAGAGCAAGCCTCCACTCCAACTATTAGTTACACATGATTTGCAAGAAAATATAGGGCCTTTGTTGCTTTGTTTTAGACCACTCAGCTTAGCCATTACTACCAAAGACAAAACAAAAAATTACTGCTATCATGAATATCTGACCTCTTGAACATAACCCAATACAGTGTGTGTTATGGGTCTTGCTTGAGCACTTCCAAGTCGTATCATATTATATTGTACAACAGTTATGCTTTGGCGTACGATAAACGTGCACTTTACATACGTAATCCTAGAAAACTTTACATAACCTAAGGATTGTGGATATGTTGAATACAGGTCCATGGGACTGTACAAGTTGATGTGTTACTACTTGGAAGTGGTACAATCTATCCCAATATCCTAAACCTCTACAATGCTTGTTCTCCTTTACACCCAATTAAGTACACAACTGGTCTTGAATCACTCGCCATCATCATAATTCTCACATTACCCAATACATGCATCAAGTAAATCGAGAAGATATTTAAGTATTTCATACGTGATTGTTCAAGTTAGTAAAGAGGACCATCACTATATTGTACAGCAAAACCTACATGTGTGCTTTACTGCTTTAGTTTTATATTGTATTTAAAGTTTGCTTTACTATAGTACTGTACAGTAATTTCAAATTGCAGTTACAGTTTTCACCATGAAAATAATTTCCTATTGTATTTAAGACAAGAAGAACATTTTGTTCCTAGTTTGTAATTAATAATGCTCTTGATGTAGTGCAATAGTGTCTCTCATAAATAAGACAGAATAGCTAGTACGGTAAACTCCCATACACACTGTATACATACATTATCAGTACAAAGCAATATATACCGGTATATGTAATGCTCATCACGCCTATATAAACAAAATACCATAACTGCAGCCCATTACCACAGATGGACAAGTGCCAAATTTGAAGCAATTTTACATAACCTCAATTGCTTGAACCTAGGAGATCTCCCTAATCTATAAATTCCATTGCTTATTAATCTGTGGAAGCATCACTACAGTGCTTCGGTGCTTTTAAATTCACTAAAGCACTGAAATTTTCACGCCGAGATCTACGAAGCCAAAAGTGTTCTGCATTGTGTGAGGACAGGTTGAACACTGGCCCTAATCAACATTAAAAATGGAATTTAGATTCCTAAAAGAGTATAATTTGGGAGACAGGTGATAACAGTAGAGACTCGGTGCATGCAACCATCTCTTATATACACACTGACTAATACATGTTAGTGCTGGAAACATTTTTTTTTTTTAAGCATTTATTTTATCTTGTACTGTACCACAGATTATTCCAAGAATTATTAAAAATCATATATATTAATATTGATAAGGCATATTCATAACCGACACAAACACCGCATATTTTCATATCACATACTGTACTGAAACTCCCACACCTAAAGTATACAAGTTCCACTGAACACGGCAAGTTGTGTTAAAGGTACGTATCATAAAGCATCATATGGCCAGTAATATTAAATAATTATATACAGTAGACACAAGTCAACTCTGTTTTATGCTTCACTATGAATCCTCTGGACCAAGTTCATTTTTTTCACAAACTTGTTAACTGTAAATTATTTTAAATGCATAAATAAGAAAATTGAAAGATACTTTAATTAACAAAAATGTATTATAGTGAACAGATTCAATCTAAATTCAATTGTGTTCATAACAGGACCAATGATAATCATGATATTTAACAACAGAATGAAGTGATGTAAGAGCTCACTAATCCAGACCCTATTAACCCAGACCTTTGGGTAATCCAGACAACTTGATTCCAAGTTTTCTCTGCCAACTTCACCAAACTGTCAGAAATCTGGGTTACTAAGAGTTTTGGCAAGGTTTATTAATGACATTGGGAAACCTATGGTCACCAGAAAGCCAAGGGCCTTCAACTAGTGAAGCTTCAGCAGGTGGCAGTCAAAACTGACTTTGTCATGCTCGTGTACATTGATTTTAGTGTTATGTTAGGTCAGGATGAGTTAATAAATTATTATTGAAGCTCTTTATCAATCAAGCTAGCAAATTCCAACAGGGTAACCTGACATTTCTGTTACTGTCACAAAATTATTTTAGTACTACAAGTACTGTATTGTAGTGCCCAAAATGCTATGCATGCTTGTGTCTGTACAATAATGTAAGAACTCCTGTATATATAAATAAAATCAATTGTACCCTAAGATCCTCCCCCTAACCATGTAAATTTATGTTTACTGTGTCGAAATATGAATTATATCGATTGTCGAACAAACTTTTTTAATACTGTATGTTTATTTTTTAACCTTCCCAGTAAGAATTCCTGCTAATCCAGATGACTGGTTAATTCATAAAAGGGTGGGCCCATATGATCTGGATTAGCAAGCATACAGTTGTTATGTACTGCAATGTGTTGTTAAAGCATAATAGAGTACTATATTATATAAAACAAAATACTGTATATCCATTTATTGTGTTGTATTGTTAATAGACCAAAAAATGTGACTGTGCATAGAGGAGAACATTATATTAATTTTATATTTAATAAATGTCATGATTATGGACTGATTACTATGTTTTTAATGCAATACTATGTAGTTCAGCTCTGTACATGGTCTCAAGGAAGGCATTGCCTTGTGGAACTACCAGCTTTCTATAATATTCTCTACTTCAGTATCTACATTTGGTGAGATTTTACTAACTTGTTCTTAACTCAAGCAACACATTGGAATGCTGTTTGATTCTTCACTACCTGCATATGTACCTACCTTTACATTACCGTGAAGTGATTCCAAGAATCGATATCACAACGACCCAGCCTCTGACCAGGCCTCCTGGTTGGTGGTTTGGTCAATCAACCAGGTCAAGTTGGTGCTTGTTATATGCCACTGCTCGCAGTCTGACAGTTTTGGCATGCCTTGTATATTTGACGTGACACTATCTCGGGTTCACAAAGCTGTCTTGTTTTCCTGCCTACACGCTTTGTAGGCAAACTGTGGTTCTCTTATTCATGTGGCACTCTCACATTTCTGGCCAGGTTTCTTGTACCTTGTGCTGTTTTCTTAAAGACTAAGATAAAACTAACATAAAAGAAAGTTCAGTGAATAACTTTCAAGCCAGGACAAGTATGAGCACTGCCCTCGGCAAGGACAAGCATGAGCACTGCCCTCGGCAAGGACAAGCATGAGCACTGCCCTCGGCAAGGACAAGCATGAGCACTGCCCTCGGCAAGGACAAGCATGAGCACTGCCCTCGGCAAGGACAAGCATGAGCACTGCCCTCGGCAAGGACAAGCATGAACACTGCCCTCGGCAAGGACAAGCATGAGCACTGCCCTCGGCAAGGACAAGCATGAACACTGCCCTCGGCAAGGACAAGCATGAGCACTGCCCTCGGCAAGGACAAGCATGAACACTGCCCTCGGCAAGGACAAACTAGTGATGAAACACAAATAAATATCAGAGAAAGGCATAAGGTGGAAAAAATAATAGCAAATCAGTATTTATTGTAATAAGTGACATATAGGTAAAGAAAATGGAGGTGGTGAACAAGTGGGACTGCAATGCGAGCAAAGCCATGTAGGAAAAATGGTGACCCCCATATATTATACTCCATAAGATAATGAATATATGGAAAAAACAAGGCCAGCTGGTAGTATGAGACAGTGATGAGTGTTTTAACACATCTTCAGCCAACTCTCAAAATACTAACCATTATGCTGCACATATACTCTCCACTTGTGAAGCATAAACCAAGATTGAAAGGCACACACATTTGCAACTCTATAGATTGGTGCCAGAGCTAAGAAGGTTAAGCTATGAGAATAGGCTAATGGAACTAAATTTCACAACCCTAGAGGATAAAAGGAATAGAGGGGATATGATCATAACATAAAAGATACTGAAAGGAATAGATTGGTGGAAAAGGATAACCTCTTCAAACTGAGAGAAAGCAGGACAAGAGGACACAGGTGAAAGGCGGACACATAAATGAGCTGAAGAAATGTAAGGAAATACTTGTACCCTGTACAGGTAATGAACAAGTGGAATGCACTGAAAGAAGATGGTGTGGAAACCACTTCCATGTACAACCACAAGACCAGATTCGACAAAGAATTTGAATGTCAGAATTGTTCAATTAATACACAAAAGGTACAGCAAGGCTGGTAGGCAGGACAAAAAGCTAGACCTTACTTCCCCTTAAGACACCTACATAAGCACTGGAAATGCCAACACCAGTCTTTATGCTACATGTATAACCTACTCTTCCTTTCACTTTAAATATAGCCAAGACAAGCAGGAAGTGGGTGCCGTTGAAGAATAGAAGTTGAAGCTTGACGAGAAGAGCTGCTGTAAGAGAAAATGTGCCAGGGCTTGACCCAGCTGCTGGACTAATGACAGACTTAACTGAGCAACAGTTCAAGAGGCACGGTGGTGTAGAAGTCTTTCTTCAGTCTTGTTCTTTTTTCATGTATATACATTCTTGGTGATGTCAATATTATTATTATTATTCTTGAGGGTTTGATTTCTCATCATAACAGTGATGGTGTCACTATCACTCGCATTAGGGTCTTGGTTTGTGAGGCTGGGTCTACACAAGATGCTGGCAATGGTGCTTCAGTAGCAAAGTATTTTGAGAGCAAGTCTGCTTGAGTTGTGACAAGTGATACATAGTCTTTTCAATTAATTGCTTTTTAAGCAACACCAACCATCACACTACAAGGATAACCTACTCTACCCTCACACTAAACTGGACACACTAACACCAACCATCACACTAAAAGTATAACCTACTCTACCCTCACACTAAACTGGACACACCAACTAACATGACATCATTGGCAAAGAGTAGAAAAATACTAAATTGTTCCAAACACAAACCTAGGCTACAGGTAATAGTTGAACTCTGTGTGCATATGCTCAAATGATTTTTACATAAAACAGCTGATTACAGTATTTAGTATGTAACTTCTGTATTTTATAAATGTTTATAGCTAAGAAAAATCTAAAAAAAATTAATAAGAGTCATTTGCACAGGCAGTGATGAATTATAAACTAACAGAATAGAGTACTTGGCCACAGAAAGAAGTGTTATAAATACTGTAATGTGGACTAAATAGGGATGAATATTATCTAAGATAAATAGCTTCTTAATTACTAACAACTCATTCAACCTAGTTATCATAGCTCAAACTGTCAGCATATATATATGCTCAAAGAACATTTTGCTTTTAAAAGCTACCGAGATAATCTCCTTAGCAATATCAGCTTGCAGATATGCTTCCCACCAAAGTTTGCTGACATAGACTATTTTAGTCATGATCTGGATAGAATGCATATAATGTGACTAACATGATTGTTGCATCCCGAGGCATGAAGGTAGCGTGACTAGTCAGAGTCATCGTTGTTGTGGTCGGGTGGGTGCATGACGCCCATCCCTTCTTGCAGTTCCATCACGCTCTCCACAGGGTGCGGTTTTCCGTCATCACCAATGCGGCACGGCTGGATAATGTTGTTTCTGCGAGTGACAATATCACAAAGGAATTATGACTCTCTCAAGTGTGTTGCTTTTCATGTTCCTCTCCCTCATCCCAGAAACTCACTGTGTACCTTTGTGTAATAATTCACTTGATTAAATTGAACTTTACTGAACATGTAATTCTAACCATGCTTATATATTTGTATATTTACTATGGAGATCCCCCTGAATATTGTGGTATAATTGTAATGTACATTTATCCATATCATCCAGGAGTTGCATTCTGATCAATATTGATATTCTTGATCTACACCTCTTCCCCCAATCTACATCCATTATTCCTTTTGACTTTGGCACTGTATGTTCCTGGTTGTATCCATCATATTTGACTATTCCATAATAAAATCTAAGTACTTCCAATCAAATGGAAAAAATTGGACTCATTTGACCTTGTTACATCTGCAATCAGTTTAGTTTTGCAGGCAAGGAGTCACAATAACGTGGCTGAAATATGTTGACCAAACCACACACTAGAAAGTGAAGGGACCGAAATGTCGTCGTCACTTCACTTTCTAGTGTGTGGTTCAGTTTAGTTTTGCTCATTTTTTGTTAACACAAATAACATAGAAAACCATGTTGTAATTCATTGAAAATATATCATAGTTGAAATTGCTGGCTCTTTGGAAACAGAAACGATACCTTGTAAGTTTATCGAGAACATTAACAAGCTTCATTGCCTCGTGCTCTTTTTGCTCATCCGTCATACCCTCTAGTGGTGAAGGCCGAGGCGGCTCATATCTGCCAGTCACTGGGTTCACCCTAAAAAATAAATATAATTAAATTAGGTTTGGTACATTATGATGATTGAGGTAATTATTCCCAGGGCATTATCCAAGTTAATTTCCTAATACAGCTTTTAATGAAATAATCTTATAAAACCAAAAGCCTGGCCTACATCACTTGCTCCTCATATTTCTTTCCACTTCCAATGGTAATGCCAGACCATCCCCACCTCCACCATACACTAAAAATTTTTGTTAACACCCAAAACCAAATCCTTGACAACTCCAAGAATCCTGTTGTGAGTAGCATAGATGGAGCATAATTGGATGAATGTTGAGGCTGCAATGCATTATTTTTATTGTCAATGCCAGAATCCAGATGGAAAGAGACTAAAAATTATAATCAACTCACTATCATAATTTTTTTAGGCATAAGCCTCCTCTCATTGAATGAACAAGAAAATCAATATTTTGGGCATGAAAACCAGGCAATGCCAAACTAAAACAACAACTACTGAAAGGCAAAATCTAAGGATGCAAGCATCAAGTCCCCTGAGCTGAGGCATGCAAGATTCACTGCTTTCAAGAGGAGAATCTTTGCACCTGTACTCTAAAAGAAGGTACAGTAGACATATCTGCTCAAACTTTCAAAAAATTAAACTTGCAGCAAAGCCTGAAATGCTGTGAATAGAACTGAAATCTGATCCATTACAAAGAAAAGCAAGAAGAGCATCTTAGAAAGAACTAGCAATGCTTACTAAAAAGGAGTGGGGGATGCAAGATTAAGACATGTCTACACCATGAAATGAAGAACCAATCAGCCACTAGTACCCACAAAGGTCTTAAGAGGGAAGCAAGAACCACAAGAGACTATGAAACTGCATCAGCCATAACCCCATAATAACCCAACGCTTGAGGGCATTTTAGCAAAAGACCAAAAAGTAGACAACAACCGATTCATTAATTCATTGCAGCAAAACATTATGAAACAAAAACATACAAGGAGCACGCCAAGCACGAATTCCTGCCTCGGAGGCATTTGTTCGTGCCCTTAGGTCACCCCATCATCTCCAGGTAGACCACGCACTTTTGGTGAACTGGTCCCAGCCAATAAACATCCAAGAAAAGCTGGGATCCACAAGAAACTGGCAGCACATTAGACTAGCTGTTCAATGACTGACTGGAACCTGCTAGAGATGGCAAGGGCATTGTTAAATTTATACAGCATATCCTTTAAGTGGGAATGCCAAATGGCAAATAGAGGAGCATGAAAGCTCCAAACCAGATCACACTGAGCATTATTGAACACTGATGGAAAACTATATTTTTTCTTACCTGTAAATAAAAAAAAAATATGATAATGTAACAATGCATAATGAAAGCAATGCATTTTGATACAAACCAAAATGCCAAAACAACCCTGAAGATATCCTAGTGCTATAATAATACAGTATAGTGAAAATACACACAAAGATGGCTACAATGTACACAGCCCAAATGTTGTCACATGATGTCAAGCAAGGACATCATGTGACAATAGGATTTTATTACATTACTTTTCATATAGAGGCCCATCAGGGTGGAAGGTATTCATCAATACTCTTTATCTCTAGTACCATTATGACACTGTAGGGACAGAGAACAAATCCACAAGGGCCGTGACGAGGATTCGAACCTACGTCCGAGATCATCCCAGACGCTGCCTTTATCGACTGAGCTACGACATGGTCAAAAAGAGAGTTGAAGCCCTAGTTCTACTGAACTTACTGGATCTTGCAGCCTCTTCGAGACACAAACCAGGAAGTAATAAAGTAAGGGCGAAGAGGGAGAATGGCCTATAGACATAGCTCGAGTGCATGGGGGAGTTGTGTAAAACCCTGGTTTGTGTCTTGGAGAGGCTGCAGGATCCAGTAAGTTCAGTAGAACTTCGGTTTCAACTTTTTTTTTACCATGTCATAGCTCAGTCGATAAAGGCAGCATCTGGGATTATCTCGGATGTAGGGTCGAATCCTCGTCACGGCCCATGTGGATTTGTTCATTTGATGCATCATGCTATTGTGATTTCTGTATATGCTGAGTGAGAACTTATGCTGATAGTCATCCTGCCTAACTGCAAGAGCTATGAGGAGAGGTTAGAGACATTAAATATGCCAAAGCTAGAAGATAGAAAAAAAATGAGGTGATATGATCACTACATACAAAATAGTAATGGGAATTAACAAAATTGATGAAGAATTCTTGAGACCTGGAACTTCAAGAACTTCGGTCATAGTTTTAGGGTAACTAAACAAAGCTGCCAGAAAAATATTAAATTCACTGTCACAGAGTGGTAGATGGTAAGAACAAGAAGCTGGTGGTGGTCAAACCTTCAGTAGTTTCAAAACATTATATGACAAAGAGTACTGGGAAGACAGGACACCACAAGCGTAGCTCTCATCCTGTAACTACACTTAAGTAATTACCCAGACACGGAAGACTTGCCTTCGGGAGCAACCAAATGACTTCCATAGAAAGGTACTTGTCACCAACTAAAATCTAGTTTTTAAACTTTATAAATAATCAGATTATAGCTACTGTACTTACATTTCCCTCACTCTTTCGTACTCCTCAGTGTCAGAATCCTCCGAGTCCGAGGAATAATCCACCGCTGGTTTACTACCACCAAGCATAAGACCTCGGGAAGCAAGGAGTCCTGCTGCATTTCCATATCCAGTGTACTTTATGAGGCGGTCAACTGTACAAAATCAAAATGCTATAGTATAAATATTTGTCTTTACAGTTAAGCCAAAATTGAAAAGGATAAATCCAGTAGCAAGACAATAAATTTAAATAATAGTCACTATTTAAGACTTCATTATCATGGTTGTGGTTGCTGCTGCTAACACATGATTGCAGTAGTTAAAAACTTATAAGTGAGTAAGAAGCAATGTTATTAAAGCTTAACCTTGAAAAAATTTACAAACATTAAAAATCTGGAACAATTTGATTTCGATCACTATTTAAAGGCTTGGAATAAGGACACAAATTTTCAAAGATGTACAGAAAATATGCACAGACTGACCCAGAGCTCTTAATACTATTTTTTTAATATTTAAAAAAATATATATTTTGACAACTTAACCCCATACTGTACTACAAATAGTTAAAATACAGTTGATGTTGACCAGACTACACACTAGAAGGTGAAGGGACGACGACGTTTCGGTCCGTCCTGGACCATTCTCAAGTCGATTGTCTTGAGAATGTCACAATCGACTTGAGAATGGTCCAGGATGGACCGAAACATCGTCGTCCCTTCACCTTCTAGTGTGTGGTCTGGTCAACATACTTCAGCCATGCTATTGTGATTCATCGCCTGCATATGGTTACAATACAGTTTGTGTAAAGAATTTCTCTTCTATGGGTGACCCAGTAGGTTTACCAATGACAGTGGATGCATTCAGACCCCGTGACTTTTATCTCTGATGGTACAGTACAGTTTTAGAAATAGCTACTCAATTATTTATCTGTGTTTTTCTTGTTTCAGTAGTTGTGAGTATTGAAGAAAATATGCTAACCAGCAAAAGTAGTCAAACTAAAAAATTTAGGAGGAAGAAGACAGTTTACCATTGATGAAGAAAAGTGATCAAGGCTGTAGAGATTGGTGCTTCCACAGATGTTAAAGCAGAAGCAAAAGCCACATAATTCATTGCTAGTACAGAGTTCTGGTAGCTAAGAATCCGAGAGAAAAAAATTCTTGTTCAATTTCTGGACACGTGATATAACCCCACCCCAGATCACTACACTCTGCCACCCTGCTCGCTCTGCAAGCAGCAGAATGAGCAGGTGGTAAAGTGGGAAGGCTGGTGGTAGGGCAGAGGAGGTAGAGTATGAAAGTGGATGGTAGGGTGGGCATCGTGGGTGGGCAGGCAGCAGAGCAAGCGAGTAGCAGACTGGGTTGTTGGCCTATAGATCACACCCAGTCCTTCCCCAGTACCCCATCCCCACACTGGATCCTCCCTGCTACCTCCATCTCCTGCCCCTCTAGCACTGCCTGGATGGAATTAATATGGTATGGGCTTTCTTCCTACTAGCTGATGGCCTAGGAGGCAGAGATTGCCCAAGTGTCTGACACCCAACTTGCATTGTTTACTAATTGTGAATGCTTGACTGGCTGCTACATAACAGAGACAGTGAAATCTGTGAAGGGAACAACATAACCATTGGCCTAGTGAGGGCAAAGTTGTCACAATAAACCCATTAGTGGACTCCAGTTTGACAAGCACCAGTCATGTTAAATTCAATACCACATTCCGGATTTAATGATCAATGACTCGGTAAATAAGGCTCCAGTTACCGATTTCAAATTTGGTTGTTAGAACTGACAGAACAGTAAATCAGAGGTCCTTAAATCGAATGGATACTTTACATGCAAAAAGTTGTGGTCTATTATTTGCAGTGACAAAAAAAAAAAAATTAGCAATAAATAGCAAAAGTGTCAGTGGAATGGAGGTGGATTGGAATTGTTGGTGCATACGGACAAATCCAATCTTAATTAATCCACTAGATAAAACAAAATCTTACCACTTTCTTTGCACAGTATGAAGAGGAAATTTGCAGACAAGTGCTTCAAATCATGAAGAGGTGAAGTCATTAGGGTACACAACTTATTGCGAAGTGTATGCCCCTCCTCAGGTCTTTTACTTACATCCCGAAGAGGAGGTAATACACGTAAACGTACAAACTTGCGGATAGTACGGTTGGCCTGCACCATCTCAACCATCAGAGTCAAAATTGGCATGAGGGACTTGTTTGAGGATTGGCCAGGCTAAGGAACAATTGAATCCATTAAACATTGGCATTATTAATTTTTGCATTATTAATCACATTAAAAGCTGTTCATTTAAAAGCAAAGTACAAAAGGTGAACAAGTGTAAAAGAGTGAGATTTCATTGTAAATTTTATTGTTGCACAGCTTAATGTACATACACACTAGTGTAGGTGTTTCTGACCGCTGGGTACCTTACCTTGCTAGGCTGCCCCTGACAATGCCAATGTAGGAAGCATTCATCATGGAAAAAGTAATATGAAAATGTAAATGTTTTTTAAACCGAGCTCTCAGAACCAATTAAGTAATTTATGACAAAACCTAGGCAAGGCATCAATGAATATGGACACTATACAGAACTGTACTGTAATCCCTCTATTTACATCCAGGTTGCATTCCTGGAAATTGAGAGTTTAATCAAAAGTACATACTGTACATCAAAACCTATTTTCCCACAAAAATCAATGTCATAATGTGGATATGAATTCTGCAAAGAAATTAAATTTCAAATTATATCCAAAATCCAGGAAATAAATATGGTAGCATACATTATAAGTACATCCATCCATTCTTGCTAAAATATAGCAGTGGAGATTTTGTGTGTTGAAGCTTGGTATGGGGTAAATGCTACTTGAATAGTTGCAGAAAGAGAGAGGCAGGTATGTCTAACTTTTCGACCTAAAGGAGAAATAGGTGCACCTTTCTCTTGGGGGTTCCCTTGGCTCCTTGAAGGAATAGTTGCTAATTAACTTTCAGAGCTCTTTTGTGCTATTCTTCTCATCGTATATGGTTGACCAGAAAACTTACCTGCTCTCTTAAAATCACTGCCTCATTCCAACATTTTCATGTCATTTCTTCATCTTCTTTTTATTATTTTATTAATTTGGAGTTGTGTATCTCTTAACCACTAAACTGCACAAAACGTCATATGAAGTGTGACATTGAACTCAGTTTTTTAAATTTTCTGAAACTCTTTCAAATGTTTTGTGCACAATCTATTAGGCAAATACTCCAACTCTGTCTGAATTATATCAGTGTAACTTGAAAAACAATAAAATAAAAAATAATTATAAAATTGAATATTGAAAACTTCAGATTTTGAAATCGCCTGCAAAAATATAAAATATCACCAATTGTTCATTTGATGTTATTATGTTCTCAGATTAGCATATGATTTTCATTTTCATATATTTAGAATATATGAAATAGTTTTAGTATAGTTTACTGTAAAAAAAAATTGTCAATATAGCATTTGAAATACAGTACAGTATGCGCAAATTTAGACAACAAAAATTAATAACTCCAAAGTTTAGAATTTATGAAAAATCAATGCTATAGGGGTTGTAGAACAGACAGCTGTGCACACTATATGTAAAAATGGTGAGAATTGGTCAGAAACTAGATTTTTGGATGCTGAAATAAGTTGAAATTCTAGTTATAGATATAATTGAAGTTGAAGTTATCGACAATAAATAAGGCAGTTCTAATTCATGAATTTACTTGTATGTTTTAATAAACATTGTTTGGCATTCGTACTCAAATATGTGAAAGATGTAGGTCAATATGTGTTGAAATGAAGTCAAGAAAAAATAGCCCCCCCTCCCCAAAAAAATACTGTATATAGGGATAATTATATATAAAATTATTAGGGATAATATATATAAAATATAGGGATAATTATAATATTTATCTTGTTTTCTTGCTTGTTAAAAGATGAATACAAAAAGTTATAAGAAGCAGGTCACAGGTCAAAATTTATCCCCCATGGACCAAATCTTGCTTTTTTTTATACTTGGTAAAAACTTGAGGCGAAGTGATTAAACAAGATGCTGTACAAGCATAGCTTAACTGTATAAATTCAAATACAGCACTGCATTAGACATTTGGTGCTATGAAGAGGGGGGACCTGCTGCATGGTTAACAGCTTCTTCCCCCATATTAACCTACCCTGGCTTTGCGCCCTGGAGAAGAAACTCCAGACCGACAACCAGAGCGCAACTCCATAGTCTCCCGAGACTGATGGATGCCTACTACTAATTATTTTGTTTAACACATTTAAAAGATGGTTATGCAAGGTAATTTGGAATTCTGATCAGAAAATATTATACAAACTGATACAAAACTAAAGCATATAGCAACTGTAGAGAGCGGTTGATGGCACAGCATTACGTTGCTATTACACAAAAGTACTAATGTCATCATAACATAACTCATGATATATATAACTACATACATATCTATACTTCTTATCTCAAACTCAAGTGTTATTATGGTATAGGACAAATCTCACAAATGCTACCCCAGTACCTTAAATCATTTATCAATTTAAACTACCATATACTGTAATAATACTCAACATTTAAAAATACTTGAAAAATTAAGATGTCACAAAGAACAAAACCATATAAACTCTTGGTACCTTATATGTTGCCCATGTCAAACATTGATTTTCTGGCTATGTGTAAAAAACAAGAATAAATTTAAATTCTGAACCAAAACAATATTTATTTATTTTTTCAAAGAACATGTAAAATGCTCCTAGTCATTTATAATTAATATTAGTGAAGCATACTCAAACAGTTAATCTTTCATCATAAACTTAACTGAATATATGATTACATAATAAAACTCAATACTTACAGCTTTTAATCTTGAATCAAGAAAATCTAGAAGTTGTATAATGGCTGTCATGTCTTTGCCATCATACTCGCAAGAGCGCTCATCAAAGTCATGACTATTGACCTCGGTGAAGCAGGCAGCTTCCATCAGTGCCATTGCTCCAGCAGTTGGTTGTGTAGTGACTACAGCAGGAACAGGTGGGGACGTGGGCCCACCGCTGGCCTGCGGCATACTCAACAGTAACTCCTCATACATGTTCGGAGGCATCACTAACAGCAAGTTAACAGTATTGCTGCAGGAAAATATCATGTTTTGATTAAACAGAAATGGCAAACAAAAACAAAAACACAAAATAAACTGAAGTTTTGAGGACACAGATGCAAATGCCATTCATACTTATATTGGAAAACATAGTTAAATAAATTACCTGCAACATGGATTTACAAAGAGACAATCATGAACGAATTTACTCTTTTTCAAAGCTACATGAAGCAGTAGACAAATGTAAATATTATATTATTGCATATCTCTAGTCTTTATTAAGAACTTTCATGTGACATTTTATTATCAAAGATTGATAACGAAGGTAGAGAAGCATGGTGTTGGAAGGAACCATTTAGCACTGACTGCAATATTCTTCTATTATTGCATGATGACAAATTCTGTGACAGCAATATTTAATAACTGCACACATTATAGTACATGTATACGAAACCTTTCCTTACACTCCAGTATTCAACAAGAAATTTTGTCTTTAAAACTGGTGCTTGGACATGCCCACCTGCTGTCATTTGTTGGCAACGAAGTTGAATGTAAACACAAACAAAACCATGCAACCTGCCACCAACATCACACGACACTTGCCTACACTCACACCTCTTATGATAATGCAAAACAATACTTTTCTCTGAAAGGAAAGTACAAAGAAACCTTCTAATTTATTTCATGAAAAATCATATACAGTACTGTGTTTCTTTAAATAACCTGTGTAGTGAATCTGTTTTCTCTGGACACCGACAAGATGCCAGCAGAAGAGAGCGGAGGATGCTGATCAGTCGTAGGCAGTGGCTGTCCTCCTCTTCATCTGGGCAGTTCTTATCAATATGGAGGACTAGATTGTATAGGACTTTTAAAACCTCATTCACTAGCTCTGCCTGTTCATCCTGAAAAAATCCACGCAATAAATCTAATGAAACTCCTCTTTCTGGCGAGTCTTTGGTGGCTCCTTGTTGCTGGCTACTTGGATTGCTCCACCCAATTCAATCCAAGCCAGACCCTTGTGAGTCATAGTAAGCCTACCTGGGACCAGAGGCCAAAACCTGGCCTCTCTATAAAGACTCAAGGAGCAGGATACAAGATCACTCTAACCAATAAAGTCCAACAGAATGGTGGGCAAACCAAAACAATCAGCAAGGTAAACAAATCCTAGAAAATTAGAAAACAAAACCCCAAAACCTATTTGTTCATAAGAATGAAGGTAACTGCAGAAGGCCTATTGGCCCCATACGAGGCAGCTCCTATTTATAACCACTCAATCCCACTCATTTGCATGTCCAAACCACGTTTGAAACAATCAAGGGACCCCACCTCCACCATGTTACGCGGTAATTGGTTCCACAAATCAACAACCCTGTTACCGAACCAGTATTTACGCAAGTCTTTCCTAAATCTAAACTTATCCAATTTTATACCCATTGTTTCGTGTTCTGTCTTGTGTTGATACTTTTAATACCCTATTAATATCCCCCTTGTTATGTCCATTCATCCACTTGTAAGCCTCTATCATGTCACCCCTAACTCTTTGCCTTTCCAGTGAATGCAATTTAAGCTTAGTTAATCTTTCTTCATATGAAAGATTTCTAATTTGGAGAATTAACTTTGTCATCCTACGCTGGACATATTCAAGTGAATTTATATCTATTCTATAGTATGGCGACCAAAACTGAACTGCATAATCTAAATGGGACCTAACCAGAGCAAGATATAGCTGAAGAACAACACCAGGTGTCTTGTTACTAACGCTTTGATTATTAAATCCCAGTGCAATCCAACATGGATTGCGATGTTGTATACCTTGACTTTAGCAAAGCTTTTGATACAGTGCCACATGAAAGACTGATTAAAAAAATAGAGTCTCATGGTATTGGGGGTGCTATATTAAGCTGGATTAGGGCATGGCTATACCAAAGGAAACAGAGAGTTAGTATAAATGGAATCAAGTCAGAGTGGGAAAATGTTGTAAGTGGAGTGCCTCAAGGCTCTGTCCTGGGACCTCTGTTGTTTATAATATATATAAATGATTTAGATTCAGGTTTGAGTAGCAACATTTGCAAATTTGCCGATGATACGAAAATCGGTAGGGAAATTAATTCGGAGGAGGACTCACTATCACTTCAAGTTGATCTAGATAGGGTTTTGAAATGGTCAAAGGATTGGCAGATGCAGTTTAATGCTGATAAATGTAAAGTTCTGAGGTTAGGTAATGATGATAGAGTTACAAGATACGAGCTAGATGGTGTTGTGATTGCGAAGTCGGATTGCGAAAGGGATCTGGGAGTTATGATTAGTAAGAATTTAAAACAAAAGGATCAATGCATAAATGTTCGTAATAAGGCAAATCGGACACTTGGATTTATTAATCGCAGCGTTAGTAACAAGACACCTGGTGTGGTTCTCAAGCTATATCTTGCTCTAGTTAGGCCCCATTTAGATTATGCAGTTCAGTTTTGGTCGCCATATTATAGAATGGATATAAATTCACTTGAACGTGTCCAGCGTAGGATGACTAAGTTAATTCCCCAAATTAGAAATCTTTCATATGAAGAAAGATTAACAAAGCTTAAGTTGCATTCACTGGAAAGGCGAAGAGTTAGGGGTGACATGATAGAGGTTTACAAGTGGATGAATGGACATAACCGGGGGGATATTAATAGGGTATTAAAAGTATCAACACAGGACAGAACACGAAACAATGGATATAAATTGGATAAGTTTAGATTTAGGAAAGACTTGGGTAAATACTGGTTCAGTAACAGGGTTGATGATTTGTGGAACCAATTGCCGCGTAACATTGTGGAGGTGGGGTCCCTCGATTGTTTCAAGCACGGGTTGGACAAGTATATGAGTGGGATTGGGTGGTTATAGAATAGGAGCTGCCTCGTATGGGCCAATAGGCCTTCTGCAGTTACCTTTGTTTTTATGTTCTTATGTTCTTATGTCCTATTTGCCTTATTATGAACATTCATGCATTGATCCTTTGGTTTTGAATTCTTACTAATCATAACTCCCAGATCCCTTTTGCAATCCGACTTCACAATCTCAACACTATCTAGCTCGTATCTTGTAACTATCATCATTACCTAGCCTCAGAACTTTACATTTATCAGCATTAAACTGCATCTGCCAATCTTTTGACCATTTCAAAACCCTATTTAGATCAACTTGTAGTGATAGTGAGTCTTCTTCTGTGTTAATTTCCCTATCGATTTTTGTATCATCGGCAAATTTGCAAATGTTGCTACTCCAACCTCAATCTAAATCATTTATATATATTATAAACAATAGAGGTCCCAAGACAGAGCCTTGGGGCACTCCACTTACAACATTTTCCCACTCTGACTTAACCCCATTTATACTAACTCTGTTTTCTTTGGTATAGCCATGCCCTTCTTGAGTTATCTTGAGATGATTTCGGGGCTTTTAGTGTCCCCGCGGCCCGGTCCTCGACCAGGCCTCCACCCCCAGGAAGCAGCCCGTGACAGCTGACTAACTCCCAGGTACCTATTTACTGCTAGGTAACAGGGGTATTCAGGGTGAAAGAAACTTTGCCCATTTGTTTCTGCCTCGTGCGGGAATCGAACCCGCGCCACAGAATTACGAGTCCTGCGCGCTATCCACCAGGCTACGAGGCCCCTAATCCAACTTAATATAGCACCCCCAATACAATGAGCCTCTATCTTTTTAACACTTTCTGCTGATGAGGACTCCCCCCGGAGTCCTGTTTCGCCTCACCGCTTCCGCATGGTGGACATAAATTTATGTCCTCTTTTAAAATATTTATATAAAATTCAATTTTAATCCGATTTACTTTGGGTTTGTTTCAAACTGCGCGCCATGAGGCTCTCTTTCTCACCACTAGGCGGCATGGTACAATAAGTTCATGAAAGGTGTGGACCACTTCGATCAATTGGTATTACCATTTTACCCGGAAAACTCAGAAGTGGACCTAAAAGATAGTTTTATTTCCTGCAAATGGCTTTGCATAATGCCTTTGTTTTGTACAAATACAACACAACTGATCAAAAAAAGCTAACATTGGTACAGTTCCACGAGGTGGCAAATTGGGCCCTATTGTGCTGGGACCCGGAAGATTGGCCTCAAACAGCAACAGTATCTCAACACTTGCGGCACGCTCCAGACATAAATGATGACACAGGTCCTGCCTATGCTGACGCCATGCAAACTCCTGGACCATCTGGTGTGAGGCGGCCTTTGTTCACTTCAACACCTCAAGCTGAAGCAGCAACCAAATCAGAACCCGAGATGTCTGGCACACTGCCATTTGACGAGACGGTTTTGTCAGATGACTCTGACTCAAATGTTGAACCTCCAGCGATTCAGTTGATTCTGAAAATCGCATGAACTACAAACTGAAACGAGTATTTTGATACCAGAATGAACACTATCTCACAAACTGCCATAAGTAGACTCGAACCTTCATAGATTTTTTTTTGGGTGTAGCGTGTGTCTGGTTGCAGGTGGGTGACTTTAGCCGTTTATACTGGTAATGCTTCCCCCATATCATGTATTATATACATATGTCTGTTTAGGGAATTTTATTCCGATCAATGTACAACCAAAAATAACTGTGTGCAACAAGTACAAACTTGACAAACATAACAAAAGTAAAAACATTTTGTGTGTGTTTGACGCTCACTGATATGTTCCAGCGTTGTTTTATATTTGGCGCTATTCTATCTTACGCTTTGTTGATCTTTTTTACCTACGGGCTCATAGAACATTCTATTGTGAACACATTGACACACAAATGAATGACGTACATATAATAATAATGTCAGGAGAGTGAAATAAGTATAAACTTTCAAAGCGCCGTATCGCACATGTGTCGTCCCGTCACCGATACCGGGTAACAATTTCACCACTTCCCACTCTCTTGCGGGTGGGCCGCAATCATTATTCTACGTTTATATTCATATCACCATGTTGGGAATTTCATTGCGAGTCCATTGATACCAAAATTAACGCTGTAGGACAAGTGTGGAGGTGATAACAATCCCAAGAGTAAAAACATTTTGTTGCTGTTGGGCGCTCACGGCGAGTCATCTTCGTAGTTATTTATTTGGTGCTGGTATCCCTATACGTTTCGTGACTTTTTTTACTGATGTTCTTCTAGAGAATTTTATTGCGAACATGTTGGTACCAAAATGAAATACGTTGCTCGAGAACTAAGGTCAGGAGAGTAAAAAGAGTATACACATTTTTGTTTTTACGCTTACGCGGCAAAAACGCCGCGCGCACATACCGCTTTTTTTTTTACCATCCCAGGGGGCGCGAAAGTGTTAATCAGTCTTTCATGTGACACTGTATCAAAAGCTTTGCTAAAGTCAAGGGACACAACACCACAAACCTTACCACTATCAACTGCCTCAACTATGCTGGAATAAAAAGATAGCAAACTTGTTAAACATGAATGGCCATTTATAAAACCATGTTGTGACTCGTTTATTAATTTATGTTTTTCAAGATGAAGATGAATGGTACAGTATTTGCAATTATCAATTCAAATAAGTTTCCCACAATAGACGTTAGGCTAATTGGCCAATAGTTTGATGCAAGTGATCTATCTCTTTTCTTAAAAATTGGTACTGTACCACATTAGCAACCTTCCACGACTCTGGCACTCTGCCTGACTTTAATGATTTATTAAATATGAAATACAATGGCTTGCAAAGCTCCTCTTTGCATTCTTTAAGCACCCTGCAAAATATATTCTCTTGGTCTTTTCTTGGTTATGGTGATCTCATAATTCCTGCTACTTGTGCCTCTATATAGGGGATCAGGTTTTGGCATCAGGTCCCCGGTAGGCTTTAAATTACCTGCAAAGGCCCAGTGTGAAGTGAATTACAGTATGTGAAGCCATCCAGGTGGCTACTCACAAGAAGCCACTATAATAGCCCTCCCAGAAATAATACATAAAACAAGCTTACAATCAAGACTTATATACTTGATATAAATTTAGGCACTATAAAATATTTGGAAAACATGCATGATAATCTTGATCATCATAAATAGGCCTCAAACACACAAATACATCATGGCACACAACTGGACTGTAATTTCTATTAATTCATAGGAGTAAGGGGCCATATTAACACAAGTTATACGAACATTAACATTAAAGTTAATCTAACTAAAGAAAAATATACTGTATTTCATAACATGCATTAGTGGCATGGGAAGTTACACACACCTGATCTGCTATTTCAAAAGTTCAAAAATATGTTAAAATACATGAAAAGGTCAAATAAAACTTACATTAAAAATTACAGGACATGGGATATAACCATTGATAGATTGAATTTCACTATCTTCCTGGGCAGTTTTTAGTGACAAGTCCAGTATCTCTATTAAGTACGTGAGGCCATGGTACTCGGATCGTAGCTGCGGTCTGTGGAGCGATACCACCTAAATTAATATTTACCTTACACTATTGCAGCAAATCTTATGCTTAAGCTTAATCACAACAAACTAATTAAATGAGTTAATCATGAACGATTGCTTAAAATTTGTTTCCTGTACAATGAAAAAGATATGTAGGTATAAAGATTTGGAAAGTGTTCTAGGAATAAGTTCATTAAGTATACTGTACTGTATACGATAACTTTGAAAACTGATTGATGCAGTTTACATTTAAATCTATTGCTAATGTTATTTAATGTCATCATGGCCTGGAAATGAACAATGAAATATAATAGGAAAACTACATCGGAAGTCGAATGTGGGGTTAGTGCAGAAAGAAAACCACTCAAAACAGGGCAAAGCCATATAAAATCTAATTAATCAAGGAGCATGAGCTGGGGTTGAATGAGCACACTGTTGTGAAAACAGTTTAAAGATGATTGCATAAAAGAGAGTAATCAACAGAAAGTGAAGTCCAAAGGACAACACTATGTTTAAACAGCAGTAAACATGGAGAGTACATTCAATAATGATGCTTTCCCTATATCAGTCTCAGAGATAAACTATCAATTTGCTCATACCAGTACATTCCTATTATATATTATCATTACATAATAAAAATTAATTTAAAGCCGTGGAAATTTATGTAGAAGGTAAACCATTAGAGCTAACAATAACATACATGTAAAAACAACAACAAATACTTATGTCATCATGTTGACGTTTAAAAAAATTATTGGTATCTTCATCATATTTAGTAAATTAATTTTATAACACCAGACATGTACATGACAATACAAGATCATTTCATGTTTCTGCTCACTGTGGCATACCGAGCACAAGGCAAACTTCTGGGAATTGGGTTAGTCTTTTGGGTTAAATCAATACAGTAATTATAGTTAATTCACCTAATATCCCCACAGAAAGCCGTCAGTAAAAAAAGGAGTCTCATATCAAAGTACTTGACGATGTGAGGTAACTCTGGGTCCCTGAATGTCTTGAGGCGGCACATAAGGCCCGGCACGCAGCTGTTGTTGCAGCACATCCTCTGGATGGAGCTGCTGTTGTACACCAAATTGCTCAGGCACTTCTGTGCTTCTATCACCACTACAAATAAAAAAAGGAAACTTCAAGTATCTACCATTTATATATATAAAATAAACTTTAATTATCCACCATTTATAAAGCAAGCATATGCATAAGGCACAATACCTAAAGATGAAGTTTAAAAAGAACTTTTAATATAATGAATTGGATTTTAATTTCAGGGCATGGCACTAATTATATACTGTATATAATTAATTTATGGCAAAGCAACTGTACCATCATAATTGATTTGTTGATTAAGACGCTCCAAGGCTTCCTCTTCTGGGACCAGGCCGGCCAGACGGACAATCACTGCCAGTCTGGTACTGTCAATAACCCTATACAGCGATGATTTGTCACGACTGCAGAAAGAGTTGGATTATCACCAATTGTATTGTAAAACAACTGCTTTTTTCCTTATATATGTAGTATAAATATTTACTTTCTAAAGGTGATAAAGTTTGACTTAATCAAACATCTCCAAGTCTCTTCTTGTGTTCGACATCTCTAAACACAAGAAAAATTACCGAATACCTTCATAAAGAAATAAATTTATACAGTTAATACCGTTTTCCTCTGGTCATCATCCATCCAAGAAAGGACTTCCGTCATACCCACTACATTTACTGCACTTGGCAATACAATACTGTACTCTATTAATTTTTACATATTCACTTGTAATGATTTACACTGCAAAACTTTGCAGTGTTTAAAAAATCCATCTGGATATTTTACTGCATAATAATGCATGTATTTTATCAAATAATTTCCCACTTTTCATTCACAGGTAAATTACAAAATTTATCTCCCAAAAAACTGATTACAAAAAATGTGTTTATTAATAAAGATTTTAATATTTTCCTCTTCTCTTATTGCTACTGAAACATACAATTTAGTACATTAAGCTTACCTCAAAATTCTAATAGCAGAGAGACAAATTTGATGAGTGGTGTTAGCCAGAGGATCACTCAGTCGCCCCATGATAACGTCCCACAGCCGGTCGCAACATTCAGGTTCAAGGCCCACGGGTGTGAACTGTTTCTCATACTATTTGTAAAGGCAAGACGACAATTATTAAAAATATGACACTAAAAGACTTAGAGTTACTTCTGAGCAACCTATCAGTTGCTCCCAGAGTCAGCAGACAGGGTATACCCAAGATACTACTCACACACTATACTCTAGTTTACTTTCCCTCTACAGTGACAAGTAACTTTAAAAAGGTCTTAGCCATGCATTGAGGAGACTGTGGAGGACTCTCTCAACCCACTGCCAAGGATGAACAGTGACTGACACCAAAGAGCTGAGCAAACCTCTCATCACTACCTCCAAACAATGAGTGGTGAGACGAGTGGTGTAGTGGAAGCAGGTTGACCGTGTTGTGGTAAAAAGGGAAACACTGGCGTCATAACGGGCTGGGAATGAGAAGGGCGTTGTAGAAGAACAGAGTGTAACAGGTCTCGTGGAAGGCTGGGAAAAGAAATGTGGATACCTGGTCAACCGGATTATTATTCTAATGTCAGGCAGAGACTAACTGCATCTAAAGAGTCTGATTGACTAGACCACCAACCAGGACGCTTGATTAGAGACTGGACACTGATCCTTGGAACCAACGCAAGGGAAGGTGGGTTTGTGGTGAGATAGTTCTCATTAACTTTCAGGGACAAGACGGGTGTTATAAGAGGGTAGTTACTGTCAGAGATGTCGTTAGTGTTCGGGGGCGAGACAGGTGTCGTAAAAGACCTGGGTTAAGACAGGTGTCACAGAGGGCCAGGGGAGACCACTCACCTTCCCCACAAACTCCTTCAGTAGGCGACCCACGTCCTGATGAGTACCGCTCTCCAGCAGCTTCAACACCGACTCCTCCATGGCCGCCACCTGCACCAGCCTGTGGTATTCTACAGGACACACCTAAGACTTCCTCTTTACGAGTGATGGAGGGCGGACAGGTGGGGCTTCTCAGCTCCTCCCTGACACTCCCAGCAGACAGCTTGTAAACATTCCCCGTTCGCTACTCCAATACTTTTATACAAACTTTCCAAAAACGCATCAAACTAGTTTACACACCTAAGTGTTTATTGATTACATTATTTTATTGCAATTTTTATTTAAAAAGTACTCTAGTTTGGATATAAATTCTCGGTTATTTTGCGCCAGTGTGACATTCACAATTGAATTGTTTGCTTGCATCAATTTTGGCCGTGACGTCATAGTATAAGGAATCGAATCATCTACAGCAAAGATGCCCAAGTGTATAGTCGCCTAGTTGTGCTTGCGGGGGTTGAGCTCTGGCTCTTTGGTCCCGCCTCTCAACTGTCAATCAACTGGTAATTACCTAAGTGTAATTACCTAAGTGTAGTTACAGGATGAGAGTTACGCTCGTGGTGTCCCGTCTTCCCAGCACTCTTTGTCATATAACGCTTTGAAACTACTGACGGTCTTGGCCTCCACCACCTTCTCACTTAACTTGTTCCAACCGTCTACCACTCTATTTGCGAAGGTGAATTTTCTTATATTTCTTCGGCATCTGTGTTTAGCTAGTTTAAATCTATGACCTCTTGTTCTTGAAGTGCCAGGTCTCAGGAAATCTTCCCTGTCGATTTTATCAATTCCTGTTACTATTTTGTATGTAGTGATCATATCACCTCTTTTTCTTCTGTCTTCTAGTTTTGGCATGTTTAATGCTTCCAACCTCTCCTCGTAGCTCTTGCCCTTCAGTTCTGGGAGCCACTTCGTAGCATGTCTTTGCACCTTTTCCAGTTTGTTGATGTGCTTCTTAAGATATGGGCACCACACAACAACTGCATATTCTAGCTTTGGCCTAACAAAAGTCATGAACAATTTCTTTAGTATATCGCCATCCATGTATTTAAATGCAATTCTGAAGTTAGAAAGCATCGCATAGGCTCCTTGCACAATATTCTTTATGTGGTCCTCAGGTGATAGTTTTCTATCTAGAACCACCCCTAGATCTCTTTCTTTACCAGAATTCTTTAAAGATTTCTCACATAATATATAGGTTGTATGGGGTCTATGTTCTCCTGTTCCACATTCCATCACATGACATTTATTAACATTAAATTCCATTTGCCAGGTGGTGCTCCATATACTTATTTTGTCCAGGTCTTCTTGAAGGGCATGACAATCATCTAAATTTCTTATCCTTCCTATTATCTTAGCATCATCAGCAAACATGTTCATATAATTCTGTATACCAACTGGTAGATCATTTATGTACACAATAAACATCACTGGTGCAAGAACTGAACCCTGTGGTACTCCACTTGTGACATTTCTCCATTCCGATACATTGCCTCTGATTACTGCCCTCATTTTTCTATCAGTCAGAAAATTTTTCATCCATGATAGAAGCTTACCTGTCACCCCTCCAATATTTTCCAGTTTCCAGAACAACCTCTTATGTGGAACTCTGTCGAAAGCCTTTTTTAGGTCCAGATAGATGCAGTCAACCCAATGGTGTACAGATTCCTGAGCCTACTGGGCTCTATCATATCTATATTTGAAACTGTGTATGGAGTCAGCCTCCAGGGTGATACCCGATCAATCAGGCTGTGATTCATACGTCAGGCTGCGAGCAGCCGCGTCCAACAGCCTGGTTGACCAGCAACGAGGAGGTCTGCTCGAGGACCGGGCCTTGGGGACGATAAGCCTCGAAATCATCGCAAGGTTACCACGTCTCCACCACACGTGTGAGCGGGGAAGTGGGCATAACTGATGAATAGCTTGTGGAGAGTTGCTTGCAGGAGGAGAGAGAGAGCCGGGACTTGACCCCAGCCTGCTCAACGATCTTGACTAGTACTCACCTAGTTATGCTTGCAGGGGTTGAAGTAATTATCAAAAGGTGGTGTAGCGACTATAAACAATATACTCGTTCCAAACTCATTAGGTTAATGGGCGAAGCAAAACTCTCATTAGCACTAATGATGTCACTCATACCTTTTCCCTAATTACAGTTAACATTCTTTCCATCCTTCTAACCTACCTTGAGTTCTAACCGACCCCAAGACGCTCCAGCTTCGACACAGAGCAGACAGTAGACTCCGACCACATCGAGCTCTCACACTCCTTCCCCATCGAGCTCCCACGCTCTCAGCCTCATCGAGTTTAGACACTCACCATCCCACATGGAGCCGCCACGCTCGCCTGCATCCAGCTCCGCGACTCCGGCCGCACTTGGCTCTCTGCTCTGCCCCAAGGTCCGTCTCATAAATAAATAAATAAATGTTTATTTAGGTAAGGTATATACATAAAGAGATTTTACAAAGTTTGTTGGGTTAATAGATAGAGCTAGTACATACGTCTCATCGTCTACGACACTGCCAACAACAACCGACTGTTGTAACCAAGACTGCTAAATAAATATGAAAACCTGTATCACTGTATCTAATCTACCCAACAACGTAACAATCGTACATTACAAAGGCATCAAAGCCGGGAAGGCTATGTAACTCTTGAGCCTCGGCTCATTGGTCCCGCCTCTCAGCTGTCAATCTACTGGAATAAAGGGTCCTGAGCCTATTGGGCTCTATTATTTCAAGCTGAGTTTCCAGACACATTCTAAATATAGCAAAACAAGTTTCTAAAACTGTTGGCATTCTTTCTAAGATCAGATATTATGTACCTCGCCCTGCCCTGGTGGCGCTTTATTACTCTTTCATCTATCCTTACCTCAATTATGGTATTTGTGCTTGGGGTTCTACTACCCAGAATCATTTACGTCCTCTAATTAATCAACACAAAGCTGCTATCAGAACAATATCAAACTCTGGCCCCAGACAGCACTCGGTACCCCTACTTAAATCTTTGAATATGTTAGATATTAAGTCACTGCACATCCTCTCATGTGTATTCTATATATTTAAAACTGGACTGTAATGCCAATCCTGACCTTAAACGCTTCCTAGAAGGTTGTAACAGAACCCATGGGCACCACACCAGAAACATACATATTTGCTATTCCAAGAGTGCGACTTAACCAAACTAGAAATGCTCTACAAATCAAGGAACCCAGAATGTGGAATGACCTTCCCAATCATGTCAAAGGCTGTACCTCTCTCAACCAATTTAAGAGGAAAAACTAAATACTACCTAATAAACTCCCTGTTACCTACCTTACCCCCTAAATGTTAACCCATGTCTTGCTTGTGACGGGTTGTGGTATCGCAGCTATACTGGACCAAGGTGGTATGGCTCTCCATCACATAAATAAAAAAAATGCTGCTATTGGCCATGCAGTGAGTAAGTCGCAGGTGAAAAATGGAAATCATCAAATAAATAATTAAAACAATTTACTGAAATAATGAACAAAAAATTACCTGAGAACACTTGGCGATCATATAATGCAAAGGTGGCCAAGTTAATATGAAAATTAATACAAAAATAAACTGTAAGAAAGTCAATGGATACAATGCATGAAGATATACTGGTGTACTGAAGACAGCTACCATACCACCATGGCATCAGACACGGCGTAGGCCAAGGGCAGACGACGAGTGAGAGAGACCAAGGTGATCCAAGAGCACTAACAAAGAGACAGGCTTTCCAGGGTTTGTTGTTGTTATAGATTCAGCTACTGGGAACAAGTTCCAATTAGCACGGGCTATGGTGAGCCCGTAACTTACTTGGCACAGGAGCGGGGCAAGTAGCACGGGCTATGGTGAGCCCGTAGAGGACTTACCTGGCACAGGAGCGGTGCCAGGTAAGTTTAACCTTTCCAGGGAGGAGGTGCCCTTTATATAGTCTGGCGGTGATAACCCATCCGGTGTCAACGCAAGGTGGACCTTTGGTCAACTAACAAACTGGTAGTTTGTGGATAGCAGTGTCTTTGTGTTAAGCTGCACCACTGCCAGTTGAAGGTGGCTAACTGATTGTTCGTGAAGGCAAACTACCGGTTAGCAGAGGCGCCCGGCTTGCCTCTGGGTCGTACCAGGCCGTACCAGGCCCCGTGGGGTATGGAGAGGTGGCAGGACTGATGACTCGTCTGGGCTGGTGTAGAGGTAGACTTCCAGTACAGAGGCATTAAAGGTGAGGGGAAAAGGCAGTTCCACTGCTATGCAGGGGATTCACGTGACATGCTATTTTCAAACAATACTGTGTCTTGACCAAGTTGTATAATTGCTGATTTCTGCCATGTTCCCCCTCCCCCCTTTTCTTTCGTTTTCAACATAATTTATACTTTAATCTCAATTAGTATTAAGCTTTAGTCTAAGTGGGTTTTTCCCCCACACCTTACCCGAAACGCTGTGCGTATTAGTGGCTTTAGGTATTGTATGTATTAGCTCTATCTATAAATCCAACATTATGTTTGTAACTCATCTTCTATGTATGTACTTTTACCTGAATCAACATTTTGATTTCTTATTTTGACTCACAAATTTCTGAAGATATTGTTGAGTTGTACCCAGAGTTTGCTACTGCAGGCTAGTTTTTTTTAGTTTAGTTAATTTATTATGCACCCCATACCCATCTTCAGCCTCGCAAATAAAAAAAAATCGAGGAAAAGTACATTTATCTAAAAAATAGTTATGTATACAAGCCTGTATTATGATGCCTTATTTGTAAGTTTAAACTTTTCCACAATAAAATGCGACAGTTTTGCTAGTATTGACAAGGATGCGAGTATCATCACAATAGCGCAAAGATGACATTGAAAAATTAAGAAAAAGTTACCCCAGTGGCTGGGAAAATTTAGAACAACAACAAAGATGGCGTCGACGGCAGACTCGCTCGGGGAGTTTCCTTGCTCAGGTCTCCTGCCAAGGTGAGTCCTCTTGCTGCCCTGGTCCTCCTCCCCTCGTTCAGACCTTTGTCAGGCCACAGCACCTCTCTAGAAGCCCTCACGCAAGTTGTATGGGTTTTATGTGGGGATTATACGGGTTTTTGAAATACCGCAGTGTCAGCCTGGTTCCTAGTAATCACTGCTGACCTCTGCTGCAGTCTGTCAATCACTAAGTCCTGGGTGTTGACTTCTGCTGGAGGGTGTCAGACATTCCAGGTCCTGGGTGCTGACCTTAGCTGGAAGCCGTCAGTCATCCCAGGTGTTGGCTGCTGGAGGCCGTCAGTCACTCCACAACCTGGCTGTGAAATATTGATCTAAACATAGCCACCTCTGCTTACACAGTCAATTTAAATATAACAAATATTACATTTGTGCTGCACTGTATTTCATATAATTTATGGGTGACTTGGTTCACACATCATGTACAGTACTGTACTATTGTAGGTGTAATGCTACTTACTCTGGTGACACAAACACACAGTATGATGTTTTTAGCTGTATAGTTGATATAGTGTAGTTACAATGGTTGATTCAATTTGCCCAAAAATGCTTTGCTTAGTAGTGGCTTCATTAGTATGTGTCCTTACAATTGTACATTACTCTTAGGTACTTTGTATGTCTTTGTTCTTTGATTTAGAAACAGCAACTGAATTTAATAGCTTCTTTTCATCGGTTGGTGCTAACCTTGCCAGAAAAATCCCACATACTTAGACACATGTTACCACATATCTTTCAGGCAGCTATCCTAACACTCTTCTTTCACTGGTCAGCCTGACAGATGTTGTGTCCATCATTCACTCGCTAAAAACCAAAGCTGGGAACATTAGTGAAATACCATCTATGGAATACAAGAGTGTCTCCCATGCCCCATCCATAGCTCTGTTCAAAATTATTTATAAACAGCTCTACTCCTACCTTGTAAAAATTCAACATGTTATTAATTTAAGTGTGTGTCACTAAGTAAGTAGTGACATACACCAATATGTAGCCATCAATGATATAACCTCTCCCACTCTACCATTAACTGTAGGAGTACCACAGGGCAGCATTCCTAGGACCTCTCCTATTTCTTATATGTACATCAATGATCTGCCTAATGTCTCTAGCAGTCTTAAACCTATGTTATTTGCTGACGAAACTACTCTTGTCTACGCAGACTTCAACCCACACACATTATTTAATGTTGTAAATAATGAATTAAAAAAAAGTTCTTATGGATGTCAACCAACAAACTCGCATACTAAACATAGAAAAGACCTACTATATCTTATTTGGAAGCAAATCAACAAATGCAATTCAGCTTCAGATAGACAATGTTAACATCAGCAGTAAAAATGATGGAAAGTTCCTTGGCCTATACTTAGACAAGAGACTCAACTTCAGTACCCACATACAACACATGACCAAGAAAGTCTCAAAAAGGGTTGGTATATGCTTTAAAATCAGATATTATGTTCCAATCTCTGCTCTCCTCTCACTATACTACGTGCTAATATAAATAAATAATAAATAAATTTTATTGTTTAGCTTTTTAAAACAATTTTATTGTTTAATCTATCCCTATCTTACATATGGTATCTGTGCTTGGGGTTCAACCACTGCAAACTACCTCAAGCCCATCATCACCCAGCAAAAATCTGCTATCAGAACAATAACAAACTCTGCTTTCAGACAACACTCAGCTCTGTTTAAATCCCTAAACATGCTAAACATAAACTCACTCCGTACATTGTCTTGTGGTGCTACCACACATGGTACAACAGCATCATGGCAAGTGGCATTATAAGATGGAGATGTCTGGGAAGACAATGATTTGTTGCAAGTCCATAGTGTTGCTGCTGCTGGGTGCTGCCTAGTATGTGACTGGTGATGCTATGATTTTGGTGCCCTTGCTTTTAGGCCAAAGTTGCTTGTAAATTGGTTCATTGGAAATTATCATGGGATCTGTTGGATTTCATTAGTACAGTACAGTATTTCATAGAATCCCTGGAAATATGGCACAGATGTTATTAGTGGTATGTGGGAGTCCTGTAAATATGCAATTCTTGGGGATAATCTAAGTAGCTGCAATAGAATTTATGATATTACTGCTACATATGTAAATAAAATTGCCTTATCCTGCCTTTTCAGAAAAGAAACTGGGGTTGTTAGCTTACTTACGAAGAACCCCACTTTTGATGGCCGAGGTGTTGTCATCGCTATCTTTGATTCAGGTGTAGATCCGGGTGCTCCAGGGCTTCAGGTAAGAACACTAGAAAATGTTTAATAAAACAATGTATAATATTCGGTATTGTGTATGTATATTTTGTTTTTACATGTCATCAGCATATTACAGCAGACTCTTGCCACTCAGTTTTTTGTATTCATAGAACAATATTGGTTATTGTTAAAATGAGGGTGAATCTTCCCCATCAAAATTCATGGATACGAGTTATTCATGGATATGAGAATAACCAAAATTACTTTCTGGCATAATCACTTAACAAATTTGTTGAAAACCAATTTTAAAAAGTACCAGTTCATCAAAAATGCACTGTATAAAGACAAAAAAGGTATTTTTTATTTGCTACTTCAAGGAAGGAAACTATGGTGCCAAAATACATTTATGGAAGTTCCCTTTTTGCAAGCAGAGTTGTAGAAAGTTTGAATAATTTAAATGAGAAGGCAGTGGATACCAAAACCATCGGTAGTTTCAAAGTATATGTAACAGATTATAGGGAAGATCGGACACCACGAACTTAGCTCTCATCCTGTGACTACATTTAGGTAATTAATTCATTTGCAAATTTACCACTTGTGGAAATTTCATGACTGTGATGGGAATTTGCAAATTTGATAAGAAGGTATTTGTAGATCCGTATCATTCAAAAATAAGAGGTTTAAATAAAATTAGGAATAAGAAAACATCGGTGCCAAAATGCATTAAATTTAAAACGTAAGTACAGGTAACGTATGTAAATTCTAATGCCAAGTGGTAAATAAATTCCAAAAACATTAGAAGCTTCGACATTTCTTATGACAAAGATTTTAGGAATAGCAAGACATCATAGTTGTTCTCATCCTGCAACATTACATAGGTAATTACAGAAATATATTCTCACTGTTTCTTAAATTTTTACATCTAATAATAATAAGTTATTGTACGACTCTTTTTCTTCGATACCTATCCCTGTTATTACTATTCGTGGATGCCTCACGAATATATCCCTAATGTGAATAGCAGGGGTCTATTTTTACAGTTTATACTTTTGGAAGTATTTCTCCTGATGTTCAATCCCTAACAGTCTAAGTGGTTGGCATTGTTCCTCACTCCGTTTGCCCCTATCCTAGCTCCTATCCTGTCCTTATTTCCTTTTGATTTGCAATCATACTGGCTTAGCACTTTCTCCTCATAATTTCATATTCTTTCCTTCACATGTTATTAACATGTCATGCACAATAGTTTCTTTAATAACGTAAATGAAGTAAAGGTTGAAATGAATTTCTTAATATTTCATTTACAGGTAACAACAGAAGGGAATGTAAAAGTAATAGATAGAATTGATGCCTCTGGTGCTGGCGACGTCGACACGTCTACAGTGGTTCAACCAACAGAAGGAATAATAACGGGACTTAGTGGACGCAAACTTAAAGTAAGAAATTTTATTTTGAAGTAAATAACTGAGAATTTACAATTACTGCATATAAAGTTCATGATGTGAGACAGTGGTGATATATGTATAGTACTGTATTTATGCCATTAATTTACAGTAAGGATTGACTAGGCACCAGTCCTTAATTGTACGCCTCTGTTCACCCAGCAGTGAAGTTAGCTTCCAGTAGTTAGAACAGAACAAGCCTATTTTATTTAGTACAGTAGTAGCAAGTGATCTATTGTGAGATCTTGAGGTTATCTTGAGATGATTTCGGGGCTTTAGTGTCCCCGCGGCCCGGTCCTCGACCAGGCCTCCACCCCCAGGAAGCAGCCCGTGACAGCTGACTAACTCCCAGGTACCTATTTACTGCTAGGTAACAGGGGCATCAGGATGAAAGAAACTGCTCATTGTTTCTCGCCGGCGCCCGGGATCGAACCCGGGACCACAGGATTACGCGTCCAGTATTCTGTCCGTTCAGCTGCCGCCGGAAAGTACTGGCGGATGTTAATGAGAATAGGAAAAATAGGAATAAGTTAAAGTACATATACACCAAGGCATGTACATAGGTTGGTCTTGTGGTACTGTATATTTATAGATACAGTATGTTACAACTTCCAAATCTTATGTCTACAGTACTGATATTGTTGATAAATGCTCATGCATATTTTTAATAATATGTGAAGTAACAACTCTCTTCAGCAAGTCTGAATTAGTATTTGAATTGTCTAGTGCTTTATCCTTCTAGTACTGTATTTGAGTTATCTAACAGCCATTTAGCTGTACTGTATAAGCAAATATTTAGCTACTAAAATAGTTATACTAGTAATAGTGTGAAATGACAAAGTTGTAGACAACAGAAGTGAGGATTATTAATACTTAAGTTGTTTTCATTGGTCTTACTTACTCATAAGATGTTTTGAAAGATTAAGTGACTCTTAGGTATATAAAAAAAACATATTTATATTTGAAGGCTTGATTTGTACATGTTTTCATCTCTCACCAGATTCCTGAATCTTGGGTAAATCCATCAGGAAAATATCACATCGGAGTAAAGAGTGGATATTCACTGTACCCGCAACGATTACGTGAGAGAGTGTCCAAAGAAAGAAAAGAACAGAATTGGGACACAATCCATAAAGAGTTGTTAGCTGAAGCTCAAAGGAAAGTTCAGGTACAGAGTTTGGATTGTACTCTGATACATAAATTTCTCTTGATAATGGTGTGACATACATGTAAAGTAATTTTATGTAGCTTCTTCATTTACAGATGGCACAGTTGCTATAATTATCAGTTAAAAGTTTATTTTGATGTAGTTAGCCTAAATACAAACTAATTAGAGTAATGGTATACAAACTTATAGATTGTAGACGTCTTAGACAGTAGTAAAAATTCATTCTTTAATTATGAAACCTGTTTTAATTAATATAGTTTATATAGATTACAAGGTAACATTTTGTAGGTTCTGGTGATAAAGGCTAAAAGTATGTGTTATTTCAGTCGTTAGAAAGTAGTAAGAGTAACGGGAGCAGCGGCGGCACAAATGGCAACGGTGGCAGCAGTAGTCTATTAGAGAAGCTCACCAAGGAAGATGCCGAGTCCAGGGTCGCACAGCTCAATACACTTGAGAAAAAGTACAATGACTTGGGACCAGCGTACGATTGTGTCGTTTATCATGATGGAGAGGTGTGGAGGTGGGTCTTCATCACTTTCTTGACAGAATAATTTTGTTTCCTTATTCTTAAATGCTGTATTTCTCTTATTTGGAAATTTTAGTTTTTTCTGTAATTAACTGTAAAGATGATGAATTTACATAACTTGAAATTATATAATGGTACCGCTGATAGATTTTGAGGCATGAAATATTTGCTAATGTAAGTTTTGTTACTCCTGCCTTCCCTTCCTCTCTCATCACTTCATCTCTTCCTCCTCCCAACTCTTCCTCCTCATCACTTCTGTCCCCTCTCACTTCTCATTTTCTCTTCCTCCTCTTTCCTCTCATCTCTTCTTTCTCCCCATCTCTTTCTCCTTATCACTTCCTCCTCCCTATCACTTCCTCCTCATTTCTCCCCATTTCTTCCTCCTCCCCATCTCTTACTCATATTAATAAAGTATAGTTTTGTGGTAAGTCTATGGCATATAGAATGTGTGATATTTTTTCTAGGGCTTGTATTGACACGTCAGAGCGTGGGGACCTGGAAACCGGGATCCACCTGGGTGAATATAGAGTTACTCACCAGTGGGCATCACTCACCCCTGCAGACCAATACAATATTTCTGTCAATGTACATAATACTGGAAATATTCTGGAAATTGTCGGCATGTGCTGTAAGTTGTGTTGTCGACATTTTTTTTATGACGATTGTATAGCAGTTAATAACTGCTATGCATTAACTATATATAAATATATGAAGTCGTGGGTTAATCGTAGATAGTAGTGGGTTAGTCGAGTTGGTTAGGTTAATATTTTGATTTGTGTGTACAGTTTCATTGTATTATTCTTTTAAATCCTTATGACAGTATATGCAAGTTAAAAATTAAACAAATAAATATTGAGGGTTATTGTATTTTCTTTATTCTGCATTATACCTATGATTTATTTAAATTAATTTTATTTACTCTGGTATTGGTGGCCTAAAATTTACTTGTCTAACTTGTGTAGAAAACGTGTGAACTAGTTGTGTGTATTTATTTATTTATTTTGGGGGTACCACCTCTGGTTGTTTGTAGGGACCTTCAAGTCCCGAAGAAGAGGATATGCAGTACCCGGGGCAGCCTTGTCAGGTTCCCATGTGCGCTGGCACATATTGTCTTCTCCTACCTTTATATGTGTTTATTTTATTTGAACTTTATTATAAAAAAGGAGTGGGATATGTCTCTCACCAACCCTATTCCACCCATTTTCTTTTCCCCTTTTTCTCATCTTCACTTTTCCCTTCCCTCCCCCTCTCCTTCTTTCCCCTCTTTCACTCCTTTCCCACCCTCCCATTTTTTCCAATCTTTCACCCCCATTCCCTCCCCACCCCTTCTTTCCCCTTCTTTCACCCCTTTCCCTCTCCTCCCCTACTTTTCCTCCTGCCCCTCCACCTGTTCCCTCCTATCATTTTTTTTACCCTGTCACCATACCCTCCACCCTTCTCCCTCATTTCCTTACCCTCTGCTGCCCCTCTCCTCTCCTTCTTCAAACAGATAGACATTTCCATTTATATATAAAGTAAATGGTGAAAATGTACAGGTATACAGCCAGATGAACTTACACTCTATGGATAACACATGCCTGATTTCATCCCATTTCCATTTCAATCTTCATAAAAATTGCTTGGGGGTGTTGGGTTACAGACTATATTTCTTAAAGTATTCGGTGTTCCCCGTGCCACAGTGGTAACACACTCGCCCCACGCTTCGCAAGCGATTTGGCCTGGGTTTGTATCCTGACCGAGAAGGATTGACTAGGCACCAATCCTTAACTGCATGCCTCTGTTCACCCAGTAGTGATTGGGTACCGGTTGTTAAACGATTGACGGGTTGTATTCCAGGGAAACTAGCAGGTAAGGCTTACCATGAGCTAAGGGAAGGAAAACCTGTCAGCCTGCAGCTCTCAGCCTGCTAACAGGAGCCAGCAGTTGTCTGTTTCAGTACCCACCTTTGTGGGGGGGGAAGGGGAGGGGGAGCAAATATCCGTCCTGTATCTCGGACCATTTCCCCTGCAAATTTGGGGCGAGGCTAGCCCCAAGCATCTGGCCTCGAACTTTCAACAGACATTCTCTCTTAGTGCTTGTGTTTGCGTGTATATTTATAAATAAATAAATAAATAAAATAAAGATATATATATAATATAAAAAATAAGGGAGCTGTTGTTATTTAAGGTAATATAAATACATTTCCACAGAAGATATAGTCTTGTGCAGTTTGCACACTGTTTAATTTCATGTATTTAAACTTGCAGCAAGCCATGGTACCCACGTAGCATCCATCGCTTCAGCCAATTTTCCTGACAATCCCGAGAAAAATGGCGTTGCTCCAGGTGCTCAGATAGTCTCCATCACTATAGGTAAGATGGGGAAGATGTGTATGAATCATCAGATCAGCCCCCTTGATCTGACGAGTTTATAGCCTATTGATGAATTTATAAAAAATTTCATGAAGTTTTATTTAGATTTGGATTATTCTACACACGTTTTGTTTTAAATTGTGTTAATACTGTATTGTAAGACTAAGATAATATTAGTAAAGTGGTGTTGCCATCACTCAGGGAGGGCCTGGTCAAAGACTGGGCTGTGGTAACCTTGATCCTTGCAACCACTTCAAGGTAATTCAGTGGGTGCATGAATGGATATGATGCAATTGCTGTATTCAATAAACAAAGTTTAATCAAGTAAAGTTGGATCAAGTAAAAACATTCGACTTGGATCAAGTAGAATCATTCGGCTTGTCTTTTATGGCTTGGTTCAAGTAGATTCTGGAGGATTTGGCACTGCAATTGATTTCTGAAGTGCCCTTAGACTCTTCAGTGATATGTCTGTTACATTTGTGGCTCCTTAAGTGCCTATAAATGTCCTTGTTGGAATCTGTGGTGAGTTGGGGTGCATTAAAGATTTCTTCACACTGCTAAGGAAGGTACTTCTTTAATGAAGGCTGTTATGATTTTGCTGGATCATGTAAACAAAATTTCTTTGATTTGATCTTCCCTGTAGGAGGGCCAAGTCTTGTGAGAACCTTTTCCAGGGGTGTATTGATTGAAAAGATCTTTGGTACAACTCTGTAAGTGGCAGGAAGAAAAGGGCCAAATAAGGAGGTTGATTGGGAGTCAGGATCACACTGAAAGTTTGGTCAGGAAGGAGGGTGGATCGTGATGGAAATGTTAAATATATTAGTTTAGGATGGAAAATCAACAGCTATGAAGAATAATCAATATGATAATCTCGGTTCACTTTGTTGAGTGACAATACGAAGTGTAATGGTTGTGGACTTTGTTCTACATTTAGCGAACTCTCTTGGATTAAGCTTGCGTAATTTTTTTTTAGTGTTGTACACTTTTGTTATGAGTTTTATGTTCATTGTTATTATATTTTCAGGTGACAATCGTATTAATAGCATGGAGACAGGAACAGCATTAGCCAGAGCCATGTTGAGAGTGATGAAGAATCCATTCTATAAAGTTGACATTATAAATATGAGTTACGGTGAACATGCACATTGGTCTGATACTGGGTATGTATCTCGTGCTGTTCCTTATTTAGTAATTGCTAAATTATTTGTTTTATAAGAAGAAAATGTGTTATGTGCCTAGTCAAGAAAAATGAATGTTGATATTACTGTACTATAGTGTATTGTATAAACGGTTAGTAAAAAAAATCTATAGAAACATGTGCTGCTTAATTTATAGATTTGCATGCATTTCATGAATTTTTATTAATTTCTTTCATGATAAGTACTATTATTTATTTAATATCCCTACGTGTATGTGATAATATCCCTCTTTTTGCAGTCGATTGGGAGAGCTGGCACATGAAGTAGTTAATAAATATGGGGTCATCTGGGTAGCATCGGCAGGTAACCACGGTCCAGCTTTAGCAACAGTGGGAGTCCCTCCTGACTTTCAAAGTGATTCTATAATCGGTGTTGGTGCCTTTGTGTCACCAGACATGATGATGGCTGAATACTCGATGATAGAGAAGCTTCCTGGTACGTTGTTAATTACGTAGTCCCAGTAGGGGATACCTTGTAGTTTGGTCAGGGTTTTCCCCATTGATTTTTGTGGGCATTATCTTGAGAACACCTCTTCATATTGACTTGAAACTTGTTAAACTTTGATAATTCATCCATAGATGCTTCCTGAAATTGTGTAGGTAAAGTTATCTGTTTGATGTGACATTGAATGAATGTAACTACCAAAATTTCTATACCAAGAATAGATTATTATAATTTCTTTAAAATTATCTTGGTGAAATTCACTCGTATTCAGTTTTCAATGGTCTTCCACCAACAATTCATTCAATATACTTGAGCCATCTTCCTCAACTCGCCATACTAATGGCATAACAAATGTTTAAGCAGAAAAAGTGCTTAAAAGTATCTTTAAAAGTAAAAGTTCTTTAAAAAGTATCATCATTGGCATGGCATCGTTTGTTTGGAAGGTTCTTGTTATCCAGCCTGTCACTATCTGAAAACTATTTGGTTGTCAGTGCCCAGCAAAAAAACAATATCCATCATCCTCATAATATATATTTGGGATTTGTATTTGGATAAATTGATTTTTCTAATGACATTTAATTACCAGGTTGTCCATACACGTGGTCATCTCGAGGACCCACCGCTGATGGAGCAAGAGGTGTTACAGTGTGTGCACCTGGTGGCGCTATTACCTCCGTGCCAACATTCACACTAAGAAGTAACCAGCTGATGAATGGAACTAGGTAGAGATCCTATTCACCAGTGTAGCTAGTTTGTCCTGTCTTGACCAATGTGTAAACCAAGTTGAGTTATTCAGTTTGAACCCAGAAAGAGGCATTTCATTACAATTGATGTGCAATTTTTTACTGCCTTAACATATCTTGAGTCTTGTGCCATACAAGCATCTTTGATCTTCAATTTGTACATAAGCATAAGCACTGCCACTCCTCCTGTAGCCCTATACTCATATCTTTTCATATGTTATTCATAATAACCAGGGCTTTTGTTGCACCTGTCACTTTCCATCCCTATCTTGACTCTCGGTAAATTCTAACTTTGTCACCTACTCACTTAAGGTTTTAAAACTGAATGACCACATGTAGCACTTCATGTACTGTTCCTTTATTTCACAAAATTTTTTGCCAAAACAATGCATCATTTGCATAGATTAAATTAAATATACATCTGTACAGTGTTACCTTCAAATAAGTCAGATTTTGCAGTCTTTAAAACAGATTGACTTTAAACTATACTAGTTTGTAGTTGATCGTCATGCACGCATATCGGGGATAAATTTATTATTGCTAAGTTTAGCATACTAAATGTTAAGTTAAATCAAGATAACCCTACATTTAAAATATTATGCTATGTAATAGAAAATATCATGCATATTTGTTATGTATTACAGCATGGCATCTCCACACACGGCTGGTTGTGTTGGCTTGATTATATCTGCACTAAAGCTCAAGTCCATTCCATATTCTCCATACTCCGTCCGTCGTTCAATACAAAATACTGCGCATAACTTAGATGTTGACGTCTTTGCCCAAGGTCATGGACTTATCCAGGTGAGCAATATTCTTACTGTTGTGTCATAACCATTGTGTATACTATAGGTATACTGTAAGAGTTCAGTAATTGACATTCAAGAAAACCGATTCTCCAAGTAATCTAACTGAATTCATGTTCAGGTTTTTTACCTGTTTTGACCTTTCAACCCATATTGGCATTTGGGTTAAAAGGTTATACTGAATGAGAAACTAATAAATTTGAGTTTGAGTGCTTGTTTTCTCCACATGAATAAATATTCAGGTTTTTGTCAATTTGTACCGAATGAGAAACCCAAACAAATTCGAATAGTTATTTTTGGATGTTTCCAGTAATGAAGTTGGCAAACTCAAATACTGTACAGTATTCAGCTAACTCTGATGAGGGTGGGCCCTCGTAGTATTTAGATTGCCAAGCATAGACGATACCTGATAGGGATAACTATACATTTTCTATAGGACAATTGACTTTTGATTTTATGGCTATGATATGTAATATATGGATTACCTTGACCTTCACAGTATTATTTTGAAACTTATAATACTTATGTTCTTGCCTAATTGTTCTTGTGGGGGGGTCGAGCCTCAGCTCTTTTGTTTCCACCTCTCAACTTTTTCATCAACTGGTGGTAGTAGTGCGAAGAAGATTCCTGTTGATAAAAGAGTTATATAACCCACTAGTGCCAGATTTACAAATCATTGATAGATTTGTGGAAGAACTTTGAACAATATGGTGAAAATCAATAACTATAGCCTGATTTGAAAAATGATATGCTAGGTAGAATGGTTGAAGATACTAAAATGTTTTGACATTAAATTGTTAACATTCTGTAGTTGTGGACTAACTTAATTATCTGCACTTCCTTTGAAGGTAGACCGTGCTGTAGACCACTTGCTGGAGCATTCAAATGGAGTAGAAGACAAAGTGCGCTTTACAGTAGAATGTGGCAATGACAGGAGGAAGGGTATACACATACGTAATTGGAAGGCAGATAAGCCTATAGACATGGCGGTCATGGTGGAACCTGTTATGTTGAATGACATGCAAGCTGGTAAGTTCATTTAGTATGTTTTGAGTAAACTAGTAGAGGTGTACTCATGTATCACTCATCATGGTTTTGTAGTACTGTATTGTTATTAGCAAAATTTCAGTCGATATTTTGATACTTTTTTCATAAAGGTGACTACTTCTAAAGTCTTACAAAAATATTAAGTACAGATATTGGAGTGTCAATTATATTGTAATATGAATATAAATTTTGGTAAAATGTTTAGTATTTGTACACCTATAGAAACATTAAATTATGTTCTGGTTGCTTTTAAATTAACCTTGAGTTTTATGTTGCAATGTCCTTCATTTATTGAACATGTAGTTGGTAATATAAATAAAATTGGTAAGTGGTGAATTTAGAAGTCTTGTATAATCCATTGCATGTAAAAACAACCTTATTACTGGCATTAGGTATGCCCACTAGATAGATGGAGCCTTTGACATTTAACATGTTCCGAAACAAGTTCTCTCCTTGGCTTTAGAAACAACTGAGAGGACTTTGCAGAAAAACAACATATTGGTATTGTTCACTGTATTGTTGTACATTATTAAGAGTAATAGAGAATTAGAGCATTATTAAGAGTTATTTTAAACTGAGGGTTGTATGTATGTATGTATGTAAAGTACTCATTATATACATATTTTTTTTAATTCAGATCCTAATGAGAAACTTGCATTCTGCATGGAGTTGGTTATGACCTGTGATGCTCCCTGGGTCAAGGCACCTTCCTGCTTGCAGATGTCATACACAGTTAGATCGTTCCAGGTAAGAAGAGTTACATATAGAGGAATTATGTATGAGTTATATATTGACCAGCATGAGCTGTCTACACTATATATTTGTTCTATAATTTATTTCATGTGGAGAACTCTTCTTGAGAACTCATGATTTTTTTTTAATTAGAAACATGCAGCATGCAGGATATATCTTGTAATTTCAGTTGAGCATAGATCCACGTGGCCTTGAGAGGGGACGAGTGTATTTTACTTCAGTGAAAGCCTACAACTCCAGTAACGTAGAAAAAGGTGTCATGTTCGAGGTTCCCATTACGATTGTTGTCCCTACAGTAGACTTCCTTCATGGCTACCTTTATAACTGGTGAGTGATGACCTCTATATTGGAGTTATTGTAATATAAATAAATCATATCTGTTAATCTTGTCATTAATATCTTCCCCCAATACGGAGGCACATCTGACAGTGCTAGGTGTGCTGGCCACCTGACAGGCTAACGGGGCTTCTCATACTGGGTGTTGCCAACCTTTAAGTCCTTGCCTCTACCTTCCACTGTTTCATTTTGTATTCACTTGAACAATCCAGCCCCACTCTTATAATATAATAAAGTAAGAAATATGTTAAATACACAGGTTTTGTAATATATTGAGCTATAAATAACATAGGAAATTTTCATTGTGTTACAAGTGAGGAAATGCCAATTTGTTTCATCCAAATTTGTGCTTATGCATACATCCTTTAGCAGGTATTAATTTTGACAAAAATAATTCACAATATTTTTTTGATAACTGAATTATGCCTATGAATGTATTTGAATTTTTCCTGAGTGAATGGTTTTCTTTTTAGTCCAGCTGAGGTGTTTCGTGCAGGTTTTGTTCGTCGTCACTTTCTGTACGTGCCAATAGAATCAACTTGGGCCACTGTGACTCTTAAAGCATCTCACTCGGACAAGTGCCAACGGTTCACGCTGCACGCTGTACAGCTCAAACCAAAATGTAGTGTCAAAACGCTAGAGTATTATAAGGTAAGGAAATCTTGGGCAGATATCGTTGTATTTTTTCATTTTTGTTGAAGAAATATATTACTATTATTTAATTCGTCATTATAGTTTTTAATTTCCTGACTTCTTATTTTCATGGTCATAATGATTTTTTATTTGCCATATTGTGTTGTAAAATTAACACATTTGTAATGGCATGCTCCGCCGCTGGTATATTGGGGGTTTCTCATGTTGCCATCGATGTCTACCAGTGGTACACCTTAAAAAATATACCATCCCACCAGTATGTACTACTGGTGGATACCCATGGCTACATGAAAAATCTGAACTATATAGTTGGTAGAGTGTGCTATCACGATTGTATCGACCCACGTCATGACATCTCAAAGCTAGTGTATTTACACTGTCAGTTTTAGTGTAGTTAAAGGTCTATTCCATAATATGTAACTTCTATAATCTGCTCTTATTTTAATTCACAGTGATGCCAAAGTAGGCATGATAAGATGCTGTTGTAGAATTTTGCAGTCAGTTTAATCTACCGAGTCTTTTTCTTGTTTGGGAACTTGAAATTCATAGTTTTCTTTGGACTCAGAATGATAGTCTGATTTTTTGTCATAACATATATAAATATTAAATACAACTTTGATATTATATTTCAAAATAATTTTAGAGTATTGTTGCTATTTTTATATTAATAAGGGCAGAAGTATGTGTATGTAATTATAAGCAAGGCATTACATTTCTTAATATATTCATGCTTCTCAGGTTATTAATCTAGGATGCAATGAAGTTAGTACACAAATATTTGGTGTACGAGGTGGCTTCACAATGGAGCTTTGTCTCGCTCGCTGGTGGTCAAGTCTGGTAGATGGACAAGTAGAAGTTTCTGTAGAGTTTCACAGTCTCCGCCCATCACACGAAGAGGTAAGCTGTTACACCTATCTGCGTTGACTGTGAAACTGTGCTTTTGCAATAGTTGGCACAAGGCAGGAGTGTTCATGTAGATGAATATGGAGTGGTATGGGGCTATAAATGATATTTCATGTCACACAGCAACAGGGGCACTGGAGCAGGAACAGGATGAATGTCACCACCACAAGGGTGAGGACTCTAGTGATGGCAGAAGTAAATAGGTCCACAGTAGAATCAACATCTACAAGTTAACACTTGCCACCCACACACACATGATACTGTGATCAATTCTGCACTGTACAAAAGGAGCATTGGGGGGCCACAAAAGACAGTCTTGTGCCCCCTTACTTCCCTGAGCTGGAACTGGCACACAGACACAAAGAAATACTTAAAATTTAGAACACTTGCAGTACAATGTATGAAGCGCAGGTATCGCTGTGTAACTTTCATTTTCTAGTATCGTGGAAATTTTTTTTTTTTTTTAATCAGTCCAAGTTTATTATATGTACTGCCATGGCAAGTACATATACAGGACATGCCAAGCCATGGAAAACACATACTGTATACAGGACATGAAAAGTCATGGAAAACACAGGTAGATATCAGTTGACACAACACACCAATTCAACAAAAACAGGGACTTTTATTTTGCATATTTGTCCCACAAAGTATGGATCATTCAAACAATAACCATATCAATGAAACATAAAATGGGAGCCAAACTCACAAACGTCAAGATTGCAGCCCATACATAAGAGGTATGTTTTTGGTGTATGCTAACTGAGATAATCACTCAAAGGACAGAAATGGGTATGAGTTGCTAGGAGCTGGAAATGTAAATCTGCTACTGTACTTCATCAAGCGAAACATGGGAGCAAAGAACTGCATCTGCATTACCCAAGAAGAGACAAACCACATTGAATGTTTGAACATATAGCAGCATAGACACTAACTTTGAATAAAAAATAAGATTATATTGGTAGAGTTAATCTGAATTTCTCAGCAATTGTTTCTGTGAATCTGGATTGTTGTGATTAGAGGGAGGTTAAATGAAGGTACAGTATATATTATATGGAACTCCAGCACACAGAGTAAATAATTATTTTAAGGTTTGATACATTTGTTATCACATAGTTGATACAATAAATTGATATAATGTACAGTGTTATTTATACACTTTTTATATTTATCTTGCAGGTTACATTATTCTGTAGTGACGGAGTACAGAGAGTTGATGTTCGAGCAGGACTGCGACCAGAGGAGATGTCCCCGCAGGCTACACTTAAGCATCATACACAGGTCTTGTTATTGCCTTATGTTTACATACAGATCTCTGGATTGAATGAAATTGAAGTATTCTTAACATAATTTAGAAGCCAAGAGGGCTGATGTGCTCCTTTCTGAGTGGCCCTGCAGTTGCTCACTGTCATCTGTCAAGCTTCCTGTCTGTCTCCCTTCTTGTATATCGGGACTATGTTAGCCGTCTTTCAAATTTTTGCCAGTTCTCCTGTTTCCACTGATTTGTTATACACCATTGAAAGTGGTAGCACACTGCTTATGCTCCTTCTTTTAATATCATTGGTGAAATTCCATCCAAGTCTATAGTTTCTGTCACATCCAACTCAAGCAAATGCTTCCTTGTCTCCCCACGGGTAATCTCAAACTCCTCCAGTTGTACCTGGTTAGGTATTCTCCCTCTTATCTCAGGAATATCTCCTTGCTCTAATGTGAAGACCTTCAATTTCTTATTGATTTCTTTGCGCACATTTCCTTGTCATTTTTTTGTCACTCCTTGTCACACTTCCCTTCTGCTCCTATCGTCAGTTTCTTTACCGGTTCCTTCACTGTTGTTTTCCTTCTTATGTGGCTGTGTAGCAATTTGGGACAATTCTTTGCCTTATTTGCTATGTCATTTCTGTACTGTCTTACTGCCTCTCTTCAGTGCAGTGCTATTAAGTCCTGCAACCTGCAGCCTATCCTCATGCCTTCGATGTCCGTAATTATGTTACTCTTGTGGTGATCTTTGCTAACATGTCCTGGACTGATATTCAGTTAACACTTTCGCGCTCCGTGGAAACTCGCGGTTGACAGGGGGTAGGTAGCCCCTCCGTGTGGGTAAGCGCGAGGTGACACCCAAATGTGTATACTCGTTCCAGCTTTCTCACCTTAATTCTCGTGCTACGTCGCTCGTTTTGGCATCATTGTGTTCGCAATTAAATTCCCTACAGATGTGTATGAATAAAATGTACAAAAGGCTGGAGTGCCTCCCCGCAGAAAAGCCTAAAGTTACCCGTGAACGAGCACCATTTTGTACATTGCAACCTAATGTTCAACTCGTTCAATTTGATAACATCAAATTTCGTGCTACGTCGCTCATTTTGGTATCAAATTGTTCGCAATAAAAAGGCGATTATTTTAAAACTAGTCCCAGAATAATAGAGCAATAACTAGATTTTTAACAAATATTTTAATTCTGGACGCTCATCATCACAAATTTATTTATATCTTTCCAGTGTTCTGACATAAATATTTGTGTTACATCTTTCATTTTGGTATCAAATTGTTCGCAATAAAAAGGCGCGCATTTTAAAACTAGTCCCAAGATAATAGGACAATAAATAGAATTTTAACAAATATTTTAATATTCGGACCATAGGCCTATTTATAATATTTCAAGTGTTTGGACATCAAGTTTCATGTTATATCTTTGATTTTGGTATCAAATTGTGTGCAATCTAAAGGCGCTTATTTTAAAACCACTACCAGATTGATCTGATAAAATTTAAATTTTTAAAAAATATTTTAATGAGTGACTCAGTACTGCGTCATTGGAACACATTCAGTAGAAAAATGAGTGACTTAATAGTCAGTCTGTGGAACGCGAAAGTGTATTGAAATTGCTTCAGGGAGCCACTGGGGCTCATCCAGAAAGAGGCATTTTATTACATTCAAAGCTGCTTTTTACATGAATGTATTCCCCCATGTTTATCAAGAGCTGCATGTTATCTTCACTAAGTACTGTACAGTATGTGTGTTGTTTATTGCCACTAATCATTTTGGCCTATTCTTTACCCACAGGTATTGACACCAGCTGAGAGTAAAGTTGAGGTGCTGGGTGGACCAAGAGACACTATCCCAGGTTGTCGCCCAATATACCAGCTGGTATTATCATACAACCTTTCTGTGTCAAAATCTGCAGAGGTAAGCTAATGTTTGTTGTAATTAGGTAATTCATGATGAGGGTACCAGTTGGTGTGGTCATTTGTACCAATTGATTTTTATTTTGCATAGTTCTGTAAAATATTTTGAAAGCCCCATTATCATAATAATTTAACAAATAAAACACACTTCCTCTCCCATTGGAACAATACCTTTCTTAGTGTGGGGATCGAGTGCCCTGTTAGCCCAGTGTAACTTATGAAGGCCCTCTTAAGGTTAAAGGATACGAGACAGTGAGTTGGTTCAGTCATCTAGGGCAGAGCTCGTCAAACTTTTTTCTCGGTCCAGTATCGGTAACCCTTTTGGCCTGATAATAATTTGATATTAAAAGATGGCAAGCATTCAGAATACCAAGATAGATGTAGTGTATTAATCTGAAATTTAATTGCCATTATTAGTATACACTGCATTTACTATTTATTATTATTATTATTATTGAAATTATTATTTTTATGCAGTAATGGGAAAGTTAAGGTAAACAAAGTACTTAACCCAGAGACTTGCACTATGTGGATGGGTATAAAATATTTGCGAGTTCATCAGAAATGTCTGATCAGCTGTTCAGTGCACTTTTGCACTTAATTACTTATTTAATGCAGGCGATGAGTCACAATAACGTGGCTAAAGTATGTTGACCAGACCACACACTAGAAGGTGAAAGGACGATGACGTTTCGGTCCATCCTGGACCATTCTCAAGTCGATTGTCAATTCTTATTTAATGCCTCTAGCCGCTTTCATAACTCTTGCTTCTCAGTTCTTCAAGCCGTTTTGTACCTTTTCCAGTCCTGCCTTTGCACCTTTTCCAGTTTTTCCAATCCCCCAAATCCTACAATTTTTCCATTTGTAGGATTATTGGGTAAGTTATTTATGTTAGGCTAGCAATCTTGTCATTCCTTTTACGATATGAATATTTTTGAAACATGGAAATTACTTGATTGAATCTGTTCTAGATATTCATCTTTCCTCTATTGACTTTTTGTACAATGTCATGGTTCATGTGTGTTCAGTTGAGCTTTCACATTTATATACTTTTATGTTTCATTCATATGATATTTTATTGTTTTAATTTGTCACTTCCAGGTTTCTCCTAAGTGTGCCCTGCTGAGTGATGTCTTGTATGAGTCGGCATTTGAATCCCAATTGTGGATGCTTTTTGATCATAACAAGCAGCTGCTAGGCTCTGGTGATGCTTATAGTAATAAGTATTCCATTAAACTAGAAAAAGGCGACTATTCTATACGGCTGCACGTTCGGCACGAACGACCAGATTTGCTAGAAAAGCTGTCCGACCTTCCTCTTACAGTCCTGACTAAGTTGGCTCAAGAGGTGAGAATAAATATTTCTGTTGTTGTACATCCTTGAGGGTTATACAGACTTTTAATTAATAAATGGGATTCTAATTTGATTATAGATATCATTATAGGTCTCTAATTTAAATCAGAAAATTCGTAATATGGTATTATTTTTGTTAAAAAATTGTGCAACACTGTACATACTTTGGTACACTTCAATTATAATTCCCGTAAATTGTATGGTTCCAAATATTATATTTGAAAAACATCTAGCATCATTGTTAAGATTTTCCCATGATATAGTTGTCCACCAAGGCCAAAAATTTGTATGTTATATGAAGAGGTATGTAATGTTCAGAAATTGTACAAAAAATTGTATTATCGTTCAATCTTTCTGTGTCAAAATTTGTAGAGGTAGATTGGTGCTGCATTTGGTGCAGCATGAGAACAGTTTTGGATATTTTTGTTATGACATCATATATATATTTTGTAAATTTATTGTCTCTTTTGTACATTAATTGTACATTAATATGCACCCGTATGTCCTGGGGCTAGATTCATCTTGCACACGACCACTCGAGATCTGTAGCTCTCATGACGGTAATGGTAGCACAGCTTCTGCTAAACACTTTACATGCTTTGAAGTCCTATAAGGTTGTCCTGAACCCAAAGGTGTTATTGCTATGGGATGACTATGAGCTTCAGAGCTCTTAAGAGTTCAGTAAATAGAGATGAAGCTAACATTATCAAGGCAAGATGTACTGATCTCTCGGGTGGATACATAGGTGCTTGATAAAAGCTGGCCCAGGCTTTCCAATATACACAATAATATATATATTTAGTTACTTTATAAATGTTATTGTGTAGATTCAAGTTAAATGTTTAAATTAATTTGACAGGTAAAATTAGATGTATATACATCTTTAAATGCGGCAATGACATCGGGCAAGAAGGCTCAGCCCATCACACTAAAGAGTGGTACAAGCCAACCCATCTACCTCACAGCTCCCAGCCTCTCTGATAAGTATGTACAGTTTTGGCACACTGCTCCTTAAAGCTTGGTGATTTGTTGCAGTGAAGACGGCTACAAAAATTGCAGACACCCTTATTCACTTCAGTTATGGTTAAGACTGCAAAAGATGACACAGCTAAAATGGAAAGAATTTTGGTAATATAGGAATTGGCACCAACACCACCACTATTACAGCAGCCATTAACCATTACCCTCACCTTTGTCACTGCCATTACTGCCACATAACAATTGCCACATGCCATTGCCATTGTCACCTTCTTTACCACCACATGACCAGTCACCTCCATTAACCACTATACAACAACCATTGCTGTTGTCACCTCCATTACCACAGCACAACCACCACAATTGCAACAAGCATACCTGGAGAGGATTCTGGAAGTTCTTCTACTCCCTGATCCCGGCCTGTGGCCAGGCTCAACATCACAGTTATTACCACCCATTCCCCCATCATTACCACCACCACTACAACACCTTAACTTTACCAACACCATTTATTTGTTACATTTCTAAACTAATTTTGTCAAGAGACAAACAGAGCATGTCTTGACTCATTGTGCTTTGATTCAAGCATAATCTCTGGTTTATAATGTTTCCCTTTCCAAGGTAAATGTAGATTTCCTCAACAAGGTTTTTTGTATACACATGCCCTGTCTTGGGATGTTGGGACTTAACTCTTTCTGCCGGCTTTAATTGTTGTCGAATTCAAGGCCTGATCTAATTTGGCATACATCATGGTGTATTTGTTCTTCATAGGAGCTAGTATTGGCCCAGTTGCAGGACAAGTACTGTATTCAGCCTTGGGGTCGACTTTTAGTCAATTGATTTTGGCTTCTACTGCCCATGGGACATTGCTAATGTTACCTGTGCTGCTTCTCCAGTATGTTGTCAGATTTCTTTGCAGCTTGCCTTACCCACAAGTCATGATAACTTCCTGAATTTCATATGTATGCTTTTACTTTTGCTGACTTCCCTTTTCCTTCTCTTTCTGGAGAATAACATGGATTGGGAGTTTTTTTGCTACATGCATTGCTTTCCAACAGCTTCAGAATTCATTTAATTTGAACGTTGCTAAGCCTGCTCCATGTTGGGATCGTGGCAAAACTCTGGAATCTCAAGCTGGTACTGGTTTATCAGGTGACATGTGAGTTCAGTTATACCTATTGCCAGGTAAATAAATTTGGCTTGATATAACTCTTATCAAATGGTGGTTGTTAACTTGAGAAACTTCCATGCAGCCCCTCCATAGTAAATCCCGCTGATGGTATAAATTGGAGGATGTTTTGGCACATTTGAGTGAGCTTGGGCCAGATTTTTGTGGGTCTTTCGTTTAGTGTTAGTAGACCATTCTTTGGCCAGTAGTAGATAAAACAAGGCAAAAATTCGGTTTCTCCTAGGACATCCCTGCTACAAGTCTAGCTATTCACACCAAAGGTTCTGCAACTGCCTCCACAAAATGTTGGCCAGTGGTCTTCTTCCAGAGACAATTTCTCTTCGGGTCTCATCTGTTCTCTTCAGTGGCGATATAGAAATGTTTTTTCTGTTAACATACAGTACACTTTTGTTTCAGATTCAAATTAAAATATGCCCTTCTTCAATTGTTTTCAAAATAACCTTCATTTGATTGCTTTTCAGTAATTAATTTAATAAATAATTTATTTTGTATCAAATAATTTATCCTTAACATAGTTTTTTGTGTAAGAATGATGCATTTTTTTATTTTTTTATTACAGGACTCTGAAGGGCCTTGGGCTAACCCCTGGTCAAGCTTTATTAGGTAGCCTGTCGTTTGCTAAGGATGAGCAAGTTCGGAAAGCTGTAAGTAGCCACAAGTTTGGGCCCATACGTACTATGCCGGTAAGAGCACAAGCTTACCCTATCTTCACTTTTCTTTACTTTTTCTCTCCTCCTCTATCCATGAAATTTTCAAAGGTTGAAAACTAGTATCGAGATAATACATAAAGGCATTTATGTATTATCTTTAAGTATTTATGCATTTATTTATCATTTAAACTTTACTGCTAGCTGTGTTATTCTTGCCACGGGAGCTATAAACTAAGACATGTACAGTACAAGAAGAAACATTGCAAATTGGTAAATGTAAGAATGGATGTATTCATTCATAAATTGTTCAGTAATTTTTTTTCCTTAATTCAAATGAAAATTAATTATATAATTGAGAGTGGAAAAGAGAGGTTTACAGGTGGTATGATTTGTGCAGTGTTGGATGATGTGGAATTACTGTTTTGCGAGTCACCACTTTTATACCAAGTTTCCAAGTGTATGAATGAAGTTTGGAATTAGGCATGTTGAGAACAGTCGTATGTTTAGTTTTCATTAATTCTCGATTCTACTGCTAATCAAAAGCAAATTGGAGTTTCCTCACAACTTATATTGCTGTGGTTTACAAATGTTTGGGTTATTTTTATGCATCATCGCACATCTCGATCATTCTGGACTTAATTGTGTGCTGATTTTGTGGCTGGAGTGTGAAAGGAGCATTAAATATTTGTCAAAGTATGTATGTATTTTGCTGAGTAAAGAGTGGAAAAAGTGGACTTTTGAGGGTATTTGAAACATGTTCCTATTTTTCCTTAGTACCTTATTCAGTTAATTTGCAAGGTTTTCAAAGGAATGTATTCTTCATGCAAATTGAGGGCTGTCAGTAATGATAAGCTTGATAGACAATTATTATGGCTTGTAAATATTTTTAGAAAGCCATGTGGATATGAAGAGAGGTTACTGCACACAACATAGTGACTTGCTAATAGTTGTTTTAATTATGCGAAGTAGCTAATATTTCCTCGGCTGATGCTCTTCGCCCCTTGGATCTCGTGCTGAAGATATCAATTTTATATTTTTCCAAATCAAAATTAACCATAATTCAATATGTATTTGCCTAAGCAAAATGAAGCTACCTTACCTTAGTCTATTCTATTACGTTCAAATAAAATCCTAAAATGCATAGCTAAATGGTCGAGTTGAGGCCGGAAGCCATGATTGCTTTCTGCTTCTGAATCTATTATAAACACACCAGTTATCTTCTCGCTGTAATGTTATTTACAGTAATTTTCAAGGAGTACTGTACAGACTAAAAAAAAAAAGTTTTTTACACAAAAGTAAGCTTTTTATCCTGTTTTACCATAAAGAAAGTAAAATATGAAATATTGAGCTCTTTAACACAAACTATGAATAACATGGGAAAAGTTATTTGCTGCAGCTGGCATACTTTATCATTTTGGAGTTGTGATTCTTTCATCAACCCCTACGCTTTTCTCAAGTCCATGTGCTCCCAAGGTGCTCAGCTGTCATATAAAATGATCACTGTGGATAATAAATTATGCTTTACACCGGATTGTACGTAGATACATTTTTTAGGTTGCTCTATTCGGCAAAATCTGGTGTGGCTCTTTGGTCAGGATCAGTAAGCCATGCAGGACAACATTGTCATCAGTGCCACTGGGGATATTTCAATTGATCCTTCCAGGGACTCCTTTAAAGTAGCTTGGATACCAATTTAGGAGAACTGTCTGGTGCTGAGGGAAATGCATCTAATATATTTAAAACAAATTCCATGGCTCATTGAACTGCCTATTAACACATCAGCCTACCTCAGAGAAATGTTTGTTAATAATTATTATTAAACCACAACAACAACAAATGTGCTAACTGTGCATCACTTGACTTCCCCAACCACCACCAGGTGGCAGCCTGAGTCACTCAGGGCATGGGTAAATCTATTACCATGCTTTCAACTGGTGCACTGAATGACACATTTCTTGATAACTGCAGAACATGTCATCTGAAACGAGTGCTCAGCATTCTTTTGTACTTTTCCTGCACATTTAGGGTTTCATGCCTGAACATTTTCTTGAGTAGGCTTGCTGTTCACATTGTGTATCTTGCATTGTATTCACATTTGGTTTCACTGTTCTCATTCTTGGCACCGCTAGCGAACACTGCCATCACAGTTATCTTCTCTGAAGTTTTTGTATTCCTCTTTTGTGAAGGCTTTTCTCAAATTGGATCCCGGTTTGGTGCCTTCTTTTGATAATTACTTACTTCTCAAATTGGTGAAGGTGGGGTTTGCAAAGGTATATTTTCCAGATGGGTTGAGATTATCACAGGAGTCCACTTGGTGCCAGAGTTGGCCCTTGTTTTTCAGGGTTTTGGTCTCAGATTGAAGTGTGTTCATTTCCCTGTTCTGTATCCTTCTCTGTCCAAGTTGCATTTACCGGGCCCCTCCTGTCCCCTTCCCCCTCCACCTGCATGCTTCAGCTTCAGCATGCCATCAAGGCACTCTTCCCAGAAAAGATTAAATTTTTCTGTGTAAACTTATCAGGCAGTGTAATAAAATTAAATTGAATGTGCAGAATTGTATATACTAAATTATTTATATCAAGAGAAAATATTGATGAATGTCAGTCACAGCTCATTTTTTATGGGAAACTTCCAATCACAAATGAATATTTTGTTTAAATCAACCAATCTTAATTTACATCAGATTTTTATTAATTTTATATTGACGTAATGGACAATTAGATGGTAGAATTTGATACTACTGTATTCACTTTATAGTTTGGAAAAAATAAACCTAAGAAACAAATATGAATATTGCTAGGATTTGTATAGCACATATATGTACTATATTAGGCCTCAGATAGCATGTATTAAGCCTAGGATGGTTAGGTTTGGTTCGGTTTTATTAGCAACATAAATACAAAATCTTTTCAAGTTTGTCCAAATTCAATTGTACCCAATTTTTCTTTCTAACTAACTGTACATTACGTCACTATGTATGAAGGTCCACATGGTTACTACAAGTGCTATCTAAACAGAAGGATGGGTTGCTATATGTGCCTTCAAGAAAGAAGAGTGACTTGTTCATAGTGTATTGGGTTTTGATGCTTTTAAGCTTAATAGTTAATGTTTAATTTTATTTCCTTTCTTGCTTTAAAAGAAGCAGCATTCAGGTTGGTTTAATATAACAAGCCATTTGGAAATATTAAGATTGTGATTTTTGTTTTGTTCTCAGGATCAGTATTCCCTACGTGTAGTAGTTACGGAACTGCCTTGCAAGAAGCGCAGCACCGGTAGCAGCAACAGTAACTCTGAAGAGAAGAAGGAAGCAAAGACCTTTGTTGACTACCAGGAGGCATTGAGGGACCTGCAGACTGCATGGATATCTAAACTAGGTACACACTTAAAGTTTAGATTAACTCTTCAAATGCACATGTAAAACAAGGATGATTGTGCCATATCTGACCTTCCTGTGCAAGTGAATGGGGGATGATGTAAAGTACCATGTAAGATTTAAAAGTTCCACACATACATGGGGCTCACATTTGCTTCCTCGGGCCTCTAGTAAAGAGACGTCATCTTGGAAAAAAATCCTGGGCACCCCAACTGCATGCAAGGGCCTCATTATTGAGTGTGTGACCATGAGTAGCACATGCTGTTGCAGCTTGTACCTACACCATCACCTAATGATGATGAAATAAATAAGTACTGTAACTGCAATTATTTTGCAATGATGTCATAAAAGATCCTGACAGTGAGTGATTGACTATGTACAAGGTTCTGATATCAGTGAACACAATTGTCATGAGCATGATGTACATGCCTCAGCCCGTCCTCTAAATAAAGACCCCAAAAGTGATTCCATGCACCCACCAAACCCCCTGTTTATGAATGAAAAACAGTTTACACATGACTCGCAACTGATTTCGTTCGAACACTTCTGGAAAAAGTGGTTCACTGATGAATTTTGTTCGAATAACAGCGCTGTAAACGTTTCACTACAAATACAAATAATCACCAACAGAACCTGAACACCTAACCTAACCTAACCTATGCCTATATATGCACAATGTTAATATATTATAATATTAATTTATATTTGAGAAAGTTCCCGTTTTGAATGAACAGTACGTAAAAATTTATGAATGTGTCTGTGGGGTCGACTCCTGGATGGAATGGACTTGAGTTGAGGATGGGTTGCATGTCTCATATGTCGTGCTGCAAACAGCTGCATCGAACAGCCTGGTTGATCAGACCAGCAACCAGGAGAACACAGGGATACTAATTCTCAGAATCTTCAACAGGTAGTCAACAGGCATAGTGTACACTAGGAGGCAGATATTCATAGCACACAGCCATGGTTTCATGTATCTATACATTATGAAATGGGACCTCATTTTTCTTTGGAAAATATAGTTGTGGAAAATGATTCATATTTATAATTTAGTGACAGGATAATAGCAATGATAATTGATAATATCAGTGTTGTGACTACAGTTAGAGATGTGCTTAGTATATAGCAGGCATTTTGCTGCTTAGATTTCATTACGAGACCCACCACACCTGCTTAGTGATTGCTTATGGTGCATACAATGTAGGTACTGTACAATCAAAGTGAATACTTATGTAGGTAAACTGTAATTCTATTTTATTAGTGTTGATTAATAAGCAGACATAAGCATATGTTTTACTTAGTGTACTTTATTAAACTAGTGTGCACAATAGTTTGTGTTAAATTAATGGGAAACTAATTGTGTATTGAATTAAGGGATCATTAATGATTTTACTATATTATCCTGTGAATATAAAATAGTGTGTTTATGTTTATAATTTATCATGTAATAATTGCTTGCATTTGTTATTCAGACTGCGAAAGTGGGGAAGAGATATATAAAGAGGTGATGGCAGCACACCCAGATCACCTTGCTGCTCAGTTGGCACGCCTGCAGGCGTTAGATGCTGTCGGGGCTCAGAACAGAGCAGCAGTGATAGCACAGGCCACACGCATTATATCGGCAGTGGATACTGCACCTCTTCTAGCTTTCTACGGTACCAAGACCGACACGCGCTCGGATGCCGCCAAGATCAAAACACAGGTTAATAATAGCAAGTCCTCTTGGTTGCCTTAAGTGGGTTATAAAGTCTATTAACAGACACAAGTTTGTTTTGTATTGTATTGCACATTACTTTCTGGGGGAGGGGTGCAATTGTTGGCTCTCTAACAATTGAGACAGCTCCACACATGAGTTACAGCAGCCCTAAGAGTCCATAGTAGCCTACTGGAGACCAGAGCCAGAACCAGGCCCTAACCCCCGTCTCACAGAAGCACAGTGAGCAGGGGACCAATACAGTTACCCTCACTAAGGAAACATACAGAGAGGAAATGAAGCAAAACACACAACTGCAAGGTACACAGAGAGAAGAAATGGAACAGCAAACAATTCTGCAAGTGAACCACCCAGTAGTCATCTCAAGTTCCACTAGTTACAACCGACCATCAACAGGCTGTGCCATCACCGGGAGCTGCCAGCTTCCTACGTCAATGTTACTCAGTCCGTCACCTGATGTCTAACTATTTGGACTGCTCCTTGAATTGCTAGCCTTTTGGGTCCCAACTATTTCTAGATAAGTGTTGGCCATTCTTTGGACTCTGTCCGGTGTGGGCCCCATTTGCCTGTGTATCGCTCCAGGATTTAGTGTTGACTTCATGTGTGAATGTTTACAAGCTTCACTTGTAAAGATTTTGGATACTGTTCACTTCGCACTGCATGAGCTTAAGGGAGCCCTTCTTAAGGCACTTGTTTAGTGATGCCCCTGCCCCGACATTACATTCTCTGGTTGGTTCAAGAGTTTGTCTTATAGAGGCCAGCCTACTGTGTAGGGTACCTTGCCCTGAATAGTGCAAGGGTCACTTTGATTACTCTGCAGTGGTTCTGTGGATCAACGTTCCTGTGGTCCAGTCTCTGACCATGCCACTTGGTCTGGTCGATCAGGTTGTTAGATGCAGCTACTCACAGTCTCACAACGTATGAATCACAGCCTGATTGATCACGTATCATTTGGAGGTGTTTATCAAGTTATGTTTAGAGAGAGTGTTGAAAAACTTTGGCCCCTGATGTTGATAGAATTACCTCAGCATACCCACTGCACTTCTGCTTTTCAGCAGGCAATTTTGCACTTCCTACCATGCCTCCTGGTCTCAAGAATTATTTCTGCATGCAGATTTGGAACCAGTCCCTCTAATATTTTCAAAATGTATATTATTGTGTACAGTACGTCTTGCCTGCACTGGAGAGAATAAACACATGGTAATCACTCTTCTGCTGTTTTTAAAAGTTCGATGGTCCTAGTATGGTTGAATGGTTCCTAGACATTAGTTGATGTGCTAGACATGGTCCCCATCTTTTTTTTAGTAATGTCCTAGCAAGAAAGTGAGGGACTCAGGATTTTTGTTCAAGATGGGGGATGGTGACTGGAGGCCTGGGGAAGTACATGTGAGGCTCATGTATGCGCAGGATTTTTAAACCTTATGCAGTACCCTAATACTTGACTTGATGGGATGTGCAGTTGACCATATTTAGTCACCTCATCACCTGATGGGATGTGCAGTTGACCATATTTAGTCACCTTATCACCTGATGGGATGTGCAGTCAAAGGGTTAAAAAGTATTATCATTGATCTGGCATTACCAGCTTAAAATTTTTATTTTTCTTGCAGTTTTGACAGCTACTTTATTGTTTTCTTTAAAAGGAGGGTCTTCTGGCATGATTTCTCTCCAATCATTTATAATGCTGTTTCATTCTACAGTGTGATTTTACTGTATTATATACAGTACAGTATATGGTTTTTGTTTTGATATTTTAGTTTTTCCATTAGTGTAGGCGCTGGAACTTACTTATCTTCTTTAAACATCGTGTTATTTTCTGTGGCCCATTGGAAGACCTGATTCATATCAGTTTGGAGATTGGCTGTATCCGCAATATTGTCTACTATGAAAATCCGAGGTTCATTTGCAAAGAATGATATGGAACTATAGTTTGTGTCCAATATGCGGAAGAGGAAAAATTACTGGGGCAAGCACTATATTTTGGGTGATGGAGTTTTTCACTGTGGATGATCCAGAGTTTAACTGGTTGACTATTTCACTCTAGGATCTGTTCGTTGAGAAAATTAAAGATCCATCTTCCTACTTTGCATTTTGTTACATTCAACACTTGATTTTTCCCATGTGATGTTGGTATCAAAATTGGCTTAGTATTGAAATTTTATCATTTGTACAAGCAAACAAAAAATACTGGGCAAAAATCTTTGCTTAATTTGGATCTTCCTCTACACCATCAAGGGTCTTATCCTAGTTAATTTAAATAATCATGAGTCACTGTCTTGATATTTGATCATTATTCATTGTGTATAAGATGTTTTGAAGAATTTTCAATCTCTATACTTCAATTTATTTCAATTTTAACATGAAAAATATATTTCACAATAAATAAGTTTGAATATAATTTTTCAGATGGATAAACAGCGTAATACCCTGCTTGAAGCTCTTTCCCGCCAGGGATCAGCTCTCTGTGCTGATATTCTCGCTCTACCTGCTGCAGAGCGGACACAGGAAGCCATTGAACAGGTGGACAGTATTGCTGTTGACATAATGAAATTTGTGGAACCATCAGACTCGAAGGTAAGTTTTATATGCAGCTGTGTTGCTAAAACTTTTGTTTTAAGCTTTAGAATTTCTGGAGAATGTAATAGAGGGATGCAGGGAAGGAAAGAGTGCACAAGAGTGAGTAAAAGTATGTGTGTACTCGCCTAGTTATACTTGACTAGTTGTGCTTGCAGAGGGGTTGAGCTTTGGCTCTTTGGTCCCCGCCTCTCAAATGTCAATCTACTGGTAATTACCTAAGTGTAGTTACAGGATAAGAGGCATCAGACAATGGGGGGTTAGACTAACATCAAATAATTTGGGGTTAGATGAACATCAAATAATTAGGGGTTGTTGATGGGGGCAGCTGGCCACTCCCTTGGTGCTGCTACTTAGGAGGGGTGGGAGGGACTCTAAGCCCCGAAATCATCTCAAGATAACCTCAAGATAACCACGTATGTCAGACCAATCCTGGAGTATGCAGCTCCAGCATGGAGTCCCTATCTCGTCAAGCATAAGAGTAAATTGGAGAAGGTTCAGAGGTTTGCCACCAGACTAGTGCCCGAAGTGTGACCCTGGAAGACAGAAGAGTTAGGGGGGGACACGATCACCACATAAAAGATTCTCAAAGGAATTAATAGGGTTGACAAAGACAGTTTATTTAACACAAGGGGCACACGGGTGGAATTTGAGTACCCAAATGAGCCATAGAGACATTAGAAATAATTTATTTAGTATCAAGAGTACTGTAGTTAATAAATGGAATGCATTAGGTAGTGATGTGGTGGAGGCAGACTCCATACACAGTTTCAAGTGAAGATGTGATAGAGCCCAGTAGGCTCAGGAACCTGTACACCAGTTGATTGACAGTTGAGAAGCGGGACCAAAGAGCCGAAGCTCAACCCCCACAAGCACAACTAGGTGAGTACATGTCTCGGCCATTTTCTCTACTTCTCTCATTACTAGCTGTTGTTAAATGAAGCATTATGATATTATTTCAGGTAAATGGATTCTTTGCGAGTTATTACCAAGTTAGAGGATTTGATGGATTGGCAGCACGAATAATTTCCCGACAGTGTGAAGAAAAGTGGACTCGAGAAAACGAGGCAAAGTTGACGGATATTTACAATCAACTAGGCTGGACGCACATTTCTACGCTTATTGCTAGTACTCATCCTCTACGGTTTCCTACCAGTTATGCGCCTTTCTGAGTACATAAATACAATTATCAGAGAAGGCATCTTTACCCACTTCATTTATTATGCTGCCGTAAAGTTAATATTTGAAAGCTTGTGCACATCTGTTATATTTCATCCACTGTTCTTACGATTCCATAGACATTTGCCACCAGTGTTTCCTTGAACACTTCCTCGACTCGACCAAAACATGCCCACGCACCCAGGTCTTAATCAAAGCACTAATTATAATTAAGTGATTTGTATGCATGCACCAGTGACCACCCATTGCTTGACACCTCTGAAAAGAGCGCCACAGATGGACACGAAGGCTTCATTGGATGCATAAACTAGAACTTGTGTATGTCTTCCCACTGTGGTTCATAATTTGTTCAATGAGTAAATATGTATTACCTGGTCAAATCAATAATATCTCTCTCAGGAATGATGAGTGGCTCCCCAGGCATTTATGTTAGAAGGGAAATTTTAGTTTGTTTCTGCTTGGTTTCTCCCTTTTATAAGTTGAATACATTTGGTAGAGTAGCATGTTAAATATAGATTAAAGTATTCATGGTAAATGATAGTGAAAACTATTTGAAAGGTTTAGCTCACACTTAGCATAGGATTTTTGTTTTAATTCATTAAATTTTTTATTAGTACTTTTAAGTATAAAGGGGAAAGTATGGAATCATATCCATGAGAGTGAAAGTTTGTTGATTTAAGGATTGGCAGATCATTAATCAATCATTAATTTTAATCATTAATTGTGTTGTATTGTATGCTGAATGGTTTGTATGTAGTTGAAGATTTTGGCTTATATATTTCATTTTTATTTTTTGCCCACTTATTCATGAGTAATACTGTAGCTTAATCCATAAGGCATTAACTTCTGTAAGCCAAAAAAAAAAGAACAGAAAAATTCAATACGTACTTGAATTCAGAACAATTTGAATGACGTGAATAATAAGATAGATTATTTGTTTTATTACAGTTGTTTGTTTATTGTTTGTTCTTGTTTAGGTGAGGGAGGGGGTTAATGTTCTTGTTTAGGTGAGGGCGGGAGGGAGAGAGGTTCATGCTTTTGCTTAGATGAGGGAGGATGGTTAATGTTTAGGTGAGGGAAAGTGGCTAATGTTGATGATACAGGAGAGGGAGGTGGATTAATGTTGTTGTTTAGGTTAGGGCGTGGGGGTAATACTCATGGTTAGGTTAGGGAGGGGGCGGGGGTGGGTTACTTACTTATCCATGGTGAAAAGTGGTCACACACTGGTGTAAAGCAATATCCCGTGTAGTAATGTGAAGGACACTAGGCTTTGGAGTTTATAAGTTGAGGCGCATCAATGCAAGCAACTGGTTGCATGTTGTACACTTGATGTTGCTGCAGTTGCTCTGAAGGTGATACATTTGTAATACTATGTATTGCACATCTAGTTTCTACATGCTCATTCTTATTTAGAATGATGCTTTAGCTGGCAGGGAAGCAACTTGTGACTTTAATTGAACACAATCTTCTCAACTTATTTATTGTTGGAATATCTTTTGTATTGTTATAGGCCAAGGAAGGCCAAATTATGTCATGTTTTTGCAGTTCACATAAAAATGTTTTATTTTGATAAGCAGTAACGACTTGTTATATTTGCATAATAACTCATTTTATAAGGATGAAATTTACACATTTACTTATTTTGGTGTGTGTGTGTGTGTATTAGTTTATACAGGGAATGGGATATTTTTACAGATCAACAGCTGAAGGGTACTGTGACAACACTTACCCGAAATTCTGCTATTTATTTATTGTTTCTAGAGGACTGTGAACCTTGTACAGTGTGCATAAATATTAGTGGGAGCCAACAAGGTCCTTGTGATGAACACGCATAGGGGTTCCACCAAGGTCTGTGTGGAGACAGAAATTGTAGCCACCAAGGTGTATCTCGACACACAGACGGGAGCTTTCATGATGTTTCTTGACACAGATTGGGGCTTCCATGATGTATCTCAACACACAGATGGATGCCACCATGGTGTATCTCGAAATGAATGGGTGCTACGGTGGTGTATCTTGATGCGCGGACGAGTGCTACCACGGTGTATCTTGACACATGGGTGGGTGCTACCATGGTATATGTTGATACATAGATGGCCGCTGCCATGGTGTGCCTCGAGACACAGGTGGGTGCTACCATGATGTGCCTCAGAACATGCATGGGGGCTACTGTGGTATGCCTCGAAACATGGATGGGTGCTTCTATGATGTATCTCTACACACGGATTGGTTCCAACAAGTTGTTTGAATATCTATAAATTTACAGCATGAAAAAAAAAAGATCCATTTTTATAATGAGAATAATGTGGACAAATAAATTTAAGGATGATGCCCTATTAATGTGCATTGTACACACGTGTATTTTTTTTTTTTTTTTTTTTTTTTTTTTTTTTTTTTTTTTTTTTTTTTTTTTTTTTTTTTTTTTTTTTTTTTACGATATGACTGCTCTTAGGAAATTATGTTGTCTGTTTCGTCTTTTTGTTATGATATATATACGTCCTTGATAAAATATCGGATATTTTCATGGTTCAGGATACCTTTACGTTTGTTGATGCCAGTCCAATAGTTTAATGGTAATACAGTATACACTTACTAATTCTTAGGTAATTGAAGAATTTTGCATCTACAAAATAAATTGTAAGGCAAGTTTTAAAGGTTCTTATTAGTTCTAAATCTTTTGTATAAACATAAGCTTTCTTGACTATTTTATTTTTACTTCCACCTTAATTAACAAACTGTGGATGACCTGTATAATGTTTTGATGTGCAGAGATTGGGCTATTTTTAATAACAAACCGAACTTGTTGATGATTTTGTACGTAAGGCATACTGGAACAATAAATCTAAGCTCTTAAAGTTTCTGGCCATTACTAACTTCTCTTACAAAAAGAAAATCTTGTTCAATGTGTATTAACAGTAAATTATATTATTTCTTTAACACATTCAAACTTTATTTTTGTTGTAGTTGTGCAGGATATTTTGTGTAAGAAAAGACTCTGTTTTAGGTATAATTACTATTTTTCACGTTGGCCTTGCACAGAGAATTAGCGCCAGACTAGTCTCACAGGTTTTCTTGATGACGTTTTTTTGTTATGTTGAATATTGGAACGAATGTTATTTAGAAAGAACAAATTAAGATGTGCTTTAATTGCCAAGAATCTTCTAATTTCCATAAATTGTTACTATAGTATTGATTTAAGCAATATATTGTAATTTGAGAAAATAAACTGCAATATGTGATAGTTTCTTTTAATTAAAGTTGTGTAAAAACTTCTTCACCTTGATTTGTGTACAAGCTATCCTACTTAGAAAATAAATATTTTTTTTTATTTTTTCTGATCAGTTATGTTTAGAAGAAGTCTTGATTTGATAATGTATTTCTAGTTTCTTGTTAGACTGACTCCATGTACAGTACCTCTCCATCCCATGCATTTGTAACACAATCGGCTCGCAATCAAAGGGCCTGGGTTCAATTCCCACATATGACAAGATGATTGTGTATGCTTCTTTACACCTGATGCCTCTGTTTACCTAGTATTAAATAGATACCAGGAAGTTAAGCATTTGTTGTGGGTTTCATTCTGGGCTTGGTCAGTAGTTGACGTAAGGGGACCTCAATAATCCTAAGCGCAGGCTTCCTGTTCCTGATAATGGGAACCATTATACATGCAGGCAGGAAAACTTGTGGGATAATAGCAACACACGCACTGAGCCTTACAGTTGATGGAAACATCTAGGTGTACTGTATTACTATTTAAGTTCCATTGTAGGTGATTTTTGTTTTTCCAAAACATTGTTAACCAAGGTAAACAATGAAATATGCAAATGTGTTAAGCTGCAGCCTCCAGTTGCATGGTTCATGGCTGTTTAAAATTTTAATTCCATAAAATTCCCTGGTAGGTACATCAGTGGTTAAGCCTTGAACTTTAAAAGGAACTAAGAGGCATAGTTACCTGGAGTATACCTGCAGTGGATTCTAGGAGTTTTTATATTCCCAAAAGTTCAGCCTAGGGCCAGGTTGACTTGTGATAACTTGATCCAACAGGTTGTTGTTAGGAGTAGCCATAGGCCCATGTGTCCACAACAACCTGGTTGGTCCAATACGTCTTTCAGAAATTTGTCTGTTTCATGAACCCCATCTACATTTAGCAATATTGTTAATGTTGGGAGGATATTGCATAGCCATGAACTCCTGATGTTCATGCAGTGTTCCTTGATTATGCCTATGATACCTCTACTCTTCACTGGATCTATTCTGCATTTTCTGCTTGTCAATCTCTCCAGTATGTTGTTTTATTTTGCAAATTTTGGACCTAGCCTTCCAGTATCTTCCATGTACTGTATATAGTATGTGGTACCCCTCTCATCTCCTTTTTAAAGCACTGAGACCCAATAATTTATGTTAATATAATATTGTGTCTATGCATGCCGTATATGTTCTTGGTATTCCCTCCATTTCATAGAACTCCTCTCCTTTAAAAGAGAAGTGAGTACCGAGCAGTAGTCAAAGCGGGAATTAAAAGTGATTTGAATAGCAAGAACATTGCGGTGGAATCCCTAGATTTAAAGGTTCTCATAATCCATCCTATCATTTTCCTGGCTGATGCTGTATTTGCTCACTTAACATTAGGTCGTCTGAGGTCATTATTCCCAGATCCCTTACATGTTATCCTTTCTAGTTTGAATACAGAACAGTATTTTCAGGAAGTTAAAAGTCCTGTAGCACAGTGATCTATGTTGTTGACTCACAACTGAAGGATCCATACAGGACAGAGAAGATTGGGTATGTTTCCTTTCATCTGATGGTACTGTTCACCCAGCAGTTAAAGGTACCTGGGAGTTTGGCAATTGTTGTGGGTGTATGTAGGGAAGATAAGTAGTTGACCAAAAGAGACCTCGATATGGCTAAGTACATGTTTCCTATACACACAGAAATCACAATAGCATGATTTATCAAATGAATAAATCCACAAGGGCCGTGATGAGTGTTCGAACTTACGTCCAGGATGATCCCAAACGCGCTTTAATCAACTGTGCCATGACATGGTATAACAATTGCAACCGGGATTGCTACTGCTCTCATCTCGGTTGCAATTCTTATACCATGTTGTGGTGCAGTCAATTAAGGCACGTCTGGAATCATCCTGGACGTAAGTTCGAACCCTCATCACAGCACTTGTGGATTTATTCACCGGCTTTCTATTCACGACAATGGGAACCATTTAATAAATAAATGGCCTTTATTAATTATCTTTTCAAAACATAATACAGTACACTATATAACATGTAGATTTACATGTTCATTTACATGTTCATTTACATGTACACTACATAATGTATATTTACACAATACAATTAATGATAATGGTGCTGTACGAATTTTTCCCATTTTAATACCCTTTATAAGTCTCTTCTCTTCACTATTCAATACCAGCTGAGGTTCACCCCACCTCTATCCTCCCAGTATTTTTGCTCCATAATGCAAGAAGGTATAACCCAATACTGTACAGAACCTCCAGAACGGTCCGTCTAATTACCACAAGCTACCACAAGCTACACAAGCTTCACAAAGCTTCCTGGCAATACGTTAGTAATGAATAAATATGATATATTTACTCATTATAATATTGGTGCTGAATGTACAACACGAAAAAACAATTTTAATCTGAAAAAGTATCTTTTTATAAAGAAATTAGACGAAACGCCAAATCAAGTCGACGATCCAAGCGTCGGTTAGGTTAGGTTTGGTTTGCTTTGGTTATTATTTTTTTTTGTCCCCTAACTCCCATTGCCACTTCGGGGGGGTATAGGGTTTTTATGTAGCTTCAGGGGACCGATCCCCCCAGCCACAGGGCATGGCGAGACGGCACCCCTAAGCATACCTAATACCCTAACAAACACAAACTAAAATAAACATATATGGCAGATCTCATCACACCCACAAGAGTTAAGATGATACTAATAATACATAATAATAACCTGAAAATAAACAAACATTAGTGGAAAACTCTTTTGTAGTTGGTTTTTTCTATATGGGACACAACACACATAGGTAGGGGTGCACAGTATATCATTTAAAAAGAACAAACGCTTAGGTTAGGTTAGGTCAGCCTAACCTAACATATCATATTTATTCATTACTAACGTATTGCCAGAAAGCTTTGTGAAGCTTGTGTAGCTTGTGGTAGTTTGTGGTAATTAGACGGACCTGAAGAAAACCCCCGGCCACACTTGGGTGGCCTGGGGCGCCACCTGTGGCCGGGGCGGGTAACTACAAGAAGTAAACACGGTGGCCCAGCTGAGGGTCCGAGGAGGAGGAGGAGCAGCTCCAAGTTGTGTTGTGGTAAGTTATGGTGTACTCACCTAGTTGTGCGCGGGGGGGGGGGGGGTTGAGCTCTGGTTCTAGCACTTTGGTCCCGCCTCTCAACTGTCAATCAACTGGTGTACAGGTTCCTGAGCCTACTGGGCTCTATCATATCTACATTTGAAACTGTGTATGGAGTCAGCCTCCACTACATCACTGCCTAATGCATTCCACCTGTTAACTACTCTGACACTAAAAAAGTTCTTTCTAACGTCCCTGTGACTCATTTGGGTACTCAGTTTCCACCTGTGTCCCCTTGTTCGCGTACCACCTTTGTTAAACAGTTTATCCTTAATTGCCCTGCCAATGCCTCTGAGAATTTTGTAGGTAGTGATCATGTCTTCCTTACTCTTCTGTCTTCCAGTATTATGAGATGCAATTCATGCAGCCTTTACTTATAACTCATGCCTCTTAGTTCTGGGACTACCCTAGTGGCATACCTCTAAACTTTTTCCAGCTTCGTCTTGTGCTTGACAAGGTACGGGCTCCATGCTGGGGCTGCATACTCCAGGATTGGTCTTACATATGTGGAATACAAGGTTCTGAATGGTTCCTTGTGCAGGTTCCTGAAGGCAGTTCTGATGTTAGCCAGCCTTGCACATGTCACAGATTTTATTCTTTTTATGTGGCCTTCAGGAGACAGGGTTGGTTTGATATCAACTCCTAGATCTTTCTTTCTCTGTTTCATGAAGGACTTCATCTCTCACTCAGTATCCTGTGTCTGGCCTTCTGTTTCCACAGCCTAGATTCATTACCTTACATTTACTCGGGTTGAACTTTAGTAGACATTTGTTCGACCATTCATTCAGTTTGTCTAGGCTTAGGACCACTCATTATTCACATCACTCATTATTATGTGTGAAATCTGGTCCTCCAGGTGGCACCAGCTGCATATCTACTTTGTGGACCCTTTTACTACTACTATTCTTCTTTGTGCGTCGGACATGTGCTTGCATCTCTTTATCCTAGATTTCCAGTAAATAGGTGCTATCATTATTATCAGTACTGGTTGCCGCCCGTCGCGCATGTCATTTATTTGTAAAAAATTAGTAAAAAATCCATTTTTTAACAGATTGGGATGAAATTTTCATGACACTGATGCCAAATAATGTGAGATTTGTTTAAAATTGTTCACTGTATTTCATATTTAGAAAAGTACTTCTCAGTCACCAGGCCCCTTAACAATAGTTTATGTCAAATGCATGTTCTAAAGAAAAAAAAAGAAAAAATTCAGCTTGTAGTGTGATGGAAATATTTTCTTGATTCTCTGTTAACAATATCTTTTATTTTTCAGAGTTTAGAATTGTGTAAAGCCCAGAACACTCATTGGTCAGCAACTTGATCCCGACTTATCTTAAGGAACATGTCATTGTTGGGACAACTTGTATGAAAATATTAAAGCCTTGTGGGTAAATGATTACAACGGTTCCCGTGCCAGAACTACAGTAGTATGGACCAGAGTAACATGATAGTAGTGGTAGGAGAGCTGGAGTCAGACTCGGAGACAATATTGGAGGCATCTGAATCTGGGACACTTATATTTAAAAATGTGTCATCTCAGACTGACCTTGCATACACAAGCAAGGCTGCTTTCCCTATAATATTTTGTACTATTTTGTCCTCAGTTAATGAAGCTTCTACTCAAACTGACATCCCTGCCAAATCTAGTGTTGGTGTATCTGCTGATGTTAAGGACTTAATTCACCCTTTATCTTTGAATAATGTCACTAAAATTAAGACAGAAAAACCACCAAAGGTAATAGAGACAGAAAAAGACGTTCTTCTTGAGCAGACTATTGAAGATGTTATTCTTGGCCTTTCCGCAAATGAAGAGAGTCGGTGCAGTGATCAGCCAAACAACTCAGTGCATAGTGATGGATACGACAATGAAACTCTTCTTTCCCCTTACCCAAGAGATGGTCAGTTTCTTCTTTTACACATTTGATGAATATGTTGTGTTATTATGTGATATACAATACTGTACTGTACTATACTGTATAGGATTTTGGTTGCCTTTTCTTGTCTTCATTTTGTGTTATTGCTTTTCCTCTGCCTCCTACTCCCCATCTTCCATCTTTATTTTTGTTTTTATATACTGTACTGTAAATGATTATTAGTTACAGCCGTATAGTGAAATAGTTTTCTCACCTAGTGTATTTAATACATTTTTTTGCTCTGTCGATTAAGCACTATATTTCCTGAGCATGTGCTCTTGGGTACCTCTCCTTAAAAGAGAGCACACCAGGACACTGCAAATGTCAAACTTCTGAGGAATTCTGCACCTCACAGGTACATGTATCCTTGTAAATTGTCTCCTGCAACTAAGGAATGGGGACTCATTGAAGAGCAAACATTGATCCACTATTGAGAGGAACCGCATGCTATAACTTACAGAAATATTCAAACTTCCTCCAAATGATCCATGGTATCACTGAAATTGCTGAGAATAATTCTGATTTACTGTGCAGATATTGTTTTAGCAGAGACTACATACTTTTAGTCAAATAAAATTGGCCCAAACTCCTGTCCTGAAGGTCAGATATTTGGATGAACATAGCATCAGGTGCAAATTACTTCAATTAACAACTTTTCTGGAAGGGCGCCATCGGTGGCTCTCTGTTACTAGCTGCTATGGATAGCTCTTCGCACATCAAATTGCACTAGCCATTGTAAGTCATTAAAGTCAGAACCTAGTTCCCTCACAGAGGTGCAGGTAGGTAAAGATTCAAGATCATTAACTGAGAAAATAGCTACCAGAAAGGTAGAGCAAGACAAAACAACAACAAGATAAAAGTAAATGTGAGAAAATGAAAGACACAGTACAGTAGTTAGATAATTCAACTGCTAGTTCCTCCTTCCCTGGTGGCAGTACCAGAAGCTAATGGCTCAGCTGGTATACCTTTTCAGTCATTTGCTTGGTGCTGTAAAGTAAACAGTGCTCCATCGGATTGCAAATACCCTTCAGGTCCTGGATATTTTCCAGATAGAGTACCATAATTGGAGGTATTCTTTGGGCTTAGTCTTGCAGGAAAAGTGGGGCCACATTTATCCTTAGACTTATGTTCAGTGTTTATCTATTTTCAGCAAGCAGCCCTAGTGCTCAGTGTTCCTACTTGTTCTTTATCTTTGGTACCTGGTTTCGATTGTGTTTCTGGTGTAGTTCAGGAATGACTAGCCCACTTATAGCCTGCTCTCACATATGAGAGTTTACAAGATGTACCTTGGTCTTGTAACATGCTGATAATCATTCTTACTGCCTCTGTCATGCCACGTTTTGGGTAGGTGATCCCTTCCACTCTGAGGCCTGTGAAGTTTGTTGTCACGGCACATCTGTTTTGGCTAGGCTTCCTTCCCAGGGTTTGAGTTTTCGTAAGGGGAAAGGGTTCATAATTTCCTCCGTCGCTACAAACCTTGAACTTTTCTTGGCCTGTCCCCCCCCCTCTTATAATGTACAAAAGCATGTGGTTGTGTCTTCTATGTGGTGTGTGTGTGTAGTGGGTCACTTTGGAGTCCTTTTTCCCTTGCAAGTGCTGATTTTCTGGGGAGCCCCCCCCCCAGTGGCTTCCTGAAGCTGCCTTGCTGAGAGTGCTCCAAATTGTGCTCCAGATACTGAAAGGTCACATCATTCATGGAAGTTTTGTTTGACCTTCTAGGGATCAGAGCCAAAACCCTGGCTCCCTCACAGAGGAGCAGGGTGCAAGTGACAATTTGCGACCCCACTGGAGGATTAACTGGAGGGTTAATAGAAAGCAAAGTCTCAAACTGTTAAACAACTCCTCAAATGATTCACAAGGAACAAGGGATTCACTCAAACTAGCTCAAAACTCATTAGTACCAATTGCCACCCACAGGTTACCCAACCCCTACTCACAGCTGGCTTCCCTGATCATTTCTGTTGCTGATATTATGGTGCAAGGTTTGACTAGTGTTCTGGTCAGCCAGTTGTGAGCAAGCACCTCTGCTTTAAGCCAAGTGCCGGCTGTCCTTGCCCTTTGTTCATCTTGTGGGGGACATTTACTTGTGTATTGTTCTTTGATTATAGTATTAGCTTATGCATGTTTTTTCTGACTTGTTGTGTGGGCTTGGCTTTTACTGTGTTTCAGGCTGCATGCGCTGAGGGTTTTCTTCCATGGGTGTCAGCTAGTGCTGCCCTTGCACTGACAAAGTTATCTTCTCTTGTGTGTTCAGGAGTTGCCCCCTGAGGCCAGACCGCTGGGTTGGAAAGCCTCGCCTTGGGCTATTCATGGGTCTTTGACTCCACTGTTTGGACCCTTGACTGGGAGCATTCTTTTGGTTGTGCTGGGGTTTGTGTGCCTGTTTATATGGCACAATGCAGTCACCATTCGTAGCCTTACTGTTTTGTCTGCATATGGTGACTGTTTTCTGGCGAGCAGCTCCAGTGCCAAAGGTTTTTGCTTGGTTAGTTACCTTTGGGCCCTTTTCAAAATTGAAATTCATATGTAAGCACCTCAAACTGCACCAACAAATATTGGTCATCCATGCATATACAGTACATTGGCATATTCCTTCTCTATTATGTAGTAAACAGTTTTCCAGACAAGATAACCACTCAAGATAACCTCAAGACATAGTGCCTTATTTTGATGATTACTTACACTTTTGTATTACCATATAGTACTCTAATTTTCTTGCACTCTTGCACTTTCCATCTTTATTATGAAGTTTGAGGCCCACCAAATGTGGTAAATCACACAATAAGCATTTCATTAATATCAATAAATTATGTTTTTTTTTTAGCAAACCTGGCTCATGTTCAAGTACATTATTTGAGTGTATTTTACCTCTGTTTTGATACATTTTAAGAATAAAATATGTTTTTCAGATGTGAAGAATCCTGAAGATAGTGAATTTAGTTCTGACAATGATGTTGCTTTCTGGCAGAAGATGAAGCTCAAGTCCAAGAAAAGAAAGAGAGGCAAATTAAGGAGTGGCAATTCAGAAAAAAGAAAGTATTTAAAATACCCAGCTGGCTTTAGTAATTACAGTATTAAAATACCATTTGAAGACAGCTTTTCTGTTCTGGGTAAAATTTCACCGACTCTGCCACAACCAGAGCATGCAGAAGAAAGTAGACAGATGGAGAAAGAAAATATGACTATAAAAATAGAAGCAGAGGTTAATAATGATGACTGGATTACGGATGATGAAATGGATGTTGAGGAAGAAGTGGATATTGATTTAGCTTTTAAACTTGAATGGAAAATGAAACGCCACCCTTATAATAGCAAGGAGAAAAATTTTGTGTGTGAAGTTTGTGGTAAGTTGTATTCAAAGCATCATTACTTAAGAGAACATATTGTGAGGGATCATAGTGACCATGAACAAGCCAAGAAATACCCTTTCTGCTGTCGACACTGTAAGAGATTATACAGTGGCGAGAGGCAGTTAATGTACCACCAGCAGCAGCATAGTGGCCCATGTGAGATCTGTGGTTTAATGCTCAAATGTAGTGGTCTTTTTTGGATCCACAGAAGAAATCACGATTCACAGTGTGAAACTTGTTTCAAAGTATTTCAAACCAAAAGTTCTCTTGATATGCATATGAAACTTAAACACACTGAAAAAACAATTCCATGTCCAATGTGCCCAAGATTGTTTTCATTCAAGTTTCTTATGAATAAGCATGTTGCCAAGGCACACAGTTCTGGAACATCTTTGCAGCATAAGTGTGATGAGTGTGACTTTTATGCCAGGACTGAGGGTGCTCTCAGAATTCATCAAAGAAGGATACATAATAAAATACCAAAAATGCATACATGTGATGAATGCAACTCTTCATTTAGCACCAAACTTACATTTGATAAACACATGGCTCTTCATGCTAATGAATGTGGTTTTGAATGTCAAAATGATATGTACTCCCATAAGACAGCTGTACACAGTGGGTTGTCAAACGGCACCATAACAGTAGAGCATCAAGCGTTGACGAATCAGTTGCATCACAAAATTCTTATGTCTTATCCATGTGAAATGTGCAATATAATGTTTCCTGCTCGCAAGAAGCTCAGCCGTCATCTTTTGAAAGTTCATGGCATAGATAGCGATGCAGTCAGAGAATCAAGAGAAGTAGAGGAGTCTATTCAGTTGGCAGAAATGGATGAAGCTGCAACTGCTGTAATGCAGATCAATGTTAACAATGAAGATTTCCAGCCTGAGGTATCAAGGATAGATCTCAGAGAGGAGCATCCTATTTTCACTCTTACTGGCGGTAATTACCAGGGAACCAGATCAGCCTTGTTAATGCCGGCTAATGTTGTACCTCCAGATGTCAGTATAGTGGATATTGATGGTGTGCAGTATCATGTCATCAGAGGCAACCAGTAGAAGACTTAAGTAGTACACTCAGTGAATCAGACTCCTTTGACATGACTCATCTTGTGTATTTCTGGTCTCATATTGGCATCATGAATGATATCTCAGAACTCTTGGATATTATTTGTCAGATGTTGGTATATATCTTTCTGGGCTCAGTTCTTTCTAATGGTGATTACCTAAGCAGTTGATTCTTAATTTTTTTATGTACTGTACTATAGTATCATATCACTGAGTAACCAATAGGGGGGAAGTTAAATTTTGAATGCTGTACTGTATACGTATCTGCATTTTGGAGAGAACACACCAGCTGATATAAATTATCATGTAGACAATATGGGAAGGTAATTACAGTAAATGAACTTGTAAGATGATTATGAGTTTCTATTGTTAAAGACCTAATTTTTAGTAATTCAAAATTTCAGAATCATTCACAAATTTGAAGATGTGTATTTTACATCTATACATTTTAAGATGTATGCTGAGATGTATATTTTGGCCCCACTGAAATTTGTCTAAAGTTACAATGGTTACTTGAATGATAATCATTCAAGATCTGGTAATTAATTAATTGGCTAACTATTGTTTCTCTGAATCTAAATAGGCCTTCAGAGATCAGGTAGATTTAATGATAACTGAGGCTATTGGCTAATACTTTTTAAGTGTTAGTCATTGACTAGCTTGGTTATGAGAAGCATTGTATATTAGAGCATGTGTCATTTAACATTGATATGTGATATAATGATTGGGTAATACATATTCTAGCTGATCTAAGCTGTAACAAGTAACTGGAAATGAAGGCTTTGTCAGTGGTTAAGTAAAATTAGCTCTAGTGTTATGGAAACTAAAACAACTCTTAAAACTGTGTTTTAAACACACCATATTTGTTTAATTGAAAACCCTCTATGGCCTTTTCTTCTAAGCCTTTTAACAATAAGAATGTGGATTCTCTTCATGAACATTACTTCAAAGAGTAAACTGGAAAGCATTGATTCTAGACCTACAGTTTTGAAATAAATTAGTTTACCATAAATATAGATTACTGGATAGATTTTCTATAGCATGAAAGGAGAAGGAACATACTTAATGCCACGACATAAATTCGAGATAAATAGTTGTATATTTGGAGTAAAAAAAAAAGAAAAAAGTATTTATGGTATGCACCACAGCCAAGGAAGTAAATAGCCATATCACTGAAAATGTAAATGGACATAATAAAACAAAGAAAGAGAAAGTTCAATACATATTGCATATGTATATGTAGCAAACCACTTACCAATTAGCACCATTCTCAAAAACTAAGGCTAGAATTTTAGAACATATTTAGCACCTATGAATTCAAACATAATAAAAAAATACTTATTTCTGAATAGAAAAGCTGTTAATTTTCCAGACTGAAAATCAAATTGCCTTAGAATTTCTATCATGCAAGTTTAACTCGTGGGCATGTAATGGAGTGCCACCCTGCTCCTTATTGTATGAACTGCATTGTCCCTCTTAGTCATGCATATCCTTGTTGAATGTCCTGACATTTAGGACATTCGTGTGTCTTGCTTCCCACCTGTCTCAGCAGTCATTTGTCCCTCGATAGAATCCTTGGTAAATCAGATACCTTTGATATTTCTCGCCTCATGTGCTCGTTCTCGTATTGGCATCCTTGATGATATTTAGGGCCTTTTGAACATCTTGTGACTTTGATGATGCTACATAGTCTCCCTGGCTTGGTGCCTTCTTTTGATAATTACTTTAATTTAGAATTTCTATTAGTCTTGTGTTTGCACAGGAGAAAACTGTCTTTTTGAAAATTAAAAAAAAATAAATTAGGTGACACTGCTATTGGCATACATTTGAGGTCAGTCATGGTTTCTGGGAGGGCTCTCCTTGGTGGCTTCCTGAGCTAGCCACTTTATTAGCTCCACAAGGTGGTGGATGCTGAAACCATCAGTAGTTTCAGTGTCATATGACAAGAGTACTGGGAAGACAGGACACCATGAGCATAGCTTCATCCTGTAACTACACTTAGGTAATTACCTGTCATGCCACAAGAGGCTCTTACAAGTCATAAAAATCTACCTCGGGTAAGAGTCAGAAATTGGTCCACTCAATAGAGGTGAAAAAAGTCTGGGGGAATACTGTATATACCTTAACCCAAGGCAAAGGTAAAAATAATGGTAAAGGTAGAATTTTCTAAAACTAACAATGCCTTGGAGAAACATTGGTAAGTTTGTTAATTAGGTACATACTTGTTAGCTGGTTACCACTGCTAGTTACACCTCCCAACCACCAGATGGCAAATCTGAGGGGTCCAGTCAGACAGTCACCTATGTCACATGCCTTGTGTGGGGTTGTTTACAGCTACATCATGGCACAGTCCTTAGTCCCAGTTTTTTTCAGGTAAGTGTTGGAAATTATTTTGGACTTTGTTCTGCAGGGACCAGTATTTGTTTTTTCCAAATTATTTATTCACTTTATGAATGTGTTCTTTCTGGCATTACTTTTTGTATGGACCTTGAGTCAACTATTTGCCTTAGATTGCATGTGTTAAGCATTCACGACCCTTGACATTTACTAGCATTGCCCCTGCCCAGTCAGGGGCAATTCCCTGGGGAATTCAGGTGTTTGCTCTTTTAACTGGACACCCAACTGTAGCTAAACTTCTCTTGATGATGTCATTGATTGCTTCACGTCTTTCAATCTTTCCCTGTGACTTAGGACAGATGAGACCATGACTGCTGTATTGGCCTACCTGCGCATAGCTGCAGATTTACCGGTGTTCGGTGGAAATAGGGGCGGCATTTATATATACAGTATATATATATACACACATACACATACATATACATAATAAAGCAAAAAAAAAATCAAGAGGAAGGGGGTGGTAGGAGAAAAGCACACAGAAACAGTATTGGAGGGGACCTAAACATTCCTTCCGTTGATGATTACTTTCAATAAAATATGCTGTGACATCCTAAGGATTACATACACTTTTTTCAATTGACTTTATTTATTGTTATTAATATCAATATTATTTACGTGGTTTTGTGAGGGCTAATATGGCCGAGCTGAAAACATTTGCCCTATGCTTTCTTTAATGGTTCTATTATGCAAGAATATAATTTTCACACCAACATTGTTACACTCGAGCTTTAATAAACATTACAGTAGATAACCGCACGTGTGGGCGGTCCGTCTAATTACCACAAGCTACCACAAACTACATGGGTTAGTAGGATGGCGGGGTATGGGGTGGGGAGGATTTTGGGCTTTTTGAAAGGCCGTCTGTCTTATACTATGTGGTGGTTGCGTCGCTCCTTTCCTAGGGTTTTTGATGCTTGGTTCACGGTCGAGTATGTCCAGGGTGCTGCGTTGGTGTAGGTGGTGGGTTCCTGTGGGTGTGGTTGTGTGTGTGTCTGTGCGTGTTCCTTTGGTTCGGTTAATTCCCTCTGGTGGGTGGGGGTTTGGGGAGTCTGTGTTTGTTTGTCTTTGGGGTTTTGTGTGTACTGGGGTTTGCTTGGTTACCTTGTGTGGCAGGATTTTGTTTGTGTGTGGGTGGGTATGGGTGTGTTGTGGTGTTGTGTGGCATGTCTGTCTCTCTCCTGATGTGTCCGGTGCGTGGGTGTTTATTTTCTGCTTGGTGGCTGGCCGTCCTCTGTCTGTAGGGGTCGGGTTTGTGTGCTGGGTGGCTGTGTTTGTTTCGTATGTGTTCCATACGAAACAAACACAGAACAATGTGTTCCATTGTTGCGTGTTTTTTGTATGCTTGTGTTCATTGTCATTTTGTCTTGCTGCCTTGTGTTATGTGCTTTTCATTATGGGTCCTGTTGGCACGCCCCGTATGGGTGGCATGTGTTGTTTGTTTGTGTGTTTATGCTTTTTTTACACTTTGTTCTGTTATCTGTGTCATTTTACTGTGTTATATGTTCCAATGTCGGTTTGTACTATACCGACTCCTTTATTTTTTACTATGTTATTTTACTATGTAATGCAAATGTGTTCTGTTTCCTTTATTTTATGTACTGTGCTGTGTATTGCTTTGTTGTATTCCATTGTTATTTTCCTGCATTTACTTACTATGTTGTATTTACAGTGTTATATTAACATGGTTGTTATTGTGTTTATTAACATGTTTGTTGTGGTGTGTTGCCTGCTGTTGTGTGGTGTGGAGCATGGTGCGTGTGTTTTGCGTTTGTGTTATTTTTGTATGTGTTTCCTTGTATGTGTATTCCTGTTTATAATTTACCCTTGGTTTTATTGTGCTCCTTGTGCGCTTTTGTAATTACTGACGCTTTTGGCGCGCCCCGTCTGGGTAGTGCTGCTTTTGTTTGCGTGTGTGTGTGTGTGTGTGTGTTCTTATGTGTTATATGTTATTCTTTGTTTTCACTTTTGCGTTGATCAGTGTTACTTGTTATCTGTGTTGTTGTTATTCTGTGTTCTTCGTTATTCTGTGCTTTCCTGTTTATATGGTTACTATACGCTGTACTTGCTGTTTAAAAAAAAAAAAAAAAAAAAAAAAAAAAAAAAAAAAAAAAAAAAAAAAAAAAAAAAAAAAAAAAAAAAAAAAAAAAAACTACACAAACTTCAGAAAGCTTCCTGGCAATACGTTAGTAATGAATAAATATGATATATTTACTCATTATAACGTTGGTGCTGAATGTACAACACGAAAAAACATAATTTTAATCTGAAAAAGTATCTTTTTATAAAGAAATTAGACGAAAATAAAAAGCTGTGACGCCAAATCAAGTCGACGATCCAAGCTTCGGTTAGGTTAGGTTAGGTTTGGTTAAGTTAGGTTAGGTTAGGTTAGGTTAGGTTAGGATAGGTTAGGATAGGTTAGGTTAGGTTAGGTCAGCCTAACTTAATATATCATATTTATTCATTACTAACGTATTGCCAGGAAGCTTTCTGAAGTTTGTGTAGTTTGTGGTAGCTTGTGGTAATTAGACGGACCCCGTGTGGGTGTGGATGGCAGCTGTGGCAGGAGCAGTATAGCTGCCGTCTGCTGGTCAAGAGGACGGTGGCTCGGTAATGTTGGGGTGTGTTAAGGTTGGTGAAATTTAATCCCTGAGTAAGGGTTACCATAAAGTTCCAATGCACCTGGAGTACACAATAGTGGAAAGTGTTGGTGTGAACGCCATGCAGGGGCCGAACATGGCCGTGGCAGGCTTGTACATCCTGCCCGCGGACAGGATGTTTATGCTCGGAAATCTTTTTGGCACCTCCAGTCCGTTTTTTCTTTGGCCACAATACAAATTTTGTTTATTCCTCGTAGCCTGTTGCTCTTACAGTAGGCTTTACAGTTAATACATATTTTATCATTAATTATATTCTTCGCATTTTAGCTTTTTTGGACCAATCCAAATTTTGTCAATTTAATTTTTATAAAATTAATAAATACACGGAAATTGACGGAGAGCCTCACAACACGTGGAGGAGGAGGCCAGAGCCTCTCAACACGTGGAGGAGGAGGCCAGAGCCTCTCAACACGTGGAGGAGGAGGCCAGAGCCTCTCAACACGTGGAGGAGGAGGCCAGAGCCTCTTAACACGTGGAGGAGGAGGAGGCCAGAGCCTCACAACATGTGGAGGAGGAGGCCAGAGCCTCTTAACACGTGGAGGAGGAGGAGGCCAGAGCCTCACAACATGTGGAGGAGGAGGCCAGAGCCTCTTAACACGTGGAGGAGGAGGAGGCAGGTCAGCCGTGTTGATGTTGTAGGCAACACGGGAGACAGCAACTTCACCTGCTGTGTTGAATCTTAGTTGAAATTGTATTGGCTTTATAACACTGTGCACTGTGTTAGATAATGTTCCAGTGGAGTGTCGGGTATTTATCCACAGAGCTGACATTTCTTCTCATCTTTTGGAAGCTAGAAGCCTATTTCCCATGCACATGGGTATCCAAGCCTGATGCAATGTAAGTGTACCTCTGTTGTTCTACTGCTCCCTTTCATCAAAATAAATGTTTCGTAGTTGGTTGAATTCTTGCAACTGCTGTGTTGTGGTCACTGTACATCTTTTGCAGTGCTCTATGTTAAATTACTTTCTTAATCTGTGAGAGACTGTTATTTCGTCTCTTAGTTGCAAGTTTTGCAGCTTCGTCTGCAGTGTCATTCCCTATTATCCCCCCCTCCCCTACGTGTTGATGTCGCAGGTTCCCCTCTGATGTTGCAGGTCCTTCTCATGTTGATGTTGCAGGTCCTTCTCATGTTGATGTTGCAGGTCCTTCTCATGTTGATGTTGCAGGTCTCCCCCTCCCACGTGGTGATGCAAGTCCTACACAACTCTGCTCACACCTGTCAGGACATAATTGAAGCAAAATCACATTTCATTATATATATATATATATATATATATATATATATATATATATATATATATATATATATATATATATATATATATATATATATATATATATATATATATATATATATATATATATATATAGTGGACTTACCTGGCACAAGAACGGTGCGCGATAATGATTGTTGTTGTTTTAGATTCAGCTACTCAGAACAAAAGTTCCAAGTAGCAAGGGTTATGGTGAGCCCGTAGTGGACTTACCTGGCACAGGAGCGGTGCTGTGATAATGATTCGTTGTTGTTGTTGTTTAAGATTCAGCTACTGGGAACTAAAAGTTCCAAGTAGCACGGGCTATGGTGAGCCCGTGATGGACTTACCTGGCACAGGAGCGGGGCTGCCGCCGATAATGATTCGCTATCGACTGCTTATATAATCGGTCCGCACCACACCTGACTATCCTCTAGCAGGCTTGGGAGGAGGTATTGTAATTAGTGGACTAAGTAGAATTAACAGACCCATCTCATTTTCTGCACATAAGGTAATGAGAAAATGGAGCAAGTATATTACTGACATTATATACTTGCTGCAGATGATAAGGGTCAAACACCTTTAACCCCTTGCATAGAGGTGCGAGCAATAAAGACATGTTCTGAGGAATGGAGGGTTAATAAAGACAAAATATATATACAAAAGGTTTCATTTTCTTACTTGCATGTTCGGTCACTGAAGTGTTGCGGGTGGGAGCACCGCTCCGTCAGTAACGAGTGCAGGAACACTTCTCGAAGGACCAGAAGTGGCTCCCATCATTAGGGCAAGCTTCACGGTCGGTGTCTGAACACTTACACATGCACATGGTCCCGTCTGCCACCTGAACACCGAGGAAGTAATTGAAGATAACTGATCTTAAATGAACAAATCCACAAGGGCCGTGACGAGGATTCGAACCTGCGTCCGGAAGCATCCCAAACACTGCCTTAATCGACTGAGCTACGACAGGGTTGAAAGTGTCTGGGATGCTCCCGGACGCAGGTTCGAATCCTCGTCACGGCCCTTGTGGATTTGTTCATTTGATGCATAACGTTAGTGTGATCTCTGTGTGTGATGATCTTAAATGTTTTAACCTCTGAGTTGAATAGTGCAAGGAACCGACGCTGACATTGTTACGAGAGGCTAAATTGATTAGCGAATATATTACCTGACAGTACATCTAATTTGTAGTTTTCCGAACTTTTAATCAGTTGGAGAGAGATGAGAGCAACGTACCATGGGAAGAGAGCAGTTCATCTTGGCCATGTCGCAGACACAGCCACAGCTCTGGTGCTCGTCCACCGGCACATGAGCACACGCAGACATCATGTCTTGTGTCATCGCCATCACCTGTAGTGGAAGAGACCAGGCTGTGGTGAGGGTGGTAAAGGTGTAGTGTTTGTTGCACCCATCACGAGGTGATGGTGACCATGGTGGTGATTGTGAGGGTAGTATACCTCGAGTATACCTCCATTATATCTGGAGTATACCTGGATTATATCTGGAGTATACCTAGAGTGGGTTCTGGGAGTTCTGCTCCCCACACTCGGCCAGTACTTACCTAACAGTGTCTACGGAGAAGTGAGGTCTCCCTTGTCATGCCGACCACCTTTATTATACCTGTTGCATTATAACTGAAATAAGACGTTCGAATTGTTTGTCGAATCTGACCTTGAAGCTGTGGATGGAGGTGGCTTTCACAATTTCTTCTTTCAGTTCATTCCACTTGTTAACTACCCGTACAGGGGTACAAGTACGGGTAGTTAACACCTTACATTCCAGTAGTTAATATGGGTAGATAATATCTTACATTCCTTCCGCTCATTTGTGTTTCATGCTTCCCTCTTTGATTGTTGCCGCCGAAGGCGGCTAGTTTATTGTGCACCCCATACTCATCCTGTTCCCTCTATGTCCTCTTGTCCTACTTTATCTCAGTTTTAAGAGGCTATCCTTATCCACCAATCTATTCCCCCTCATTATCTTGTATGTTATGATCATATCCCCTCTGTTCCCTTTATCCTCTAGGGTTGTGAGATATAGTTCCACTACCCTATCCTCATAGCTCAGCCCTCTTAGCTTTGGCACCAGTCTTGTTGTAAACCTTTGTACTTTTTCATTGTTGGTTTTATGCTTTACAAAGTTTGGATTCCATGCTGGTGCTGTATATTCCGGTATTGGTCTAACAAATGTGTAGATTGCCTGAAGGAGCCCTGATTTAGTTTCTAAACAATGTTCTTAAGTTTGGCAGCCTTCCCTTATACGGGCGATGTTACCCTGTTCATGTGGGCCTCCGGTGTTACTGATGGAAGTCCACTCCCAAGTCTCTCTCAATCCTGCAGTTGCCTTCCCCTTATGGTGTAGATGCCTCCTGGTCTTCGTTCTCCCTTTCCCATCTCTATTACTTTACACTTGTTGAAATTGAATTCCAACAACCATTTGTTTGCCAACTCCTGGAGAGTTTGTCTAGGTCCTCGTATAACTTCCTGCAGTCCTCCTTTATTTTTACAATCCTCATCAACTTTAGATCATCTGCAAACATTAACATGTCTGAGCTCACTCGCTCAGATTGGTCGTTCACATAAATTAGAAACAGTAACGGTCCCAGGAACAAATTTTGTTGAACCCATTTGTTATATCCCCACTTGCGTCCAACAGCCTGGTTGATCAGTCCAGCAACCAGGAAGCCTGGTCGACGACCGGGCCGCGGGGACGCTAAGCCCCGGAAGCACCTCAAGGTAACCTCAAGGTAAGGTAAGGTGGTAGTTGTGGTGGTTGTGGTAGTTGTGGTTGTTGTAGTGCAGCCCGTCCTCCAAACAAAGACCCAAAGTCCATTCCATGCACCCGCCAAACCCACTGTTTATGAATGAAAAACAGTTTACACACGACTCACAACTGATGACGTTCGAACTTCACTGACGAATTTTGTTCGAACCACAACGCTGTAAATGCTTCACCCACGTACTACAAACACAAATAATCGCCAACAGAACCTAAACACCTAACCTAACCTATGCCTATATATGCACAATATGCTAATATATTATAATATTAATTACTATTTGAGAAAATTCCAGTTTTGAATGAACAGTATATTAAAATTTATGAATGCGTCTGTGGGGTCGACCGCTGGATGTAATGGACTTGAGTCGAGGACGGGTTGCCTAATCAGTACCTAAACAAAGATCCAAAAGTGATGTACAATATGGTTATATCCGGAAAAGTAATATCACAACGCTACAAATGCTTCATTTATATTTTAACCTAAAATATTCCTATTTTTTGAATGAACAGCATGTTAAAATTTATGATGCGTGTGTGGGGTCGACCGCTGGATGGAATAGACTTGGTGTGAGGACTTGTTGTGGTGGTGGTGGGGTCAGATTTAAAACTGGCACCACCCTACAGATCTTAACATATCTGAATTTACCTGAGGGCCACTAATACTCTAGTGGCCTCAACGAGGACAGGAAGCCGGCGGCTTGTCAAAGGTCCCTATTTGTCCTGATGTTGCCCAAGGAGTTAGGCAACGTTTGTGCAGTGCATCCTGGGAGGAAGTGGAGAGTCAGTTGCTAGCCAAGGAACACTTTGATTACCTTAACCTGCTTACAGTCATCGACAAAGGTAAACCATATGCGAGCGTTTAGTGTAACCTCCAAAGTCTCGTACTCCTTAAAGAACAGTAAATGCTTACCTTGACGAGCTTGGATGTAGTGTTGGAGGCCACACACTTGGTGTTGCTGCCCATACACATCAGGGCTCCACACCGCTTGACCATAGCCATCGACGGGTTCACCTGAGGACACACCAGGGTTACCCTCCTCAGGTCACAACGACAGGAAGGTTATTATTGTTTCAAACTGCGAGCCAGAGCTCCCAGGAGGCAAGTGAGGCCGTGTTAGACTATGTTAGAAGAGGGAGGGAAGAACTACACTTGTTTTACGGTTACTTTACCAGACTTTGGAGACACAGGAACACGTTAAGCTTGGATAGTTTTCCAAGCTGAACACGGTGGTTACAGAACATTTAAGAAATTTAAGGTAATTTAGGTTAAAGGTTAAGCTACTTTGTATTGATTTTGGAGTTCATGCAAGGCTTGATATTCTCTGAGTGTGAAATTGGACGGATGTGAAGGTTTCATCATATTTATAGCATTACTATATTCACTAGAGATAACAGGAACTACGTTTATAGACATTAGCATAGGTGATGGAGTCATGTTAATATATTCTTGTATTATTCAGTTTCTCCGTGCATTCAATCCGGCCTTAAACTGAGAATTATTCATTCGGCTTCCACTATGCTTGTCTCAGCTACCCCCACATGTATACACACACACACACACACACACACACACACACACACACACACACACACACACACACACACACACACACACACACACACACACACACACACACACACAGAAAGAAAAAGACTTGGGAGTTGATATCACGCCAGACCTGTCTCCTGCAGCACATATCAAGAGGATAACATCAGCGGCATATGCCAGGCTGGCCAACATACGAACGGCATTCAGAAATTTGTGTAAAGAATCATTCAGAACTTTGTATACCACATATGTCAGGCCAATTCTGGAGTATGCAGCCCCAGCATGGTGTCCATATCTAGTCAAGGATAAGACTAAACTGGAAAAGGTTCAAAGATTTGCCACCAGACTAGTACCCGAGCTGAGAGGTATGAGCTACGAGGAGAGACTGCGGGAATTGAACCTCACTTCGCTGGAAGACAGAAGAGTTAGAGGGGACATGATCACGACATTCAAGATTCTCAAGGGAATTGATAGGGTAGATAATGACAGGCTATTTAACACAAGGGGCACACGCACAAAGGGACACAGGTGGAAACTGAGCGCCCAAATGAGCCACAGAGATATTAGAAAGAACTTTTTTAGTGTCAGAGTGGTTGACAAATGGAATGCATTAGGAAGTGATGTGGTGGAGGCTGACTCCATACACAGTTTCAAGTGTAGATATGATAGAGCCCAATAGGCTCAGGAATCTGTACACCTGTTGATTGACGGTTGAAAGGCGGGACCAAAGAGCCAGAGCTCAAACCCCGCAAACACAACTAGGTGAGTAACTAGGTGAGTACACACACACACACACACACACACACACACACACACACACACACACACACACACACACACACACACACACACACACACACACACACACACACACACACACACACACACACAAAGGTTTGCTGCCTTGGTTAAAAGCACACAAGGTACCAAAGTGAAGTGCTCAGTCACGCGATGAGAGAACCTGCGTGTCGAGGCAGTAGCAGAAGAGCTCTCAGTGAGCAACTGCCGTGAGGGCGAGCGCGCTCAAACTACTTGCAGTAGCCATGGGGTTACTTAAGGTAGGATCTTAAGGTTACTTAATTAAGGTAAGACACCTCTTACTGAGGTGTAGCCCCGGGGGACCTCCCACTCACCGAGGTGTAGCCCCGGGGGACCTCCCACTCACCGAGGTGTAGCCCCGGGGGACCTCCCACTCACCGAGGTGTAGCCCGGGGGGACCTCCCACTCACCGAGGTGTAGCCCCGGGGGACCTCCCACTCACCGAGGTGTAGCCCCGGGGGACCTCCCACTCACCGAGGTGTAGCCCGGGGGACCTCCCACTCACCGAGGTGTAGCCCCGGGGGACCTCCCACTCACCGAGGTGTAGCCCGGGGGGACCTCCCACTCACCGAGGTGTAGCCCCGGGGACCTCCCACTCACCGAGGTGTAGCCCCGGGGGACCTCCCACTTACCGAGGTGTAGCCCCGGGGGACCTCCCACCTCCCACTCACCGAGGTGTAGCCCCGGGGGGACCTCCCACTCACCGAGGTGTAGCCCGGGGGGACCTCCCACTCACCGAGGTGTAGCCCGGGGGGGACCTCCCACTTACCGACCGAGGTGTAGCCCCGGGGGACCTCCCACTCACCGAGGTGTAGCCCGGGGGGACCTCCCACTTACCGAGGTGTAGCCCGGGGGGACTGGAATGTCGACCAGTTGCAGGGTTGGATGCTCACAGCTGTTCATCATCCTCAGCTTCTGCATCTCCCTCTTCTCTCGCCTGTTGAAGCAGTTCTTACCGCCAGCCGCTGTAAGACCAGGACCATTACACTAGTGCCCCACCTAACACCAGCATATTCCCTCCAGTAACCTTGATATACAGTACTGCCCAATACATATCCCAGTACTCGCATACCAAACAGATCAAACTCCCCTAAAGGTGGCAATACACTGGCACTAATTTAGAAATTGTAACTGACTTTACGGCTTCTTTTGTTCAGTTGGTGTTAACCTTTCCCGAGGTACTCCGAGTGTCGGGCCACGAGTCCCCGCCAGGCGGCGCCACCACCCACTCCCTACTCCTGCCAGTCACCTCCACACACACACACATTATATCCACAATTTCCTCACTTTAAACCAAAGCTTTTAACATTAGCGCAATACCAACTATGGAGGTACTGCACTAATGGAGCAAGAACATGAGCTGTACAAGAGTGCAGCTCACGTCCTTGTTCCACTCAACACCTCTACTTTTCATTGTCTTTTGTGTCAAGTGAAAAGTGTCAAACTTTTCCTGATGTACTAACAAAAAAAGCGAGAGTAACCCCACTTCATAAAGGAGGTGACACAGCTGACATGAACAATTACATACCTATATCAAACTACCAGTGTTATCCAAAATATTTGAAAAGTTTGTTCAGAAACAGTTTTACTCCTACCTTCTTAAATTTAACGTTCTAAGTTCCAGCAAGTTCGGCTTCATATCCCACAAGAGAACTAATGATGTCATTATTAGTTTACGCGACTTAATCTATACAACTCTTGACAAAAATGAGCTTCCAATTGGCTTCTTCGTTGAGTTGAAACAAGCTTTTGATGCCGTAAACTATAATAACCTCCTACTTAAACTTCATCACTCTGAAATTCGAGGCCTTGCTCTGAACTATATCGGATCATATCTCAAAAATAAATGCCAATACGTAGTCATCATTGACACAATGAATTACAAAATTGTCCAACCTATACTTTTTAAAAAAGTAGAACAATGAAATTCCTAGGTTTTTCATTTCCATAGTATTTCCCCTTGTGTTTTTTTCAGGAATATTCCTGCGCGGGCCCTAAGCCTCTGACTGGCCCACTAAGTGTTGCTTGTTTCTGTTTTACTTAGGTGGTGTATAAATATTTATGACTTATGTTTGTTTCAGTAAGATTATGCCCCATGTGTTTAACGGCTAATGCTCTGTTGAATCTTAGTTGAAATCTTATTTGGCTTGTAATTCTTATTTGTGTGTTAGATAATGTTCCAGTGGTCTGTCGGACATTTCTTCTCATCTTCTGGAAGCTATAAGCCTATTTCCCATGCTCATGTGTATCCAAGCCTGATGCGATGTAAGTGTACTTCTGTTGTTCTACTGCTCCCGTTCACCAAAATAAGTAGTTCGTAGTTGGTGAAATTCTTGTACCAACCCGCAGATCCTGGTGTTGTATCTGCTGTGTTGTGGTTACTGTACATCTTCTGCATTGCTCTATTTCTAATTGCCTTCTAAATTTGTGTTAGACTCTGTGGTATGTAAATGCCTACATTTCTTATCTTAGTTGCAAGTTTTGCAGCTTCGTTTGCAATGTTATTCCCCATTATTCCCACATGACTTGGCACCCAGTTGATAAGTACTCGACGGCCATGACGTTTGAGTGTTTGCATTAATGATATGACATTTGTGATCAGATGTATGTTATCACGTATGTGTTCTTGTTGCAAGGTTTTCAATGGCAGTTCTCAAATCTGTATGTATGATAACATGATGCTGTTCAGCAAGAGCATGTTCCAAAGCCTTTTGAATGGCTAGCATCTCTGTTTGTAAAGTTGAACATCCATTTGAAAGTCTCTAACTTACTACAGAATTTCCTGTCTTCCTGCAGCTCCAGTTTCTTGTTCCGGCCGGTCTACTGATCCATCTGTGAAGTATGTGAAGCTGTCAGATGCCATGTTTGCTTTTATATGCATCTGTGCAATGTTGTGTAGCAGATGAGGATTAGTCTGGTTCTTTTTTTCTTCAAGAGCCATGTCTTAAAGTCTGCTGGCGGTGATTCCCAAGAGGCTTGCATAGCGAAGTCTGCATGTATTTCGTCGACTCCCCTCTCACTGACTGTATTTGTTATATCGAATATATTGATGCACAATGGGTCGACCTATTGCTATTGGAAGCTATTCTGTCCCGAGTTAGTGCTCCAGGGATTATATATTTAAGTTATTCTTGGTTCTTGGTCTATCTAGTCAATATCTTGGTCAGCATGCATGCAGCAATCCCTTTTACCCTTATTTCAATCGATGTTAGTTTGGTTTCTAGTCTTAGGCTCAGAATTTCAATCCATCTGGGAGCTCCTGTTATGACTCACATTGCATCATTTTATATAACCTAAACGTTTGCCCACTGGCCAGGAGAAAGAGTGAGTAAGGCAGGTACTGCATAATCAACTAGGGGACGAACAGCGTGTGTGTAAAACTTTCTTAACACTTTGTGTCCCGCTCCTAGACGGGGCCCTGTGATTGCTCTCATTATACTCGGTCGTGATTTTGCTTTATCCTTCAGATATTGAATTTGCTTGATGAATGTCATTTTAGAATCTATCCACACTCGAAGAGATTGATAGTGTGTAACCCACTGAAGGTTAATGTCTTGAATGCGTAGGTGCCCCTTGTGCTGCTAAATTACTCGGTATTTTGCAATTTACAACTACAACTTTGTCAATATAATTTATTATAGTGCTACTTTATGCTGTTGCTGTAGTTATTATGTGAATTCAGTTTGTTTCCAATCATTACTCTTATTTTTTATTCACTATATACTATTGGTGGTGGTGTTTGATGGCCTGCGGGAAGCTGTGTCTGTGGCTGTACAATGTTCCACTACATCACCAACATGTGTACTCTCACTACCCATTGTACCTTCTTGTATATACCAATAAATGCTTAAACATAAATAACCCCAGTACCAGAGACTTACACTACAAACCCCCAGTACCAGAGCCTTACACTACAAACCCCCAGTACCAGAGGCTTACACTACAAACCCCAGTACCAGAGACTTACACTACAAACCCCCAGTACCAGCGACTTACACTACAAACCCCCAGTACCAGAGCCTTACACTACAAACCCCCAGTACCAGAGGCTTACACTACAAACCCCCAGTACCAGAGGCTTACACTACAAACCCCCAGTACCAGAGGCTTACACTACAAACCCCCAGTACCAGAGGCTTACACTACAAACCCCCAGTACCAGAGGCTTACACTACAAACCCCCAGTACCAGAGGCTTACACTACAAACCCCCAGTACCAGAGGCTTACACTACAAACCCCCAGTACCAGAGGCTTACACTACAAACCCCCAGTACCAGAGACTTACACTACAAACCCCCAGTACCAGAGCCTTACACTACAAACCCCCAGTACCAGAGCCTTACACTACAAACCCCCAGTACCAGAGACTTACACTACAAACCCCCAGTACCAGAGACTTACACTACAAACCCCCAGTACCAGAGACTTACACTACAAACCCCCAGTACCAGAGGCTTACACTACAAACCCCCAGTACCAGAGGCTTACACTACAAACCCCCAGTACCAGAGCCTTACACTACAAACCCCCAGTACCAGAGCCTTACACTACAAACCCCCAGTACCAGAGACTTACACTACAAACCCCCAGTACCAGAGACTTACACTACAAACCCCCAGTACCAGAGCCTTACACTACAAACCCCAGTACCAGAGACTTACACTACAAACCCCCAGTACCAGAGGCTTACACTACAAACCCCCAGTACCAGAGGCTTACACTACAAACCCCCAGTACCAGAGCCTTACACTACAAACCCCCAGTACCAGAGGCTTACACTACAAACCCCCAGTACCAGAGCCTTACACTACAAACCCCCAGTACCAGAGCCTTACACTACAAACCCCCAGTACCAGAGGCTTACACTACAAACCCCCAGTACCAGAGACTTACACTACAAACCCCCAGTACCAGAGCCTTACACTACAAACCCCCAGTACCAGAGCCTTACACTACAAACCCCCAGTACCAGAGGCTTACACTACAAACCCCCAGTACCAGAGACTTACACTACAAACCCCCAGTACCAGAGACTTACACTACAAACCCCCAGTACCAGAGCCTTACACTACAAACCCCCAGTACCAGAGCCTTACACTACAAACCCCCAGTACCAGAGCCTTACACTACAAACCCCCAGTACCAGAGCCTTACACTACAAACCCCCAGTACCAGAGACTTACACTACAAACCCCCAGTACCAGAGACTTACACTACAAACCCCCAGTACCAGAGCCTTACACTACAAACCCCCAGTACCAGAGGCTTACACTACAAACCCCCAGTACCAGAGACTTACACTACAAACCCCCAGTACCAGAGGCTTACATTACTATAAGTTGTCTGTTCTGACCAGTACAAACCCCAGTACCAGAGGTTCTCTGTACTGACCAACAAACCTCGCTAATTTCGAGACTTGAAGTTCCTGTGTTCTAAACATCTATAGTATGTACAACTTATATTCGTTTAAGTTCACCCACCGTGCACCAGGAGCAGAGGCGCCAGCATCACCACAACGACCAGTGTGTTCATCCTGTCGGTGACCAAGAACAACTGAGGGTCTTAGAGTTGTAACCACTTTATATACCCTCCGGGAAGGGGGCACCGCACGTCGCTTCTTCAGCAGCATCTTTTGACTGAACTGGTTTTAAAGTATTATTTATTACCCACTTGGTGAGAGGAGGTAACATGAACAAATATTACACCTTGTAAGATATGTAATGTAAGACTCGGAGAGGACAATGACGTCCTCAGAATAGTCTCGTCACGACCCAGTGTCCAGCATGAAGGACGACTCTTGACTAGCACTAAGCTGGGGATACTAATACACTACATCTAAGAATGTATTCGTCGTTCCTTATAACTGTGCTTGTCGCTCAGAGCAGATGCCATCATGTCCATGGTTGATGCAGCAATGAGCGTGTGTCCAGGGAACTGCAAGGTGTCTGCTCGCCCTGGCCGCCTCTGTCTCCCGTGTCTGCTCGCCCTGGCCGCCTCTGTCTCCCGTGTCTGCTCGCCCTGGCCGCCTCTGTCTCCCGTGTCTGCTCGCCCTGGCCGCCTCTGTCTCCCGTGTCTGCTCGCCCTGGCCGCCTCTGTCTCCCGTGTCTGCTCGCCCTGGCCGCCTCTGCTCGCCTTGGCCGCCTCTGCGTCTACTCCTCCAACACAAAGTACACATCTAAGCAGTTTTTCACAAGTTTTTATAAAAAGTTGCGAATTAGATAATATTAACATAATTCCAGGATTATATTAATTAGTTTTATAATTGGTGAGATTTGTGAGAGGTATAAAATGATGTAAATAATAATTGCATGTGCAATGTTTCATTTCAAGAAATAGGCAAAACCCATTTAATTATCCCACTTTTTGTTTGTGTATCTTTATCTACTCATGTGTAGGTGGGTATATATATATACACCATCTACCATCTAGAGGGGTGATTACGGCATATTCATGCCTGTGCCATCTCTTGGGTGGCTTAATCTTCATCAATCAATCTAGATAGTGAATTACGGGCTCACCACAGCCCGTGCTACATGGATATTTCCTTCCGAGTAGCTAAATCTAAACCAACAAAGAGGGTGAAGACACTCTAAATCTCTTCAAACTTACATGCAGAAACATAGACATTTATAAGTTTGGCTTCACCTCGTGTAGGGGAGGGTGACTAGTGTAGGGGAGGGTGACTAGTGTAGGGGAGGGTGTCCAGTGTAGGGGAGGGTGACTAGTGTAGGGGAGGGTGACCAGTGTAGGGGAGGGTGACCAGTGTAGGGGAGGGTGTCCAGTGTAGGGGAGTGTGACCAGTGTAGGGGAGGGTGTCCAGTGTAGGGGAGGGTGACCAGTGTAGGGGAGGGTGACCAGTGTAGGGGAGGGTGACCAGTGTAGGGGAGGGTGTCCAGTGTAGGGGAGGGTGACCAGTGTAGGGGAGGGTGTCCAGTGTAGGGGAGGGTGACTAGTGTAGGGGAGGGTGACCAGTGTAGGGGAGGGTGTCCAGTGTAGGGGAGGGTGACCAGTGTAGGGGAGGGTGTCCAGTGTAGGGGAGGGTGACCAGTGTAGGGGAGGGTGACCAGTGTAGGGGAGGGTGTCCAGTGTAGGGGAGGGTGACTAGTGTAGGGGAGGGTGACCAGTGTAGGGGAGGGTGACCAGTGTAGGGGAGGGTGTCCAGTGTAGGGGAGGGTGACTAGTGTAGGGGAGGGTGACTAGTGTAGGGGAAGGTGTCCAGTGTAGGGGAGGGTGTCCAGTGTAGGGGAGGGTGACCAGTGTAGGGGAGGGTGTCCAGTGTAGGGGAGGGTGACTAGTGTAGGGGAGGGTGACCAGTGTAGGGGAGGGTGTCCAGTGTAGGGGAGGGTGACCAGTGTAGGGAAGGGTGTCCAGTGTAGGGGAGGGTGACCAGTGTAGGGGAGGGTGACCAGTGTAGGGGAGGGTGACCGGAGGGGCAAGTACACTCTAACAACATAACAAATTACATAAAGCTGACTCCATACACAATTTCAAATGCAAATATGACAGAGCCCAGAAGGCTCAGGAATCTGTACACCAGTTGATTGACGGTTGAGAGGCGGGACCAAAGAGCCAGAGCTCAACCCCGCAAACACACCCAGGTGAGTACAACTAGTTGAGTACAAAAGGGAGAGGTTTGCGTAAGTGTTGAGCGGAGTGAGACAGAGACGGAGCAGGATGCCGGCATCCTTGCTGTAGCAGCTGCGCTCTCTAATCTCTGATGTCATCCTCTGCTCCTCTGTGTATCTGATGTTCCATCTGCACGTGTCCAGTCGCCGAGGCTGGCTTTTGTTGACACAATTGTTTCAATAATAGCAGGTTTTCTTGTAGCTTTATATTAATATTAATAAATGTGATACAATGGGATATATATATATATATATATATATATATATATATATATATATATATATATATATATATATATATATATATATATATATATATATATATATATATATATATATATATATATATATATATATATATATATATATATATATATATATATATATATATATATATATATATATATATATATATATATATATATATATATATATATATATATATATATATTATTAATATGACGGAAAAAGTAAGATTAATAATTCTAACACGAATTTTCTCAATGTTTCTTATATTTCTTTTCGCTGTTGACGGTAACTGAAAAATCAACAGTGAAAAGAAATATAAGAAACATTGAGAAAATTCGTGTTAGAATTATTAATCTTACTTTTTCGGTCATATTTAATAATATATGTCTACATGAAAGGCTGCTACCAAAATATACTAATATATATATATATATATATATATATATATATATATATATATATATATATATATATATATATATATATATATATAGGAGGAGAGGGTAGATAAAACAGCACTTTTATGATAGTTTTAGATATGATTTATTTTGTATATATATTGACATAAAAAATTAGGATATATTTGAGTATAGAAAAAACATACCAATTAAGAGTTAATGTTATCTTTATCAAGAGAAAGACTTTAAAACATTTAAATATTATATTCACTCCTGTTGGGGGTATTGGGGTATTTCTTTGTATGTTTAGGAGGCCCATCTAAGCCACATATATACTGTCATGTCTGTAATGACCTCAAGACGACGTATACAACGTGAGGTATACCTGCTTCTCGGTGTATATACGCTGAGTAGTATACTTTAGTCCTGGATTATGACAGAAAGCCATTGTGTAGCTTTAACAACCCTCCAGAGGTTGATAGGCCTTAATAACCCTCCAGAGGTTGATAGGCCTTAATAACCCTCCAGAGGTTGATAGGCCTTAATAACCCTCCAGAGGTTGATAGGCCTTAATAATCCTATAGAGGTTGATAGGCCTTAATAACCCTCCAGAGGTTGATATTCCATAAGCCCAACACAGCACCAGTGACGTCAGAAGTGCGTCACAGTCAAGTAGGATAGGCTACAGATAAGGAGGATAGGATAGGCTACAGATAAGAGAAGCGAAGGAAAACTTTACATAAAGACGCAAAATAAAAATTGTCAATAACGAAGCAGTGAAAAATAAATTCACACGAAAATAGTATTTAACACTAACACGTGTGAGGATGTAATTATTATTCACTTATACCCACATACTGTACCTCACAGCACACTTATACCCACATACTGTACCTCACAGCACACTTATACCCACATACTGTACCTCACAGCACACTTATATCCTCATACTGTACCTCACAGCACACTTATACCCACATACTGTACCTCACAACACACTTATACCCTCATACTGTACCGCACAGCACACTTATACCCACATACTGTACCTCACAGCACACTTATACCCACATACTGTACCTCACAGCACACTTATACCCACAAACTGTACCTCACAGCACACTTATACCCACATACTGTACCTCACAGCACACTTATACCCACATATAGTACCTCACAGCACACTTATACCCACATACTGTACCTCACAGTACACTTATACCCACATACTGTACCTCACAGCACACTTATACCCACATACTGTACCTCACAGCACACTTATACCCACGTACAGTACCTCACAGCACACTTATACCCTCATATTGTACCTCACATCACACTCATACCAGTGTCTGTACTGTCATACTAGTGCTCACACGCACAATCACACTTGTGCTCACCAACACACTTGTACCCTGACACAAGTCCCCAGGACGCTAGCAGTCATCTCATGCTAAAGTTGTCCAAGACCCGCGAGATGAGTGTTCTAGTCTTGTCATCCTGCTAACGTCACACAGATTAATAATATACTGCATCGCTCTCCTGAGACATTCCTTCATCAATACTAACATAATAGGTGGAATAACTATTATATAACTATGTGGTAGATTATACACCAGTTATACGTACATGGGGACAGGAAACATACATGAGCAATGGGACATGTATACAAATAAGAATAGCAGTATAAATAGCCATAAAATGAAGATACATAACTTGGTACGCATAACAGAACATATGAATAAATTATTATAAATAACGTAACTATACATAGCAGAGAGAAATATACATATTTATGCATAACAAAAACAGCTAAGAGAGAGACGCAGGGAACGAAGCAAGCCAAAACCTTCATTGTCTTGCTGTGTACAGAGCGTACAAGGGCCGGTACACTGTACAGTATACAAGCCCCGGTACACTGTACAGTATACAAGCCCCGGTACATTGTACAGTATACAAGCCCCGGTACACTGTACAGTAAACAGTATACAAGCTCCTGTCTTGCTCCTACCTCACACGGAACTAAAATATATAAAACCATACACAATACCTATACAGAGAAAGTTCAGAAATTAAGAGAATATCCTCCAAATACCCAAGTTTTTATTGCTCTTTATGTTTGTAATAATAATGGTGAGAATTTATATATATATATATATATATATATATATATATATATATATATATATATATATATATATATATATATATATATATATATATATATACAAGCGTCAGACCGGACACCGTAATACATAATTAGTGGAATAGACAATAGCACTAATTATGCATTTGTTTTGAAAAGATTACCATGACTGTGTATGGCCTTTGAAGGCAGTTCAAGGTGAACTAAAGCTTTCAACTTATGTTATATTATTTGTAGGAATTGAACGTTAATGTATTAAATTTAATAGTAATGATTTCCGTTGTCTTCAAAAGCATTTCTAATTTTAAATAACTATTTCAATTATAATTCACGGTAATGACCGAGTCAATCCGTTCCGAGACCGAGAACGTCGTTTCTTTCTATGGAACGGCGACCCACCTTCGTAAACATACACACACCCACACATATATATATATATATATATATATATATATATATATATATATATATATCTCAGAACAGTATACAAATTAAAAATGGTTGCAAAATGATATGGCAGCAGCTGCTGCGCAAAGGTGCTGCGCACTAGTCCCCGTCCTCCCCCCCCCCCTGTGCCTGGTGACAACACAATGTCTATAATTTGTCTTAAATACATATATATATATATATATATATATATATATATATATATATATATATATATATATATATATATATACACTCGTTGCTTCCCGTGGGAGGTAATTACACACTGAATGCTTGGTCCGCAATTCCATAATACTCGCAACTGCAAAGTTATACGTAAATGAGTAAAGCTTCATGTCTCCTTCACAGGAACTTATGTAATGTAAGAGTAATGTTTATCAATACTGTAACACGCATAATGTAAGGTAATACTAGGAAATAAATCATTATATATATATATATATATATATATATATATATATATATATATATATATATATATATATATATATATATATATATATATATAATATAATATAATATAATGTTACATAAGATTTTCCGAAGGCTTGCACTATACTTAAAGACATTGAAGGGGGCCTGAAGTTACGAAGAAGGTTAGCAAGACATCTGACACATTTTGGCACATAATATCAGGTGACATATCAACAGTAGGCTGGACCTGTCTACAGTGACCTCACTACAGTAGGCAGGACCGGCCTACAGTGACCTCACTACAGCAGGCTGGACCTGTCTACAGTGACCTCACTACAGCAGGCAGGACCTGTCTACAGTGACCTCACTACAGCAGGCTGGACCTGTCTACAGTGACCTCACTACAGCAGGCTGGACCTGTCTACAGTGACCTCACTACAGCAGGCAGGACCTGTCTACAGTGACCTCACTACAGTAGGCAGGACCTGTCTACAGTGACCTCACTACAGCAGGCTGGACCTGTCTACAGTGACCTCACTACAGCAGGTTGGACCTGTCTACAGTGACCTCACTATAGCAGGCTGGACCGGCCTACAGTGACCTCACTACAGCAGGCTGGACCTGTCTACAGTGACCTCACTACAGCAGGCTGGACCTGTCTACAGTGACCTCACTATAGCAGGCTGGACCGGCCTACAGTGACCTCACTACAGCAGGCTGGACCTGTCTACAGTGACCTCACTACAGTAGGCTGGACCTGTCTACAGTGACCTCACTACAGTAGGCAGGACCTGTCTTCAGTGACCTCACTACTGTAGGCTGGACCTGTCTACAGTGACCTCACTACAGTAGGCAGGACCGGCCTACAGTGACCTCACTACAGCAGGCAGGACCGGCCTACAGTGACCTCACTACAGCAGGCAGGACCGGCCAACAGTGACCTCACTACAGCACTGACTCATCTATATAGAAGCTGCTAACTCTTTACACAGTTCAAGTATAGCCTTAGCTCTAATTCCATCTTTCTCATACAAACAGAATTGATTATTACAGTTCATAATGTTGGTTTATGATATAAAAGATTCAACTATGAACCTCGTGTACGGCGCGAGGACACGGCTGCAGGAGGCTCGGGCCGCTGCCTGAGGACATGTGTCTCAGGACACGGCTGCAGGAGCCTCGGGGCCGCTGCCTGAGGACATATGTCTCAGGACACGGCTGCAGGAGGCTCGGGTCGCTGCCTGAGGACATGTGTCTCAGGACACGGCTGCAGGAGGCTCGGGCCGCTGCCTGAGGACATGTGTCTCAGGACACGGCTGCAGGAGGCTCGGGCCGCTGCCTGAGGACATGTGTCTCAGGACACGGCTGCAGGAGGCTCGGGGCCGCTGCCTGAGGACATGTGTCTCAGGACAAGGCTGCAGGAGGCTCGGGGCCGCTGCCTGAGGACATGTGTCTCAGGACACGGCTGCAGGAGGCTCGGGCCGCTGCCTGAGGACATGTGTCTCAGGACACGGCTGCAGGAGGCTCGGGGCCGCTGCCTGAGGACATGTGTCTCAGGACAAGGCTGCAGGAGGCTCGGGCCGCTGCCTGAGGACATGTGTCTCAGGACACGGCTGCAGGAGGCTCGGGGCCGCTGCCTGAGGACATGTGTCTCTCAACTGATTTTGTTACATCTTTATTTCTATGACCAATGTTCGTTCTAATAAAATTCTCGCGTGGAATAATGTGTGTTTGCATTGTTTTCTGAAGGTGGAGCTGTTCTTGGTACTTGATTCGTGACTAAACTTACATTGTTCAACCCTTCTTGTAACTGTTACCCGGGAAAATGTCTTAAAATATAGATGAAATCTTAGAAAAGTATTGCTCATTTTCTATGAAATATGTAATAATATAATATGTTGTGCTCTTTAAACGTGGGCTGAGAATGAAGGCGTGAGACAGGCTGGTGGCCCTCCAGCCCCGGGACACACAGTCAGCTCTGACCAGTGTCAGAGGCCTGCTTCCCCTCTCAATTAACACATTAATAATATTAAAATACTCATTCCATCCTCGTCTGTGGCTCCTTCGGGAGGATGAAGGGTTGGCCCGCGAGGACGCCCACGGTCTCCACCACACCGCCATCAATTGCGGTCAAGCCAGTGAGGTGGCATCAACTGGATATTCCACTTGGGCTTATCCAGGTCCATCTAGGCCAACTACTGTCTTTTTCCAGGATGCAACCCACAACAGTTGCCTGACTCCCGGGTACTTATTTGCTACTAGGTGGACAAAGACATCAGGTGATAGGAAACGGTGCCCAAACGTTTCTGTCCTGTTGCAGGAAGTGAACTCGGGATCTTTCGGCTGCGAGCCGACTGCACTGAATCAATCAAGATGTCAACAGGACTAGCTGTGTGAGTGAGCCCAGATGTCAACAGTACTATATTATGCACAACCCCAGGTGTCAACAGGACCAACTGTGTACACAAACACATGTGTTGGACGCACACTGGACACACACACACATGTGGTGACCATTAATACCCTCATCTCAACTGCATATATCGACTACATAGTCAACACCGGAATCAGCAGAACTGCAGATGAAGCATCACACGAAACCAACTTCAGACCATCTTGAGCCTCCGTCCTGCACACACACACTATACAGCTAGCTCCTGCTCCAGCACAAAGTATTTATAACTTTGTAATAAAACGGAAGAAAAAGCCACAGGCGTTTGGTACTCCGTTCCTTTCCGCTACCAAGAGAGCTACAACCACAACAGCTGTTAACACGTGTCAACAGGACCAGTGGTGTACAGGAGCACGTGTCAACAGGACCATTAACATTCAATTCAGTAATGTATAATATTTCGTTGTGAGTGAATGATATATTAGGCAATTATTTGTCATAACAAATTAACAATACGTGAAGAGGCACATTGTTCAGCACTTGGCATAGTTTGAACAATAAAACAATAATTTTGACACTAGTGACTTAGAGAATATTTTTGTAGTGACATCATGAGTTCGATTTAGATTTTTTGATTAATTTTATAATTTTCGTCAATATCTATATTTTGTTTTACATAAGTAAACTAAAAAAAACACTTAATTTTTATGGATTTCTTAATTCAAGTTCTGCCTTCAGTCCAAGTTCAGACCTGAGTTTATTTGGTAATATAATAAAATTAATATTGATTTGTCCTAAGTTTCACTAGATGTTGACTTTATGACTGTATTTAAGAGTACAGCAGCTTGCATGTTATGATTTTCAATGTTAAGGTAGAAAAATGCAATCAAGAATCATGGGTTATTAACATAAGTTTGGCTTGAAAACTGATACGCGAGAAAAAGTGGCTGCTACGTGTGAGTGTGAGAGTTGCTGAGGCGATATAGGCTGAGTCCATGCCGTCACTTCTGTCAGTCTCGCCTTCGTCACCCTGCTGGCGGTGGTTGTGCAAAGTCCACACCCCACCACTGCCACCAGTGTTGCTTATACTGGCGTGTGAAGAGGTTTCGATGTATATGTTTAGGCTTCCCTGTTCCTCTATACTTTTTTTTATAAGGATTGTTAGTCTAGTGAGTACAATTACTTGTATCGAAGCGTCTGTCTCTGTGCCTATATTGTGACTCACTCGCTGCCGGGTTCAAACTGAGGCCTCGAGTTGAAGGGGCATCAGCCGCGTTTCATTGTCATGCGCGGGCACCGCTCTCTGACTGGTTTATTCAAGGCACGCAACAAATTGTTTATTGAGAGGGCGGCCAAGCACCAGGAGGAGGATACCAGGGCCACAGCAGGAAGTGTTCCTAGGCATCAGGAGAAGATACAAGGACCAAAGCAGGAAGTGTTCCCAGGCACCAGGAGGAGACACCAGGGTAACAGCAAGAAGTATTCCCAGGCACCAGGAGGAGACACCAGGACCACAGCAACAAGTATTCCCAGGTACCAGAAGAGAAGCACCAGGGCCACAGCAGATGGCGCCCCCAGTTTTATCACATAATTCTCGCTTCCTCACAATATGTCATGCCACTTCCTGTTGACCCCCAATGGAGCAGTCCTCGGGCCATATCCATAGAGGGTCAGGGGTGTCCGTGAAGAGCAATAACAAGAGCTTGAGGATAGACGTATTGTTGCTGCTGTGTTGGTGCTCCCACCGTCTCTCAGTCTCCACTTCTCTCCAGTGCTGACGGGTCCAACACGATCTCACTATTTTGTCTCGTGATCCCGTGGACGTCAGCTAATTTAGACGACTGTAAAGAAAACAAATGTTATTGAATTATTTTTCTGCCGTTGTTATTTACCTTGATCACAGAACGAAGTGTCCTTCTCTGGGAAACAATTATATGTAATTTAATGCAAGACGTCACGAATTTACAGCACGCTGAGAGTCAAAAAAGGGTTCATGAAAACTGAGGCGACACAAGTGTGCTGAGGAACTAGTGTGTAGTTCCATTGTGTGTAGATACTAATGTGGAAGGGGGGGGGGGGTTCCAGTGTGCTGAGGCACTGACGTGGGGGTTCCAGGTGTACTAAGGCACCAAAAATAGGGTGTTGAAGAGTGTTGGTACTCGCAATGTGGGTCTCATGAGTTGGTATTAGTGTGTTAAAAGATGTGAGGTGGAAGGTTAGGTTGTACCCCTGAGGCAGCACCACTCACCGTTGAGGTATGGCTGTGGGAGGAGGCAGGTCTGGAGTTGTGTACCGTAGGAGCCAGTCTGTGACCAGGAGACAGGTCCTCGCTGATCTCGTCCATGTACTCCACCTCGAGGCCCAATTCTGCGTCTTCGTCTCCCTCATCCTCGATAAAATTGGGTATGGAGGATTGGACCTCCGGAGCCGCAGGCATGGAGGTGATTCTTGTGGCGTGGTGGACCTCCTCCTCCTGCTGGTGCCTCTGCTTGGGCTTCTCCAGCGGGTGTAGCAGTCTATGCTGCGGCTGCGGCTGCTGCTGTCCCTCCGACGAGTCCTCTGCTAGAGTTTCACGGGACGGGGACAGCAGAGCCTTCTCGTCCAACGGTTCGCTCTTTCTGTCAATTAACGAAATTTGTTTATTATGTACGATGTTCTACAGACTAGGTGTTGTGATGTCTGGAGAAGTTGGCATCATAAGGTAAATGTTGTCACTGAGGTTAGCACGCTAAAGCTTCCCTTGTTTTGTGATCTGTGACTCTGTACCCCCCCACCCACCACCACCAGTTCCACCATTACACAGGGACCACCACCACCACAACACAGGGGCCACCACCACCACCACACATGGACCACCGCCACCACACAGGGACCACCACCACCACCACCACCACCACCACACAGGGACCACCACCACCACACAGGGACCACCACCACCACCACACAGGGACCACCACCACCACCACACAAAGACTCACCTGCAGCAGAAGGCGCAGCAGGCGGGGGTCGAGCAGAAGAAGAGCCGGAGGAGACAAAAGAGGAAGCCGCAGCCAATGAGACTTGGACCTATGAGTCTCAGCTCGGGGGACTTGAAGCCGTGTTCCCCCATACCCACAAAGGTAATGATGAGGCCTGCCGAAGGTAAGTGCTTTTATTACCTGTACCTTTAACCCTTCCCTTCCCTTCCTATAAACATTAACCCTTCCCTTCCTATAAACATTAACCCTTCCCTTCCTATAAACATTAACCCTCTTCTCTCTCAATAATTAACCAACAAATGATAGAGGTGTCGCGAGCTTCCTGCACCAGATGTATAATAATGTTCGCTTCTTACACAATAGAGATATTAAGTATTTTACGATACAACTGCGACCATTCACTAATGGAAGACACACATATGACATTATACATTTGAGAGTGAGTTATGTACTCACCGAGAGAGATGAGTCCCAAGCCCACGTAGAGTACAATGTTGACCACTCCAGTCTGCCGGTACCTGCCATCTGGCCTCTTCTCCAAGCTGCCCCCTGAGGCGTCGCCCACCTGGTGGACCACCACACTGTTAGTGTCCGTCTACTGTACCACCACACTGTTAGTGTCCGTCTACTGTACCACCACACTGTTAGTGTCCGTCTACTGTACCACCACACTGTTAGTGTCCGTCTACTGTACCACCACACTGTTAGTGTCCGTCTACTGTACCACCACACTGTTAGTGTCCGTCTACTGTACCACCACACTGTTAGTGTCCGTCTACTGTACCACCACACTGTTAGTGTCCGTCTACTGTACCACCACACTGTTAGTACCCGTCTACTGTACCACCACACTGTTAGTGTCCGTCTACTGTACCACCACACTGTTAGTACCCGTCTACTGCACCACCACACTGTTAGTGTCCGTCTACTGCACCACCACACTGTTAGTACCCGTCTACTGCACCACCACACTGTTAGTGTCCGTCTACTGCACCACCACACTGTTAGTGTCCGTCTACTGCACCACCACACTGTTAGTACCCGTCTACTGTACCACCACACTGTTAGTGCCCGTCTACTGCACCACCACACTGTTAGTGTCCGTCTACTGTACCACCACACTGTTAGTACCCGTCTACTGTACCACCACACTGTTAGTGTCCGTCTACTGTACCACCACACTGTTAGTACCCGTCTACTGTACCACCACACTGTTAGTGTCCGTCTACTGTACCACCACACTGTTAGTACCCCTCTACTGTACCACCACACTGTTAGTGTCCGTCTACTGTACCACCACACTGTTAGTGTCCGTCTACTGTACCACCACACTGTTAGTACCCGTCTACTGTACCACCACACTGTTAGTGTCCGTCTACTGTACCACCACACTGTTAGTACCCGTCTACTGCACCACCACACTGTTAGTGTCCGTCTACTGCACCACCACACTGTTAGTACCCGTCTACTGCACCACCACACTGTTAGTGTCCGTCTACTGCACCACCACACTGTTAGTACCCGTCTACTGCACCACCACACTGTTAGTACCCGTCTACTGCACCACCACACTGTTAGTGTCCGTCTACTGTACCACCACACTGTTAGTGTCCGTCTACTGTACCACCACACTGTTAGTGTCCGTCTACTGTACCACCACACTGTTAGTACCCGTCTACTGCACCACCACACTGTTAGTGTCCGTCTACTGTACCACCACACTGTTAGTACCCGTCTACTGCACCACCACACTGTTAGTGTCCGTCTACTGTACCACCACACTGTTAGTACCCGTCTACTGCACCACCACACTGTTAGTACCCGTCTACTGTACCACCACACTGTTAGTACCCGTCTACTGCACCACCACACTGTTAGTACCCGTCTACTGTACCACCACACTGTTAGTACCCGTCTACTGTACCACCACACTGTTAGTGTCCGTCTACTGTACCACCACACTGTTAGTACCCGTCTACTGCACCACCACACTGTTAGTGTCCGTCTACTGCACCACCACACTGTTAGTACCCGTCTACTGTACCACCACACTGTTAGTACCCGTCTACTGCACCACCACACTGTTAGTGCCCGTCTACTGCACCACCACACTGTTAGTGTCCGTCTACTGCACCACCACACTGTTAGTGCCCGTCTACTGCACCACCACACTGTTAGTACCCGTCTACTGTACCACCACACTGTTAGTGCCCGTCTACTGCACCACCACACTGTTAGTACCCGTCTACTGTACCACCACACTGTTAGTGTCCGTCTACTGCACCACCACACTGTTAGTACCCGTCTACTGTACCACCACACTGTTAGTACCCGTCTACTGCACCACCACACTGTTAGTGTCCGTCTACTGCACCACCACACTGTTAGTACCCGTCTACTGCACCACCACACTGTTAGTGTCCGTCTACTGCACCACCACACTGTTAGTGTCCGTCTACTGCACCACCACACTGTTAGTGTCCGTCTACTGCACCACCACACTGTTAGTGTCCGTCTACTGCACCACCACACTGTTAGTACCCGTCTACTGCACCACCACACTGTTAGTGTCCGTCTACTGTACCACCACACTGTTAGTGTCCGTCTACTGTACCACCACACTGTTAGTACCCGTCTACTGCACCACCACACTGTTAGTGTCCGTCTACTGTACCACCACACTGTTAGTACCCGTCTACTGCACCACCACACTGTTAGTACCCGTCTACTGCACCACCACACTGTTAGTGTCCGTCTACTGCACCACCACACTGTTAGTGTCCGTCTACTGCACCACCACACTGTTAGTACCCGTCTACTGTACCACCACACTGTTAGTACCCGTCTACTGCACCACCACACTGTTAGTACCCGTCTACTGCACCACCACACTGTTAGTGTCCGTCTACTGCACCACCACACTGTTAGTGTCCGTCTACTGCACCACCACACTGTTAGTACCCGTCTACTGTACCACCACACTGTTAGTACCCGTCTGTGTGTGTGTGTTAGAGATAAATATATGTAATAGATATAATAGAGGAAAAATGGATTGGTTAGAAAGGCGGGGTCCAAGAGCTAATAGCTCGATTCTACAGACACAAATATTAAATACAAATAGTAAATACACACATGCAAACAGCAGTGCGTGACGCACACCAACGCACAAGCAAACAGCAGTGCGTGACGCACACCAACGCACAAGCAAGCAGCAGTGCATGACGTACACCAACGCACAAGCAAACAGCAGTGCGTGACGCACACCAACGCACAAGCAAACAGCAGTGCGTGACGCACACCAACGCACAAGCAAACAGCAGTGCGTGACGCACACCAACGCACAAGCAAACAGCAGTGCGTGACGCACACCAACGCATGCACAACATAAATCACCCCCGAGACAGACTTCATAATATTGGTAAATAACTGAAGATTTGGACAAATGGCTATGATAAAGGGGCCACATGGCCGTGATAAAGGGGGCCACATGACCGTGATAAAGGGGCCACATGGCAGTGATAAAGGGGCCACATGGCCGTGATACAGGGGCCACATGGCCGTGATAAAGGGGCCACATGGCCGTGATAAAGGGGCCACATGGCAGTGATAAAGGGGCTACATGGCCGTGATAAAGAGGCCACATGGCCGTGATAAAGAGGCCACATGGCCGTGATAAAGGGGCCACATGGCCGTGATAAAGGGGCCACATGGCAGTGATAAAGGGGCTACATGGCCGTGATAAAGAGGCCATATGGCCGTGATAAAGAGGCCACATGGCCGTGATAAAGGGGCCACATGGCCATGGTAAAGGGGCCACATGGCCGTGATAATGGGGCCACATGGCCGTGATAAAGGGGCCACATGGCCATGGTAAAGGGGCCACATGGCCATGGTAAAGGGGCCACATGGCCGTGATAAAGGGGCCACATGGCCATGGTAAAGGGGCCACATGGCCGTGATAATGGGGCCACATGGCCATGGTAAAGGGGCCACATGGTCATGATAAAGGGGCCACATGGCCATGGTAAAGGGGCCACATGGCCATGATAAAGAGGCCACATGGCCATGGTAAAGGGACCACATGGCCATGATAAAGGGGCCACATGGCCATGATAAAGGGGCCACATGGCCACGGTAAAGGGTCCACATGGTCATGATAAAGAGTGCCACATGGCCATGGTAAAGAGGCCACATGGCCATGATAAAGAGGCCACATGGCCATTTTAAAGGGGCCACAAGGTCATGATAAAGAGTGCCACATGGCCATGATAAAGAGGCCACAAGGCCATGGTAAAGTGTCCACATGGCCATGATAAAGAGGGCCACAAGGCCATGATAAAGAGGCCACAAGGCCATGGTAAAGTGTCCACATGGCCATGATAAAGAGGGCCACAAGGCCATGATAAAGAGGCCACATGGCCGTGATAAAGGGGCCACAAGGCCGTGATAAAGAGGCCACAAGACCATGATATAGAAGCCACAAGGCCGTGATAAAGAGGCCACAAGGCCATGATAAAGAGGCCACAAGACCATGGTAAAGAGGCCACAAGGCCATGATAAAGAGGGCCACAAGGCCGTGATAAAGAGGCCACAAGACCATGATATAGAAGCCACAAGGCCGTGATAAAGAGGCCACAAGGCCATGATAAAGAGGCCACAAGGCCATGATAAAGAGGCCACAAGGCCATGATAAAGAGGGCCACATGGCCGTGATAAAGGGGCCACATGGCCATCCTGGTCAACTCACTTGGCCATTATTGGTGTCGTCTCGAGTCTCACCGTCTCCGCTCTCATCCTAAAATTGAGAGTAAATGACAGATGAAAGTCGAGGGAAGACAGGTGTCGGGAGGTCATGGCCAGGATGGAGGAGGACAGGTGTTGGGAGGTCATGGCCAGGATGGAGGAGGACAGGTGTTGGGAGGTCATGGCCAGGATGGAGGAGGACAGGTGTTGGGAGGTCATGGCCAGGATGGAGGAGGACAGGTGTTGGGAGGTCATGGCCAGGATGGAGGAGGACAGGTGTTGGTGTAACTCCTCGGTATGTCCAACACAGGTGTTCATGAATACTGATAAGGTAAGAGAGGACGATGAGGGAGAGAGGGGGGGGGCTTACACTGTTGACACAACAGGGCTCACACTGTTGAGACAACAGGGCTCACACTGTTGACACAACAGGGGCTCACACTGTTGACACAACAGGGCTCACACTGTTGACACAACAGGGGCTCACACTGTTGACACAACAGGGCTCACACTGTTGACACAACAGGGCTCACACTGTTGAGACAACAGGGGCTCACACTGTTGACACAACAGGGGCTCACACTGTTGACACAGGGGCTCACAGTTGACACAACAGGGGCTCACACTGTTGAGACAACAGGGGCTCACACTGTTGACACAACAGGGGCTCACACTGTTGACACAATTGGTAAAAACAATGGAATATATTTTATAAATTATAAAAGAACATTTAAAGAACACATTAAATTTTTGTTAACAGCACTCAAAGTAAAGTTTTACAACTAACCTTTATAAAACTTATAGCTAACTTGTACAACTAACTTTACGACACTTAAGCTAACTTGCACAACATTTAAAGCTAACTTGCACAACATTTAAAGCTAACTTGCACAACATTTAAAGCTAACTTGCACAACATTTAAAGCTAACTTGAACAACTTACATAACATATAAAGATAATATGTACAACACTGACGATGGACACTACGTGCTTCTAACTGCTAAGTCCGTTTCGGTTCATTGTGGCATTACCTATATACAGGTGAGAGAGAGAGAGAGAGAGAGAGAGAGAGAGAGAGAGAGAGAGAGAGAGAGAGAGAGAGAGAGAGAGAGAGAGAGATGAAGGGATTTACCTTGTTCTTGGTGACCCATCTTTTCTGGGCGTCTGAGGCTTGCTTCTGGACACCAACACGGCCGCCCCACGCGTTCTTCCCGTTAGGTAACTGCAGGAGAGACACACACAATAAACAATTAATTTCCGGTCACCAGGATGCACATGTAGGCCAACAAGCCCTCGTCCACTCTCATCCTCATATACCGGTTAATTGACGGTACTTACGAACGTGTACCTCTTTCCTCAGTCTTTGACGGCTTTGGTTATATTTATTAAACAGTTTACAAGCATAAAAACTTCTCAATCTACTGTTGTTATTGTTATGAACAGCCTCCTAGTGCTTCGGAGCTCATTAACTTTTTAATACTTGTAAACAAAGCCGCCAAAGATTGACAAAAGATGTACAGGCCCGTTAGTGCTTGCGTAACTGCTTGGTGAATCTGGCCCCAATACTGTAGCTGCTCAGTTGATCAGGTCCACGCCATCATAACGACCAGTGGGCGACGACATCTGCCTGGACACCTGTCGTGTTTGAGGTAATCACACGAGGAAGATTTGCCCTTCATTTCCACTTTGATCAAAGACTCCGTACTTCACCGGACGAGCGGGAACGACCAAATTTTTCGACCTAAAAGCTAAATGAACAAGAACGGCTTAAAGGCTAAATTAACGTCGCCTATTGGCGGAAACAAATGCGCCCTCGACGACTGGGGATCCCCAGGAGACCCCCAGGGAGGCAAGCACCGGCCCCGCCCCACACACACAACACTGGGTAGCAAGGTAATAACTCGACCCCACCCTAAAGCACAAATGTCTTCCAGTGATCACCGGCAGAGAAGATGCCAGCCGCCCACCACGTCTGAGGGCACACCAGGAGCCCACCACGTCTGAGGGCACACCAGGAGCCCACCACGTCTGAGGGCGCACCAGGAGCCCACCACGTCTGAGGGCACACCAGGAGCCCACCACGTCTGAGGGCACACCAGGAGCCCACCACGTCTGAGGGCACACCAGGAGCCCACCACGTCTGAGGGCGCACCAGGAGCCCACCACGTCTGAGGGCACACCAGGAGCCCACCACGACTGAGGGCACACCAGGAGCCCACCAAGACCCACCAACCCCTGGCATCTCTCGGCCAAGCCCGTCCCGGATACCGTCACCCCGCCCGAAGTACCAGCCAGAAAACGTTTAAAATTGATGAACTTTCCTGTGGCGCCGGGCGATATGTGCGTCAGGCGTCATAACTCTCCGGACCATTGAGTAAGTTTGCCAGACGCAGCATCAAACCCACAGTGTAAAATCGCGAAACGGAAGGTGATCCAGCGGCTCCCAGGCGGAGCTGGTGTCCAGATGTCCGCTCTTCCTCAAGGTGGAACCAACAGGACCTTCTGTTATTGTCTTCTGTATTAATACAGCAGTCCCTTCTGTATTAATACAGCAGTCCCTTCTGTATTAATACAGCAGTCCCTTCTGTATTAATACAGCAGTCCCTTCTGTATTAATACAGCAGTCCCTTCTGTATTAATACAGCAGTCCCTTCTGTATTATTGTGTTGTTGTCTTCTGTTATTGTGTTGTTGTCTTCTGTTATTGTGTTGTTGTCTTCTGTTATTGTGTTGTTGTCTTCTGAGGGCGCTATTGGATCCCCAGTGTTGGAGACGGGAAGTCTAGTATTCAAGTCCCATTGGACGCCTAGACTAATCTTCCTCAGGATGCAACGCATAATACTTGACCGTGAATGCATGTGTGTGTATATATGCATGTATATATGTATATGTACGTATATATGTGTGTGTGTATGTATATGTATGTGTATAAAGTACATATGGAAGCTGATCAGAATTGCATTTCACCTTTGTAAATGCACATTAATGACACTTCGAACACTTTATGTAGGGCTTACGTAAATCTGTGTATCTATGTATTTACGTATGTAGGTTAGCTTAGCATTTTAAAAGTACCGAATCACCTTCTGTGGTTGATTGTTCAATATACCCCAGAACTATATGTTTAACTGATCTCTAACCCTGTCTTTGGAAGACAGAAGAAAATGTATATATGCTGGTTAGCATTGTAAATGTGTGGCCACGTTTGTGGTAGAAAAAAAAAGACTTGACCAACTAAATGGTTCATATTTACTAATAAATTAACATAAAGTTCGAATTAATCAGTTTAAATCTACCTGTCAAAAGGCTAATGATAACAACTATCAAATATAAATATCCATCTAGTTTATGGACATATGATTACAGTAAATACTTAAATGAAATATTTGTATAAAGTAATGGTAAATTGAAATCTGGCTTAAACTGCTTTAGTCTGGTACTCTCTGATATAGGGTTCAATAAAGGCCAAAATTTACTACGTTTACGTCATTGCTACTGTTTAAGCAAAAGCTCCTATACCCTAACTTATTCTAGCGTACCCTAAATAATTCAAGCCTATCAAATTATTCTAGGGTATTATAATCTAACCTAAATTATTGTATCTAACCCTAACGATTTTGTTTTTATATAGACAGTGTACTTGATGTGTGACGTTCTTGGGTTGTCTCTGGGGAACGTTTCGGATACTGTCTGCGCAGCAGTCTGCGCCTGGACAGAGTGTAATGGCGACCGGTAACAAGGAGGGCAAAAGCAGGCGTCACGCGCGAATGGAATCCCGGCGTGGTAGCCCCTCTCATCAACAGGTAAGTTTTTACATATGAGGTAGACATGGCCAGTGCAAGTCTCGTATGCTATTATGATCTCCAAAATTGTATATTTCTGGGTAATGTTAGCAGGTTAGGGGAGGGCGGCGGTACTCAAGGCTACCCACAGGTCCGGGGTCCACAGGGCGCTCCTGTGGACCCCGGCTCTAGGGGTGCTGCCCAGAACCTAACTGTGGTGCCCTGGCCCCTAGCGGAGGCGCTCCAGGCCTGGCACTCCAGCCCTCGCGGTGGCGCCCTGGCTCTCGCGGTGTATAATTAATAATTTTGGTATGGAAAAAGACATTGACTCCAGCAATGCCTTGGCTTCTCTTAGTGTAAGGATTTTGTGTCAGTTTAGTTTACTTGTTCATTTTATATATGCCATTTTAAAGCATAGACTCTTAACTACATTTTGAGCTTTATTTGAAAGAAATCGGTCAACTTTTAAGTATTTTATTTTGATTTTTTATTGGCAAGAAAATATTGCAATAATGGTGTTGCCAACGAGTATATTGTTTGATATTGTTTTATGTGAAAACAAAACATAATGAGATTAAATACAAGTAATTGAAAAATATATGCAAAGTTACTTATATAATTACAATGGATATTGTTGAGAATGTCTGACGGTGCAGTTTTAGCGGGAAAATTACAATCTCAGAACTCCAACTTTTAGACTGTTGAGTTTCAGTGTTAGTGATCATCGGGTTACCTTGAGGTGCTTCCGGGGCTTAGCGTCCCCGCGGCCCGGTCGTCGACCAGGCCGCGGGTCGACGATTTAATCAGTGGAAAAATATTCCCACAATACACGAATCGGCAGACTTTACATTTGTATTTGTCTTATTACTATTTTTATGAAAATAGAATTTTTGGGTGGTAAAAATAAAAACGTCATTGTTAATTGTTAGGAACTATAAATTATAGATTTTCCCAACACAGCAACAGAGTTGTCTGGCCTTTCCTATGATAACATCATAATGATTCTACAGTAATATTTGTAAATATGAAACGGAATCAGACAAAAATTATTATAACAATGTTTTATTTTAATTGTGTTTGAGCCTAGCTTTTAGTAACCGTGCTTATGGTTTAAGTCTAAATATCCACGTAATGTAAGTCATAAAATACATGCCTAATTAGCCATAGACAAGGCATATATTATTTGCATGTCGGCATCTGCCAACCAAAGTATTTTTATTTCCAGTTGTGTAGTTGAGGAAAGTTTACAACGTAAGGCGAGTAGTGGCAAGATGTGGTCGAGGAGACCTGCGTCCTGGCCCTTGTTGGTCACCTGGTGACCTCCAAACACCAGAGGAAAAGGTAAAGTTTCCCAACATCTTGTGTAACTGCTTCATAAGTCCGGCCTTGCCATTATGTGTTTTGTGTGTGAAAATATTTAGGCTGCCAAGTGAACAACATATACTTTCGAATAATTTAATCAGCAAAACTTAGTGTGTTCATATGTAAGATGGCTTACATGCGAAAGATCATTCACAATACGACCAGCCGAGATAGTTTGGTACCGCGGCCGCACTAAGTGCCCAACATGGACTGCTCAGGAGTGTTAAGTCAAGCGAAACAATCTTAAACTTTGGGAGAATTAATTGCCAGGAAAAAGATTTTGAAGGTTGTCAACTTTGGTAAATATAATGCAGCAGTGACGTTAAAGTGTGCACCTGAGCAACGAATGATCTCTTTAACAGCCACAACAAAAGCTAACTTTCTACCTTGAGATTTGAGGTGATCAAATCACCCTTTTGGTTTGCGATTATTTTTCTCTCTTCCATTGTGATTTCAAAGTGTATCGCCTTGTATAAACATTTGTGAAGTAGTGTGTTCACAAATATGATTTTATGTATGCACAGCCTGTTGTTTAAGGCAGCGTTAGTAGGTGGACTTACCTGTTGGGGGGGGGGGGGGGGGGCTGGACACCCGGCCCTCACTCACCACCCCCCCTCACTCCTCTTGTACCGGTGTGTGTGTGTCACACATTGGCAGGTGGGGGAGGGGTCGAAAGGAGAGGAGGGCTAGTGGGACATGAGGCCGATGGGAGAGGGCTAAAGGGAATGGGGGAGCCGGTGGGAGAGTGGGTGGCTTCTGAAAGAGGGAAAGGTAGTGTTCCACTACGTAACGGCATCACACATGGCCAAGTAATAAATTTCTTCAGCCCCCACACATCCGCCCCCCAGCCCCACACATCCACCCCCCAGCCCCACACATCCACCCCCCAGCCCCACACATCCCCCCAGCTTCCACACATCCCCCCCCCGCTTCCACACATCCCCCCCAGCTTCCACACATCCCCCCCAGCTTCCACACATCCCCCCCAGCTTCCACACATCCCCCCCAGCTTCCACACATCCCCCCCAGCTTCCACACATCCCCCCCAGCTTCCACACATCCCCCCCAGCTCCCACACA